AAAAATGCATCAGATTTTTATAAAAAAATTTTTTAGAGTTTTTGACTGATTTTTCTTCATTATTATTATTAGTTTTTTTAAAATGTGACCATATTTTCATGTTTTTAAATATATTTAATAGTTTTTTTTATCTTACACACTATGCCATTTAAATAATGAGATTGGGACACTGGTGTATGTAATAAAAATTATTATTTTTTTCCTACGACAAAAAAATAAGAAATAATGTTTATAATAAATTACTACTACTAAACTACTAAAGAACTACTATATACTAATATAAAGTAAGTTCCTGTATATAAATTTCTTGTGTTACGTTTTTAGACAGACAAAATACCAGGGATGCCAAATATGTCTGATCTTGCAAACAAGGTTCAAGGAAAATTAAATCCTGAGAAAATTTACAATAGAACAAATAATATTATGACTAGGGTTTCTCAAATGGGATCCTGGTTGTTTTTTTAACCCAGGAAATTCTTCTCATCCAGGAAATCCCACAAATTTTTTAAAAGGTTATTTTTTTCTTATTTTGTGTTAAGGTTGAGGAAATTTAGCAAATAGAAAGTATAATTAACTCATAAACTGTCAGAATACATTTGTATTTATTAATTTTAAACCTACTTATTAGTTTCTTAAATTTTTGCTCGTTATGGCATGTCACAAATGGTCTATAATCAATGCGTAGCTTATTTGTGGCAGGACTCTGAAAATTCTTTAGTTGTCAGAACTAGTGTTGCCACCTTTTCAAAATCGCTGACCCAGACAGCAGGTCAGGTTTGTTCGAACAGAAGTTATATGTGCAATTTGATTTTACAATGTGAAGAACAATGTGCTAGATAACATAGCCCATAGATATGTATGATTGTACATACAAAAAACAAAAAAAAAAGGAAGGTTGACAGATTGCACACCATACGTAAACGAACGAACATGGCAGAATTGCAGATGAGTTTCAGTGAGTGTGAGTTCTTTTGCTGTTAAAATAGTGTAAATTTGTAAAAATATTTGCAAGAACTTTGTTTCATCGTAATTTCACAATTTCTATGAAATTCCCGGACAAAATTAATAGTTTACCCGGGCAGTGAGTCAATTCCCGGACGGGTAACACTAGTCAAAACTTGTAATATCTGGAATAATTGTGCTGATGCTGTCTTAATTTTTAACCCTATCTGGTAACTTGTGCAAGGATATAAATGAGTATGAAGTTTTTCTTCATAAACCTGATTATTAAAGACAAACGAATTGCCGAATTATTGGGCTATAAGCTCGATGTTTCTATTAAAGCATCCAAGGTAGACAAATCAAGAATACTAGAGAGCAAAAGAAGTACTACAATCTCGAAAAAGAACTAGAAATCTTCCGGTGAAAACAGGTGAAAAGCACATAATATCTGTCTTCTCTTAAATGCATTAAACACGATTCCACTGACATCAATTGAATCGGAAAGGGCATTCTCGGTAGCAGGACTTTTCATTACTAAAATAAGAATCAGATTGAGTAATAGGGGTATTGTCTATCTTTGCTTTTTAAAATCTTATTATAAAAATTTACAATAATATTTTGTATTATGTTTTATTTAAAAAACAAAAATTACCTTCTAAGTTAGAAGTTTGATCTAAGTTCATTTTTCTTTAATTTTCAACTCAATTCAAAGCATTTTTGTTGCTGTTATATGCAGTTTCCAGCAAACTTTAATAAATTTTTTCTATTTGTGAAAATTTTTATGTAATTCAAAGGTAATTTTTAACATACATCTTACACAGCATTATTAATATGATTTTGGAGGTTGCAGAACACATTAAATTACTTTAAAAAATAAAAAATGTATATCATTTGATTTCAAGATATTTTGTATATCTTAAAAATAATTAAGTCTATCCTGGGATTTCTCAGAAACAGTTCACTTTTTTCCCGAAATCCCGGGACATGCAAACAACTGGGAAATGAGAAACCCTAATTATGACAATAGTTGCAAAAACTGGAATAGCATCTCAGCTAATCCTATAGCAGTTATCGTTTACTTTATTTTACTGTAACTGCTTTAGAATGCTTGTATTTTATGTTGAAATTAAAACAGTATTGAAGGTCTGATGATAAAATGGTCAGTCTCAAAAAATGTTTTATCTGAAATGAAAGCAATAGGACTGCTTAACTTTTTAGCATTTATGATTGTTAAAAATCTCAACTATGGTTTTATTTTTATTAGGCCATATGCATTTGTTCTACTTGTTGGGAAGCAGAAGTTATATTAAGTTGTTAGATGTAAATTCATTGCAATTGAATGACCCTCTTTTGACTAATCAGAATGTAATTTGCATACATTTCAACATGTTCTAATAATTATATTTGTTTTGAATTTTTAAATCAAATCTTCTGAATGAAAATAAACCAGATCAATACACATGTAAACAAGTACAAATAACAAACATCAGCTGGAACATACAAGATTCAAACTTAGCCAAATGTACAAAGATGTTAGAATTATTTAAATACTGCCAAAAAAAGATATTATATTAATTGCCTGATGTAAATTTAACATCTAAAACACAGAAAATGCTTTATAAATAGTATTATATGTTTCATTTAACTGTTTATAAGCTTAGTATATTTTAAGTCATGTATATATTTTTGCTTATATTCATTAAGTGCATACTTGATTTTAAATGTTACACATTTTGTAACATATATATCTTAAAACAGTGTTTGTGAATCCAAATGTGGTTGACTAAATAAATCTGCCAGTTTAAAGATTTATTTCTTTATGGTTATAGATTTTAACTAATCTTTTCCATTTGTGTGTTAGTGAGCTCAGGTATTGGATCTTCCAAGTTAAATATTAATTTTTTATTAGTTTATGGCTTTAATAATTTTCATACTTATAAAAAATTTTTTATAATTTAGATATAATTTTAGATAGATTCAGAATCTTATAAAAAGAAACATTTCTTTTCTGAAACATAAATTAAATACTGGACAAAAGATATTTTTACAAATCTATTGTTATTTAGAATCGTTTAGATATGAAATTCTATGAAATAAAAAAAATATTTAATTAAAAAAAGTTAAAAATATTTTTAATACAGTATTTGTAAAATGTTGTTGATTTAATTATCTGTTATCTTATTATATACAATTTTAATTTAATTGCCATCTAAAGCTGTTTTATTATATTGTTTTATTTTCTTTTTGTTTTTAATATGGAATTGAAAAAGTGATGACATATTCTTCTCTTTTGTTATGATTGGAATAAAAAGGAAATTGTATCTGTGTTTGTATTCAGTAAAATAAAAATACACGTTGTCATTCTTCAATTTACATAAAGGTTGGATTCCATAGAACTTTATTTAAGTTGAAGTTTCCTTGAATGCTTATGTAGCACTCAACTGTACACACTGAATTTGATTAAAGCAAAATAATTTTTGCTGTAAATGTATATAAATTTATTCAATTTTTTAGAAGTCTTGTACGAAAAGTTACAAAAATATGCTTTAATTAAAATGTAGAATAAAAAGATTAAAATAAGTGCCATTACAAACACTTAATAATCAAAAATAATATAAGAATCAAAAGATAGATGTAAAATAAAACTTCTCCAGAAACTGGGTTATACTAGATTTTAGAACTTTTACACTTGGATGCGTCCTATTGGTCGATTCTTTAAAATTTTAAATTTGAATGTACAGTACATGTGAGCTCTTCTGCATTCGAAATATTAGAACATTGAAATGTTAGAAGTTCCATCAGTTTAAAAATTTTTCACACCTAAAGCAGGTCTTAGAAGTAAACCAAAAGGTTTGTTTTTTCAGAAAAATCAGCTGGGTGAATTTATAGGTAGTGAATTTTTGTACAAAAAAGATAGATAACATATTTGTATTGGCAGAAGTGATGATCAGGGCCTGAGGGATATATAACTGTAACGGCTTTTTTAAAATTTGCACCAGCTAGAAAATTTTAAGTAAGGTTAAATGTATGTAAGTCAGATATCAGCTATTTATAGACTGTGTAAATCTTAACAATTAAAATTCAATTATGTTTAAAATATTTATGAATTTTTTAAACATTGCATTGACTCAGTCAAAATAACTTCTTTGCTATCATTACATTAGAGATTGAGATCTTGTCTTTGCTACAGATACCAATTAATAATGTTAGTTTTTAAGGATTTTTTAATAACAAGATTTTAACTTAAGATAAAAATTAACTCAATGCAAATAAGTTTAAAGCACCTTTCTTCTTGTATAATCCTGTTTAGATCAAATAAAATTACTTTTAAAATTTTAATCAACAAACCACGTTCCATTATTTTACAATTTTTTTATAATTAGTGGTTATTGTTTTTGATAAATATTTAGTTGTAATGAATAATGCATAAGATACAACTAGAACTATGAGATTACTTTTAACACTTATAATAAAATTGATTTGAAATGTGGAAATGCTATAAAAGCCAAATTTATTTTTATTTTGTAAAATTTAGTAGTTTTAAACATTTTCAAACAGTATTCATTATTAATTTAGTTTATATAATATATAAGACTTTAAACAAAAGAAATATATTATATATGGTTCAAGAAGTTAAAACAGTTCATTCTGATTAACATTTCTCAAGATATTGCACATCTTGTCATATCAAACACTTAAAGATAAATGGATTCAAACACAGTACAGTTCAAGGAGTCAAAACAGTTTTGACTCCTTGAAGTGTTTCTTTTGTTTCAAGATTTCTAATAAAGAATAGTTGATTGATACAAGGAAGATAAATGACTACTTTCAAAAGACATTATTTGGTTTAAAGAACTTCTAGTGCAGTAATGGCAGATTAAGTTCATCAATGTCAATGGTTATTTTAAAATTTTTAATGTGTTCAAAATATTTTTATTGTAGCTTAAGCTACAATAAAAATATTTTGAACACATTAAAATTATTTGAATAGTTTCATTAACTAATTTGATATGTTCTGATTTTTAATTAGCTTTTTAAAAGTATTTATTTATTTGCAGCAATATACCTTCAGAAATTTGGAAACTTTCACTCAGTATTTGGTATCTGTTCAAGTATTTAACCCTGCTGGTCAGGGACCAGCTGCTACTGTAGCAGTCATGACAGATGAAGGACGTAAGCATCATCGAAAGTTAGTTAGATATTATTAAGTTAAATTAATATAAAATTGACATTACTATGATTTTAGATCCCACAAAACCAAGAAATATAACAGGAATATTGATAACTGACAATTCTTTAAGAATTCGTTGGGAAGAACCAGAATCTCCTAATGGTGTTATACAAGGATATCGTATATATGTTCTTCACGTAAATCAAAATTTTACAGATGTACATAAAGTTTTGAATCCGCAACCAGTTATGGAATATTTAATTCAGAATCTCAGTTAGTAATTTTTGTAAATTTAATGTTAAAATGTACTTTAATAATATAATTAATGTATTAAATTTTTTTTCATAATTTTAGAGCCTTATACTGTTTATAAGATTATAGTAAAAGCATTTACAGGAAAATATGAAGGTGATCCAAGCAATACATTGGAAATTAGAACAGATGTTCAAGGTAAATTTATTATATTTATTTTTGAAGAAATTCAAATTGATCAGATTTAAATTAATCAAAGAAAACATTTTAAAGTTTTCTCTGATGAATTTAAATCTGATCAATTTTTATAAATCTTAATTGATTTACAAAACTGTTAAGTACAACTACATTAGATGCAACACTGTTTACTTTTAATTAAATTCTTTTAAAGTTTATTTTATATTAAGGCTGATTGTAAATTCTATGGTTATGCATTTGATCTCCAGCAGATGGTAGTAAAAATGTAATGGCATTTCTATGAGAAAATCTTTTTCCAAAAAATCTTGAAAACACAAGCAGATAGAATCACAATTTTTTGCATTAGAATCAAGCTTAATTCCTCTATCAAGATGCAGTTCAAAATTTTTAAAGTTGTAGAAAATTTTGTAAAAAATAACAAATTTGATTTTCAAATTCTGAATTGAACATTAATAGAATGTTGAGTTCAGGATTTTATTTCAATTGTTGTTTTAATAATTTTGATTGTGTCTTTTTCAATAAATTAATAATTTTATAAAATTCATGAACATTTATTAAGGGACAATTTAATAAATTTATATTTACATTATCAATAATGAGGTTAGTGGCAATGTTTGTTAATCAAACTTTCTTTGAGTCTTGTTTGGATGAGCTATACTTGTTAGCCATGTTAAATAAATAAATCTTTTTTCAACTGTGAGTTGACCATAATATTAACAAAGGAAATGGACATACAATTTTACAGGTGCCTCCAAAATTTGTGTCACTCCCTTTTGGGAAAGACAAGGGAGATTCTCCCTCTCATTGAAAACATGAATTTTGGCTCCTGAATGTAATCTAGAAAAGTTTTATCAATAAAACTCTTTTAATTTAAAATAATGTCTTTAATTTTTGTTTGAGAATATTGATTTTAAATTGTTTTGTTTGTTTTTTTTCCTTTTGAAATACTTTTTAATGAAATATTTTTTTTTCTTTCTTAGGTCCAAGTGCACCTTACATAGTGAACCTCACTTGTCAATCTTTGGATACTTTGTTTCTTCAGTGGGAACGTCCACACACTGTATTTAATAGAATTGATTATTATTTTGTTTACTATCGATCCGAGAAGAGTTGGAAATTTGAAGAGATCACGATGGCTTCGACACACGACAAACCCGACCATGCGGTAATATAATGAGGTTTCTTAATTTCTTACAGTAAAAAATATAATTTAAATTATATATATAATGAATTTTTAGGTACTGATACCTAACTTAACGGCTAATGCAATGTATGAAGTAAAAGTGAGAGGAGCTACTCGTAGTATTGTGGAACAAAATAAATTATATAAAGGCCCCTTTTCGGAATCTCGTAAAGTTCTCCTTCAAAGTGAGCAAAGTTTGAAAATAATAATAAAATGCTTATTTAATGACATTAACTTTAATATTTCATATAATGTTTAAAGGTTATACTGCTCCTTACGAAGAAGTTGGGATAAGTGCTGGATTGATTGCTGGAATTGTTTGCGTGTCATTTGCTCTCCTCCTCGCTATAATTTCTTTTATTTTATGGAGGTACATGTGTGATGATGAATAAGGACTTACTTATTTTTATTTATTGTAATTTTTTACATATCTGTTACTTTATATTACAGAAAGTATTTCCAAGCTGCATATTACTACTTAGATGATCCTCCTGGCAATCGTATTTCTCCTCCTCTGTCTGAAACTTTTGGTAAGAAACCAATATTTTTTAAAATTTATTTTTTAAACAAGATCTTAACTGTTAAATTTACTACAGATGAGTCTGAATATGCTTCTATTCCTGTTCACCAATGGGCTAAGCATGTTTCCAATCTTCATGCTGATGGAGATATAGGATTTGCTAAAGAATATGAAGTAAACTATTTTCTCAATTACTGAAATTGAATTTTTGATTGATATTCCTTTTTCTAAATGTTAATGATTTATTGTTTGCAGGCAATCCAGCAGTCATCTGACTTAGATCTTTCAGCTGAACATTCCCAAATGGCAGAGAATAAAAGCAAAAATAGATATGTTAATATTGTAGCATGTAAGTTGATTATTTTATTGTTTGTTTGGATACATTTAATTTAAATATAGTTAGTTATACAAAGTAAATTGGAATAACTGTCCTTTTTTAAAATTTTTTATTTGAAATAAAGATATAATGTAGCATTTATTAAAGATAAATCACAATATGCAATTCTGTTTTTAATTTTCCTGTTAGATCAGTTTTGTTAGGCATAATTTGAACATTAAGCTTAGAAATAAATAGTATCTTAGACTGAGTATTCAATTATATTTTAAGAAATTTGTAATAAAATGAATTTTTGCTATTGTAAGGTATTTAATATTGTTTTGCCCTGAATTATTTATTTAAAAAATACATATATAAAATAATGTTTGTTAGATATTATTATAAAATAATTATAATAAGCTTCTTTCATTAAACTCTTAATTAGCTTCTTACATCTGAACATTTGTGGAAGTTCTGGATTATGTTCATATTAATTTTTTTCAATTTTGTTAGATAATTCTCTAGAGCCTGTTTTGATAATCATCAAAGCAGACCCTAAAATTTCCTTGCCAATTGCTAACTAAGTTTTTAATGTTTTTATTTTTTTTTACATATCTTCTTGAGTGTTATGTATATGATCTCTTTAGCACTGAAGTTTTTGACACCATGATCCCATGACATTGTTAAATGATGTAATACAGTAAGGAAATTTTTCTAGCAATACTGATTTGTCTTTGACTATCTTGTAGTTTTTCTGAAATCCTCTCATACATTTTACTTTTGCAATATGCCTTTAAATTAGATATAATTGCTTGGTTGCATAGGTAAGTCAGAGATATTGAATTTACAGAAGAAATATTTATGTTTTACAATGACACATTGTTAATTCATGAGTGTGCCATATAGTTGTCTACCAACAAAACAATCTTTTGTTTCAAGTTTTATCCTACTAGCTAATGTACCCTGAAATGCTCAAGTTATCTATGTTATTTTGTTTTTTTCAATCACTAGATATCTTTGTTTCTGTCCTTGTATATTAAGAAGGCAAAGAATTATAATATGTTCCTTCAGTTATTTAAATCTATTAGCACTTTCATGTTTAAACATATTAGTATAGTTTCCAAGAACCAATTAATGACATTAATTAAAGACTTAATACAAGTCAAACATTACACAAAAATAAAGTGCTGTTTTGTCTGCATAGCATATATTTCTTGATAAATATTTGGTAGTAATGTTTTGATCATTCTGACATGGACATTAATTAAACACATAAAACACAAAAACTCCAACCTTCATCAAGGAATCAGCTTAATTTCCAAACTTCTGGTACAAGTTCCTATGATAAAAGTGATGTTTTTATGGAGGTTATTTGAAGATGTTATTGAGTGAAGGATACCTAGAAGATGTGAACAAGTGATTGACAATGTGAAAAAGCTAGAGGTGATATAGATAGGCAGGTTAATGGTTTTAGATTACAGGAAGTTGTATCAGTGATAAAAAAGGGATATTATGGTTGACCAGAAATTTAAATTTAAATTAAATCAATGAAGATAAAATAGGTTGGTTTGATGATTTTAAACTTAAATATAATGCAAAAAGGAACATTGGCTGTATCATTCCAATAAGAATGTTTGAAAAGATGTATTCATTGTGTACCACTGATGATGGGAAAAAATTCTTCTTGAAAACATTTCAGAGATTAAATTAAGGTGATTCCTTGATGAAGGTTTGACTTTGTGTGTTTGTGTCATCTATTTGGATTCTCCATATTAAGATAAACATTTGTTAATCCATCATTAAGTTAAAAGATTATATCATATGATTAAAATTGTCAGGACAAATAATTGTAAAAATTAACAAATATTAGACCATACACTGAAGAGTCTTCTTTGTTCTTGTTCACACCTTAAGAAAATAACTGTCTTATGGTAGAGTTGATCTTTTTATTAGAGGCTGCTTCATCTGCCTCATTATGCAAAATGTTAAAAAAAATCTTATTTTTAGTGCTGGTGTAAAATACATTTGATAAAATTTCCAAACATCAATAAAAGCAGCTGCCAATAAGTGTGAACAAGGACAAAGAAGACTCTTCATTGTATAGTCTAATATTTGTTAATTAATATATCATTTGTTTATTCCCTCTGTCCCAAGAAGATAGGTATCCAAAGAAATCTGCCACAAAGATGTTTGTAGATAAATACAAAAATATTCCTGGTTTTAGTAACAATAAGCTATCATACTATGACAACAAACGGAAATGCCATTTGCAGTATATAAAGCAACATAAAGCAGGGTTGTCCCAAAAAAGATGTGGGGAAGGAATCATATAGATTATTTAACACAGAAGTCACTCTTACCTGTAGATATTATATTTAAATATGGGATGCAAGTGTAAACTTAGTGAATGTGAAAAGGGCAAATTAATGGATATAATGATCTGCATTTAAGTGTTAAGAAATTTCCAGTAAACATGATCATTCTGAGAATGTAATGTGAAATTATTTGAAAAACCTTGAAGTTTATGGAATCAAGAGAAGTTCTGGACAGTCACATGTTTTAGTACATTAAACAGAACGTCCTCAGCAAATAATTAGCTTATCATAATACACCTTTTATGTTGCCGAGATAGTTTTATTGTTTTAGTACATCAAATTGATCAGAAGGCCATGAGTGTTTGGCAAACAGTTGCATCAGTGTTTATCCATCCATCCATAGTGACAGTTTGGAGGACATGAAAATCACACCCTAACATGGAATATGTAAAAAGTATCTTACTTAAATATTGAGAAAACAAAATTCCTTCAGAATTAAGGTCGAGTACAGCCAGCTTGAGCATGGAAGCACAAGGAGCACTGAGAAGAGTTTGCCTATCAATATGTTACTCAGACACGAGTGGTAAAACATCATTTTTTTCTAATGAGAAAAAAAAGAACTTGGGTGGACCAGATGGTTTATTGTTATTGGCACAATATTTGGAAAGAAAAGCATTAGTTCAAGAAGAGACAGCAGGGCAATGGAGCATTAATGACAAGAGATGCATTTGATGCTTTAGATAAAACTAACCTTTGCATTGTAAGAGAATGATTTAATGCACAGGATTATGTTAACTTACTTCAGGAACAGTTGCCACAAATTTACATGCAGTTGCTGGTGGAAGTTTTATTTTACAACAGGATAATGCTCCGTTCACATTGCTGCTGGTTTCAACAGCAAAATTTGAATATTCTACAATGGCCAGCATTATTGTCAGACGTGAACCCTGTAGGAACTTATGGGGCTACATGGTTCACACAAACTCATTTGCAGCTCTGCAAACAGAAGTCTTGACAGCATGGGAAAATATTCCATTTGAAATGCATTATGCACTTTTGGACTATGTCTCATTGATGTAAATCATTATTTCAAGCAAAAGGAGGAAAAACTTACTAATTAAATGCGTACTATTACTTTTTGTTTAGTTTTTTCATCCATAACATGAAAACCTATCTTTTTGGAACAAACCAGCTTTGTAGTTGCAGCCAGCACCAAAGCTTAATTAAGTACTATCTTTCAAATCACCTACACCATCTGCTTACTGTTATTAAAACTATGAATATGTTTAATATGCATCTGGAAGCATTTCTTGCAGCAGATATCATAGAAAATGTGAGACAGTGTGTGTTTGAAATGCAGAATCAAAAATATGGCAAAGACAGTTTAATTTTAAAATTTTAAGGAAAAAGAACAATCTCAAATAGTTTAATATTGTTTTATTTTATAATTTGGTTTACTAATGTTTTTTGTTTTTTGTTAGTAAGAATTTTTTTTCAAATTTTGTATTTGTTTGTGTGTGTATACAGTCTAATAAAAGTTTCAATATTCGATGACAAATACAATAAAATGTGATAATTTTTAGAGCTATGTACGATAAACAGCTTTTTCCAATGGGACAATGTAGTGGTGCTACTTGCTGCATAAACACTGTTGGCATCACTTGCAAACACAGGCAAGCCATTCTAATTTGTTTCTCTCTTTACTGTGATCAGGCACCCTACAGCAGTCCCAATGATGCTATATTAAAGATGGTTGACTGGTACCATATATGGTATAGAATTCAAGAGTAAAAAGAGTAACTTATTAAGAGTAAAACAAGTTATATGACTCAAGGATTCAATTCAAGTTTATTGTGACTGTTATGCAAATATTTTAAATTAAATATTTAAAAAATATATAATCATTATCATCTGTTTTGCCATTTGGCTATTTGTTCGGTTAACTGTCCAGTAAGTTCAAAATTATTAGTAACATAATTATAAGCAAATTACTGATCATGGTTAAGTGAAGGTTTTATAATGTTTAATTTATGTTTTGGGACTTATTGATAACTCTATCTGCAACAACAATAAGTGGCATCAAATGTAATTTATATTTTTACAACCAAAATTGATATGGTAAAATCTTGTTAAATAGTATTCAGATTTGCCTAATTGCTTACTGGCAATTGGACGTATACCCGCAATCAGCTGTCGTCGTCGAGTGCCGACGGCCATATGAAGGGTGGGATTTCTTTGTGTCCTCACAAAGTTAATAGGGACCCGTTTCCCGTAGAAAGTCTTCCCTAGATACAGTGTCCTCACGTCAATTGCCACGTCCAGGTGAACGAGAAAGCAAGCGTCAAAATTTTTTTACTTAAAAAATACTTATACATTATAAAGTTAATTATAAAAATGAAATAAAAAAAGACGTAAATACTGTACTTTTAAAAGAAAATGTGCAGAGTGCATCAAAAATATAGAAATCAATAACTTCTTTATTTGTTGTTTTTTGGCATCAACTATTAAGTTTCATTAAAATGTTAAATAAAATTGTGCAACAAATAAATATAATGAGATATGAAAATGAAGCTAAGATTTTTCATTAAATCAAAAATTTAGTTTAATAAAAAGTCTCTTAGTCAACTTTCCAAGTAAAGAACTGTGGTGTGATAATTCCTTTGGAGTATTAGTAAATTTAAAAGTAGCTAATAAGAATAATAATTGTGTAATGGCTTTGAAATATATATTTAGAGGTTTATTTAAAAATGAGCAAAAATATTTAAAGTGAGATTTGTTAAGATTCTATTTGCAATTTAATTCTTTTAATAATTACAGACGATCATACCAGAGTTAGCCTGAAACCTCTTCCCGGCCAAAAGAAGTCAGATTATATTAATGCAAATTACATCGACGTAAGTTTCAATTAATTTGTTTGATTTTTAAATATGATTTTAATACGCAAATGTAATGATTTTATAGCTTTAATTATAAAAAGAGTAGTAAAAAGTTCTAACATAATTTTCCTAATAAAATGACGAGAGATAGAATGCCAATAATACTAATCCTAGAAATTATGAAGGTTTTACGTAATAACGATCGTTGGCAATCTTTCGCGGGCCCACCGTCGAGCTAGCATTATCCTTTATTTATTACGGTACAAATAGAAAAATACAGTTAACGAATCGCGGGCTTTTAATGCATGGGTTTCTTCCCTCTGCCTACGTACGGCAAAGCATTTGATGCGTTAGAAACAGTATCGATTCAGAAATATGATCCGAAGCAGATTTTTAACTCTCGACAATCCGGTGATCCGGAGATTTAGCGGCATTAAAAACAAAGAAAAATAAGCGATTTCTAAAAACCCAATAAATAATTTTTACACAAGTACTATATTTTAATATTAATTTTACTACGTATTCTTATACTGAATTGACACAAAAGAATAGTACTCATTTTTTGTTATTTGCCTGTGTTAAATTTCTGCAGAAGACAACTTTGTTTGCCCAAACCGTTTTTAAATCATTGTATAGAATTAAAATAAATAGATTATTTTTATTTGTTCCCTACCGAGCATAATCGGTTGCATCAAATTGTCCCGCCTGGATTATTTCTTACATTTACAATGTCGGTCGTTTGGTGATCAAACCGATTGAAGGAATGGAATTTGGAACAAATCGTCGATAGTGATTTATGGACCCTACAAAATATTGTAATTGTTTAACATTTGTCGGACATGATAAATTCTTTATATTGTTTTCGTTAGTTATTCCCCATCAATAAACATCCCAGTTTGATAAAGAATCCTAAATAGTTAATTTCCTTTCTAGTGAATTGACATTTTTAAACCTTACATAAAGACCATCTTTCAAATATAAGCTAAACACTCGTTCAAGACCTCTAAACGTTCTTGAATATTTTGACTAAAACTCGACAAATTGTCAAAATAGTTAATAACAGAAAAAAATCTATATTTATTTAAGGCGTGTTTTAGAGTTTCTGGTAAATCTGTTCCAACCTAAACTTGAAAGCGGCTAGGAAAGTTGTGATTTCCTTATCGGGACATAGAGGAATTTGCCAATAAGTGGACACTATATGGAGGAGTTAAAAAACTTTGCATCTACAGGTCTATCAAACAGTTCACCGGTTCTCAGAAAAAGCTGGTAGTTAGCATTAGCCGCCTCATTTAGCCCGCAGTAGTTCACGCCCTTCATCCTTTTTCTTTCCAAAACGACTGGGATGACGTAAGACCACCAGGATGGTTCAGTTATATTTGATTATAACAATAATGCCACTTATCTGTTAATTTCTTCCTTATCTTTAAAGGAAACTTGGTACAGTTAAAGAAAGATACTTTCATTACGCTTAATATGTATTTGGAGAGGATCTAGCTATAAAGATGGCAGCAAAATTACGTTCGCCCACTTTAGTACCAGGAAAAATACTGGACAGATTTTTAACACCTGGAAATAACACCTTTATATTGTTTATGTTAGTTATTCCCCACTTAAGAAATATTTCTTAAATGTTATCTTATAAAAGTAAGATTGAAAATGGCTGTTGATTTTGTTAACCTAACCTAACGATGCTTACCTGTTATGTCTCGGTTGGGATTAATCTAATAATTTTCCGTTTATTTGCTTCGTTATTCTTAGACTATCGGGAGGATGGGGTATTCGTATTTTTATATTAGTTAATTGTGGTGGGTGTTGCGAAATTTATCTATGACGTTGTATAACGGCTGTTGGTAAATATTTTAAATGGAAATAAAATGTTGCGGACAGGGATACGGAAAATCCAGAGCGTACATCGGAACTCAGGGTCCTCTGCCTTGTACGTTCGACGACTATTGGAGAATGGTGTGGGAACAGCGAGTGTTCGTCATCGTCATGATCACCAACCTGATGGAGAGGGGACGCGTAAGTACAGTGCCTATCTGTGTGTATTTTCCTGTTTATAACGCTCCCGTTTTACTTCTGTTTTGCTTTCATTTTATTTATTTATTTATTTAACTGTTTTTGCTGTCGGCGTTCTCCTAATATGTATTTACTAACATTGAAGTTATATTTTTATATAGGTGTACGTACGTATATATATTTATATATATGGGTTAAAAACCAATTTGATTTTATTGATTTTATTTTAAAAAATATAACATTTTGTTAGCGACTAACATAGTTTGCTTGCCAGTTATTCAATGGGCACAAATTTTGGTCTTTTGCATGCCAGCACGAAACTAGCACCTCTGATTTGGACGACAGTGTAAGTACTCACCCCTATTAATTCTTCTCCGCTATTGTTTTTAATTTATTTGTTTTTTCTCACGCTATTAAACCATTAACGATTAACAGTACGTTTCTTCCTCGTTTCCTTTTAAGTTTTAATTCTTTAACCCGGGAGGAAATTACCATTAACTTATTTGACGTAATGCTTAATAATTAAGGCACTTGGAAAAAGTTATTGCCAATTTTATTTTACGTATAGTCGTACAATTATGGCATTATCTTCGGAAGGTTACGGAATAAAACATCAATGACAATTTATTATTTATAACTTTAAATTGGGATCCTAACAAAATAGCTAATTATTAATATATTGTCGCGCATAAAATGTTTTGGATGCGTGTTTCTTAAAGGAAATTTGAAGTTGTGTATAAAAGCGTTTTTGGCTCGGACTTATTTCGATGTAATTAGGCTATGAAGTTGGAAAACTATTTCTGCCAAATTTTATTCCGTTAAGAGTTGCAGATGGCCCTGTATGGATTTTTTCTTTTGAGAAATGTCAAAGTTGTGCCGCAATCGTACAAAATTATTTGTTCTTAATCTTAAACTTTTCCGCCGATAGTTTGTGCGCAGAATGGTTTATAGGTGGCGCGGTTTGTCTTAAATTTCGGCAACATAAAAGTCATCTTACCCGATGCAATGGTTTCTTTTTTTTCAAAATATTGGATAGCATCGCGATGTAGCTCATTTACGAAATATCTTTCCTGGCCTCGACACCGATATCATACCATTTGTGTGAGGTGTAAGTTGTTTTGTTTTTTTTTTTCTTCTTAGTCACACGAGACTTGTATTAGATTGTAAAGGTGAAACTTAGACAATTGTCAATATTTTTCTTTTCGAAATAACAATGATTACAGTTCAGTTTTACAGGTAATCACTTTCAATCCCGTGAGCGCAATGACTGGGGTTTTTCTTCGAAGGAAGTCTCGAGCACTGTTCTCATACGGGTATTGTCGTTATGATTTTGCAGATGGTAATCAGTTTACATCGAGGCAGAACCTCCCACCCATACCGATCGTCTTTTCTCTGTGTTGGCGCTACGGCGGCGGTATCGGAGTTTGTCAGTTTTTAGATAAAGTTCCTCGATCTTTAAACGCTCGAGTTGCGCTTATTCTCTGGTGCCCAACCGTGGAATAAAGTCTTATCCAGTTGTAGGGGTCCATCTCGAAGCGAGAAATCGCCAGCCCCGAAATTCTAGAACCAACTGTAGCGGATTTGGTTTGCCTATTGACTTTGTCCTGGCCAAATGCTATTTAGAGGAGATGGCGAGTCTCTGTTGCTTTGTGGCCACTTTTGAAAGGATAGAGCAACACTCGCGAATTTTTTCTTTCGAAAGTTTTGTAGATGCATCGGCGATGTCTGACACCATTTCCAATGAAACGGGTGAAGAAATGCCTACTTGTATACACAGAACGTTCTAGAACATTTTTTCCGGTCGTTTCTAGAAAAGGAAGTGTTTAAATTTCACCTTTACAACCTGGTACGATTTATATACATCTAACTAATATTAGAAATTAACCGAAAACGCGGGTAATGCTTTTTGTCGTTCGAATGCTCCTCAACTGCACAATCGACTGGGGTAAATGCTGTCATCGATAATTCCCGTTAATTAATATACAGTGGAGCGCATTTTAGGACTCTTCATCAACAATGCTAATAACAGCTGTATATTCACAGACACTGCAAGACAACCGACTTGTTTGGAAAATTTTTCGACTGGCCGTAACTGGGGACACGGCATTTGACACGCACCGTTCCTCGGGATTTTCATCCACGATAGGCTTATTACTAATCATCTTCCTGCCAAAATTATTTTATATTTTTAACTAGCCGCAAGGACCCGCTTCGCTGGGCAAGAAGTAACGATAGCGAAGATTAAGATAATTACATTATAGCTAATCTTACCCGTTTTCACAGAATGCAAGAATTAGGTCCCCCGTTTCCAGACTAATTAGAGAATTTTTACGTTTAGTCAAACGAACTATTTTCAACGTTTCTGGAACGTTTACAATCGTTCTATAATCGAATTTAATTCGAACAAAACATTCGAAATAGAAAGCCACTTTCAACCACTTTCAGCCTCATATCTCCCGCACCCTTACAGCTATCGAGACGCGACCACCCCTATGCACGAATGGAGACTTGAGGCTACACCACATACAAACAGCATTCACGTGCCATGTGTAGTTTTGGCGGAAAAGTGAATTATAGGGACATACATGTCCATTTTTATATATAGATATAGATTAAATGCGATAAACAAAAATTCTGTAGTCATTTCCTAGACGTATGCAATAACGAGTTTTAAATATACTAAACGAATCGGAATAACAAAAAAAGTTTGGCAGAATTAGAACCGCTGGAAATTTTTGAATTAAATTAAATTGTCTTTGGTTACTTTTACATCGGGAGAGAGGAATCGAACGGAGGCAATGATTGACATTTTCCAAGAGCCCGGAAATTTCCACGCTTAATTCGAGCGTTTAAGCACTTTTTAAAACGTTTTACCGACAGCGCAAGTGCGACATGTACTGGCCCAAGGAAGGAGTGGAGACTTACGGAATAGTACAGGTGAAACTGGTGCGGGAAGTGACCATGGCCACCTACACCGTTCGCACCTTCCTGGTCAGAAACGTCAAGATTAAAAAGGTAAGGCCCGCGCCCGGGACAAAGACGGTTTCATTTTCTCCTCTTGACCAAATTTAAATTCGAACAGAAAACGGCGGCGGAGAGGACCGTCCGCCAGTACCACTACACCAATTGGCCCGACCACGGCGTTCCCGAACATCCTCTGCCCGTCTTGAGTTTCGTCTGCAAGTCGTCGGCCGCCAACCCGCCCGACGCCGGACCCATCATCGTGCACTGCAGGTGAGGACCGCCACACACTAAGGTAAATAGACCCCACGGATCGATGGTAATCGCCATTTCTTTTAGCGCCGGAGTGGGACGGACCGGAACTTACATAGTGTTGGACGCCATGCTGCAGCAAATAAAACACCGGCGGAGCGTAAACGTCTTCGGCTTCTTGAAGCACATAAGACGCCAGCGGAACTTCCTGGTTCAGACGGAAGAGCAATACGTTTTCATTCACGACGCCCTGCTGGAAGCCATCGACAGCGGCCAGACCGAGCTGAAGAGAGAGGACCTGCCGGCGCGTCTCCGACTTTCCGACGACGACGCGGACGAAAAGGGATTGCGACCGGCTCTGGAGAACCAATTCGAGGTGGGCCTCTTCCCGTCCATTCCGCCCCGGTACGGCGTCGACCCCGTTTAAACCGTTTTTTCCCTCCTCAGCTGGTGACGACGTTTCGAGCCCGAGACTTTCAAACCGCGTCGGCGTACAAACCGTGCAACAAGATGAAGAATCGCCTGCCCAATCTGGTTCCCGTCGAGTCTCAGAGAGTCCACATCGTGGCCAAACCGGGCGTCGAAGGCTCCGATTACATCAACGCCAGCTTTCTACCGGTGAGTGCCTGGCCCGCCTCTCGGGGGTTCTCTCTCCGGTGGTCGCACTCATTCCCCGTTCTCTTTCCAGGGTTTCGATAAACTGCGGGAATTCATAATAACTCAACACCCTCTACGCGAAACCGTGGCCGACTTTTGGCAGATGGTGTGGGACCACAATTCGCAGACCGTGGTCGTGCTGTCCTACGTGGACGAAAAGGTAAACAATTGGCTTTCTTCATCCTTGCGAGTTGTAGATTTTAACGCGGCGCCCTCTTTCAGGAATATCCGTGCTTTTGGCCGGAATCGGAGGAGTACGACTACGGCAGTTTCAAAGTGAAGACGACGGAAGAGTCGGCGCAGGGCAACGTGGCCACGCACGATTTCGTCATCCAATCGACCCAGGACGATTACGAGGTGACGTGCCGCATCATCCGCTGTCCCGGCTGGCCCGAATCCTGTTCCCCCGTCAGTTCGGTATTCGACCTGGTGCACGTGGTGCAAGAGTGGCATCTGGAATATCAGAACGGACCGATAATAGTCGTCGACAGGTGGGAGTGGTAAACCTATTACTCATGCGACAATTATGCGTCCGATTCACGCGCTTATTTATATACAGGTTCGGCGGAACGGAAGCGGCCAAATTTTGCTGTCTGACCACCATCCGCAAGCAGCTGGAACGCGAAAACTGCGTGGACGTTTACATGTACTCCAAGCTGTACCACATGAGAAGGCCCGGAATCTGGCAGACTCAGGTTAGCCACCTTTCGACCGTTTCCGTTTCCGGCGAAACTCCCGCTGACGTCGCGCCTTTTGTATTTTCAGGAGGACTACGTCTTCTTTTACCGAGCCTTGGAAAGCCTGTTTCCGGCATCGGCCGCGGGCGAGGGAACCGTGGCCAACGGACACGTTAACACTAACGGTCACGCAACGAAGACGGCCCCTTCTTCGAAAGAAGAGACGGCGGCGTAGTGGCGCCCCGCACTTTAGTCGAATCACCGTCCGTTTAGATCGAAACTGCCATTTTTATTCGGAAGGAAGTACGGATGCAAAACGGCCGTCGTCGAGTAAATATGCAAGCCGACTTTTTATTTTCCATCGGTGCAGACTCGCGTAGCCGCTTGCCAGCAGAACCTCCTCCGGTGTCGTTTCGCTTGTAGCAGTGTCTGTCGTCCGAGAAACGTAGAGTAGTTATTTTAAAATGGATGTTAGCTACGTTGTTGACTCGCCGTGCGATATCCAAAATGTTGCCGAGTATTTTTTGCCTACGGTTAATGTTTGTAAAATACTGGCGATAATCAAAACAGAGAAAAAAGTAAAAAGTATTTCCTTTGCCCATGCGTTACGGACCATCTCGGAATTTCCTGCCAAATACCGCTTCGCACCAGAAAGAGCACCGTCTTGCCTTAAAGGATAAGGAAGGAGGAAAAAAGCCAGTTATATATTATACTTAAAAAACCAAAATAGTGCGCGGTGCATGCAGTAGTTTATTTATGTAATTATTGTACATAGTGTCAGTTTGTCGTTGTCGACGTACGTACGTTTGAAAATGGTGTGGTAGCGACAGTGTCGGTGTTTTACTATCGCTTGTGATAAAGAACGACGCTCCGCGCCCGTAAATCTAGTAAGTTACACCCTTTTAATAAGAAAAAATCCATCCGACGTCGTGAAGATAGCGATGCACCCGAGTTTTCTCTCTCACTTTCCTTACAACTTCCGCTTTCTTTTAACGTATTTATGTACACGGAGACGTCCGCTTTTTATATATAAAAATATACAATTTGTTTTTATAGAATTTTTTATATTTTACATAAAATTTCCCTCCTTAAATGCACAATTTTTCCATTTATATATAACTTTTAATTTGATTGGAACACGATACATTCCAAGTGAAAAATTGTGAATCGAGTTAGTGGATTTACACGTAAAGAATGCCCCTTTCCTAATCTTCCTTTGATAAAATGATATTCTGTATAGTATAATTGTTTTCTATTATATATATATATATGACGACATTGTTTGTAGTTATGTTTTATCAGTGCAATCGACATTCATAGAGTTTTTGTATTATAGAGAAACTGTCACGTTTACTTGTACTCTCGAAATAAAAAGTACAAACATTACTTAATGCCTTTTATTTACGTATACGACGGATCTTGGCCGTCGCCCGTCCTAGCGGTTCTCTCGTGGTAATGGTTAACGTCGAACGTTGCCAAGAATTCTTGCAAGTGGGGTTGGTATCCTTTTGCTACCAATTTCTTCAGCACTGAAAAAGTCCGTGGGAATTTGTTATAGTATTTTTCGTAAAATGTGGCGCCCGGCAAGGACGTAATCGTTTAGAAAAACTAAAGCATGCGTAATTAATTAATAAAGCAGCCATTAATTTTAATTAGTATGGTTAAAAGCATGCACTTTATTAACCTTAATAAAGAGAGAAAATACGAGAAATTAGTTTTATTTACGTATGAGAAAAAAGGTGCCAAAGCAACGAGTGTTTGAAGCTATACCTGGGTGCCCCGACGGCTCTGTACAGCCAAGCTACCGACGGAAGGTGCGAGAAGTGGTACGGGAAAGGGGACAAAAAAGTAAAAAGTGGGAGAAATGCAGAAAACCAATGAGTTTTATAATGATACAATACTTTATATTTATAAATATGGTACGATTCATTCTGTGTTAAGTTAGCTCCGGTGACAATTTAACGTTTAGAAATATCGATTTTGTTCTAGGATGAAATTAATTGCAACAAAACCGTTAGAATAATTTTGATCTTAACACAAAATTGAATTAGAAAACAATGAATTAAAATTTCGAATTAGAGTATTTAAATAGTCTTACCTCTGTACAAAAAGGAAGAATACTCTTTAAAAATTTTATACGACGTGACCAGAAGAGGATAGGAAGGATGTTCCATTTGTTTGGTTTGCCCATTCAACTGCCAGGAAGCGGTGAAAAGCTGGCAACGGAATTTGGTTACGATGTTGAAAATGTCTTGGATGATCTTCATGACGGGCGCCGCTTTCTTCGACAACAGACACCTGCCGACGCCAGTCTCGGATTTTAATCTACGCCTCTAAACGAACGCCTAAAATACATTTCAAACGCGTAATTTTTACCTGAAACCCGCCTTTTTAAGGTAAGAAATGTGAACGTCTCTCAGTTGGTCCAGGTTGAAGACTTTATTTTGCAGCACGCTCTGGAAACTATTCCACGTCACTTGTAACACTTGACTGGCGATGTACGATTGCATTACGCGTGCGAAATGCTGCATTTCGTGTCTAAAATATTTATAATTTTCTAATTTGTAATAAGAGTCCGTTGCCACTTTCAAAAATGAAAACTCACCTGTATAATTGTAGCTGTCGACACTGCAACGAGCTCCGTACGTTACGTTCCCTTTCTGCAAACCGGTCAAATAATAGTTATTAAGTTGGTCCTATTGTACGAAACAGACAATTTTCTTACACAGTTTAAATATTTTCGTACCGTCGAAACTCTCTGACGATATATAAATTTAATTTTTCATTTTTGACCGAAGAAAGAATCATTCAAAAGGTATTAAAAAAATTCGGCAACCAGTTGCTTAACTTTCCCAACAACATCCAAAACTCTATGGCGCCATCTATTATTTATATTTTTAATAATTACAAAATGAAAAAAAAACGTCCCTACCCTCAAAATTAAGTTTCTTTTTTCAGGAAACCCCTCCCTAATTGTATTTACTTTCCGTTTTCCAATCGTCGATGCGTTTAACCACTCAGACAGCCGAGATAGCTGTTTGATGGAAAATTTTACGAGTATGGCGATGCTAGAGACGAAATTTAAAACAAAATCTTGATTACCAGACCGAAGATATTTAACAGAGTGATTATTCCGAGTTTAAATAAAAACGTCAAAGTAAAATGTCGGCCCGTTGCAGTAAAATGTTTGTACGGGAACCTCAAATTTTTGCAAACACGGAGCTATAATATTTAAGTAAAGCGGAGGCGGCTTACAGTACTCCGAGCCGGAAGTAGCTTCGCCGTACAACAAACCGCCATTCTTTGAGGGAAAGAAAGTTTTTCTTTTGAAATCGACGTTGGAAAAGAGAAGGCAAAGACGAAACAGTCCTGGAGTATATTTTCAAATCTCTACGTTTAACTAATTATTTTGGTTTTAATAATTTAAAAATAAATAATCGATTAAATTCTTACCAACAGTTTTTAAATGATACCATATATCGTTAAGTAACCATAGCATTCGTTTTACTTGAAGCAATAATCCAAAGAGAAGATTATACTGATCGATGCATTTGTCCGTAATGACAATATTTAATGGCCACGATACCTTAATATAAAAAGAAAAAACACGTATAACGTCGGTATTGGTTTTTCCCAAAATTAAAATGTCAAGTAACTAAATTAGATGCCAATATATAAGGGTAAGAAAATGTCAAATTCTTCTTTTGATTCTTTTTTTTGACCTTAAGCCTGTTACTGACACTGACCATTCTATCCCCATATACATTGGCTTTAAGACATTAAATTAAAATATTAAAAATTTTACCTTATATCTAAGTTCGAGACAATTTAAAATGCTGGACGCTATTTAAAAAAGGAAATGATTATTTAAATTGAAAATTACTTATATATTAAATAAATAATAAAACAAACCATTGTGAGGGAACACCACGGGTATAAATTTCACTGCAAAACTAAGATTTTCGGCCAGAGGATTATCTGCGTGAATGGTTGAAGCAATCGCTCTGGCCAAGATCGAGTTAAGTGTGGGTGGATTCAGCAATTCTGCTGGAGCATTACATTGCGCTATCTGAAATACAAAGTTTTTATAATTACACAAAATAAATTTAATTATTAACTTTTATTTTATCGACCTTATCGAAAAGGAGTTGACTGAGCATTTGTCCAAATTCGCCGTCTTGAAAGAAATAGTAATTTCGAAGAGCTTTAAAGTGATCGTTAATGCGGAGGTCGGTGGTGAAGAAATCAACCACGCTCTTATTTACCAAATGAATTCTAAAAGTCAAATATAAAAATCTGTATTTAATGCACAGGAATTACAGAGAAGAAAGCACAATTTTGTTACGTACTGTGTTTGAATAAGAGGAAGAATCGACCGGTTTAACAGAACTGGTAACGGAATGTATTGAGTGGATTTTTCGTCGTCCTTGCATTCATTGATTTTGCTGTTTTTTGTTTTAGGAATATTCATCAGTATGTCAAACATTGGTGTTTTATCTGTAATGTATGTATAAATATATTAGAGTAATTCAAATGCTTAATATTTTAAATAATGATATACAGGTCAATCACTGACTTTCCGGCATGTTTGGTTCTAAAACCTTGCCAAATTAACAGTTTTGCTGGAAATTATTTAATAATAATTTTACCAGTATATCCCAGACCACTAACTATATGCCTCCCATTTATCTGAAGCACTACAGACCATTAGAAACTTAAAAGTTTAAGCATATTTTAAAACTGGATGCATGTTTGCATTCACTATCATTGATAACTGAACATTTTTAGAAACTACGGCTAGAGTTGAATGTAAGTAAAGCCAGTTAAAAATCATACAGAATTTAAGCAATCGCCAACAACTACAGTACAGACAATCCAGTGAATGTAATTTTAAGCAATATTGTCGGTGGGCGTATAATGAACGGTTGTAGACAAAAAAGGATTACGGGGATTTTAAGTGTCCGTTCGTAATTCTCTGCATTAAAAAGGGGCCGGCAAATCAGTGGTGAACCTGTATATGACCAATAATTTGCATAAATTACTATTATGATCATTATCCATATGGTAAATTTTAAGATACAGTAATCTAATAAATATGTTCTAATATATCATTTAAAGCAAACTCTTAAGAAAAAAAAAATATTCTAACTTTTTTCAATACATTTTAATGATTAAGCTAATGCTTCTTTTTGATAACAGTATTTTAATCCCTATCTATCAGTTTGGAGTGTTTGTAATTAAGTGTGGTCAAAAGTGACTTAACAAAAGGATATTTAATATTATTTATCAAGCATATACATTTTTAGTAACTTCTTTGTATAAATTTGTTTATACAGTATTGATAAATGCAAAAGGAATTGAAACTACTATAATCAAACTGAAATATCACAAATAATTTCATATATTATTGATTCTTTAATTTGAAATAAATACATTTCTTCTAGTTATAAATTAAAACATTGTTCAAAAAGTAACTATTTGTAAGTAAGTATGTATCAATGTTTTAGAAATATAAATACATAAATTTACATTTCTAAAACAGCAGTTACATCATTTGATGTCACTATTTCAGAAGCCTACAAATAAAGATCAGAGAAATTATTACTTTGCGTGGAGGTCATCGCTATGCAACTCTACTTTTGTTGGAGAGTCGCTTTAAAATAATCTTTAATTTGTGTTATAAATTCCAGATTTGCTTGGTTTCCAAATGTGTAATTTCTCTATTGTGTTCAAAACTTTTGAAATTTGAAAGATTTAGCATGTTTCCATCACTAATTTAAAAGAACAAATTGCTTAGATGTAGAATATGATTTAAAAATCAGTTAATTGTGCTTCATTCTATGTTCTACATACACTTGCAAATATGAATTTTAAATTGAATTTATAACAGCGCAATAAAAAATATAACTAAATTAATTATATTTTTTTAATTTATTGCAATTAATTCAGTTATATTTTTGTTCTAAATTCAATTGGTTCTGTCAAATTTTAAATACTTTATATACAGTGGGTCGTCGTTTAACAAACAGTTCGGATAGCGAACAAATTGGAAAATGAACACTTTCACGAAAGATTTTTATGATCGGACAACAAGCACTTTACCGAACAAACATAAAAAGAAGCGACGGAAAATAACGAGTACCGATTGATTTTCCCTTGATTTTCCCTTGTCTTCGGGTAACAATTTGAAACATTTCGGGGGCGTGGTAGACGTCAACGTCGACGCTCGACCCGATACCGATCGGATAGTATTCTTCCGAATTTTTAAACTCTCCCTTGTAATTCCAGCTTTTTGTTTACCTTTCTGACAAATAATTTTTTCTAGTCTTCGCGAGACTGTCGGACGGGCACTTGTTAAAATTTTCGTCGGGGTTTATTTACAACTAAAAGTGAAAGTTTAACTGTCCCATCAGATATTCGTTACATTTTAATACCAAATTTCGAATTTCATCCTGGCCTTGCATTTAAATAATTTTTTGTGGGCTAGTTGATTTCTGTTCTCTGAATTTTTGTAAATGCTTTTCTGAACTTTTTATTTAAAAAAGAAACTGATAATATTATGGAGCCTAAAAAGAGAAATGTCAAGAACTGTGCTCACCATAGAAACCAAGTAAGAGATAATAACCAAGGTAGAAAGTGGGCACAAGATGTCTGATGTTGCTAGACAGCATGGCTCGAACAGGTCTACAGTAGGTACAATCTTAGCTATGAAAGATATATCAAGAAGTCTCAAGCTGCTAATGGAGTAATGAAAATCACATCTGAGAAATAAAGAGCATTTTAGAGCTCACGATGAAACCTGAAACTGATCTGACGACAGAAGAACTCCAAGAACTCTCAAATGATCATCATCAAGAAACTCAGCGAGATGTGTTTTCTTTTGAAAAAAGAGGAAGACAAAAGAGGACCATGTTGACATCTGCTACTAAAGATCTTTTGAAGAAGTGTGAGGATGTCAGAACAATCATCATCCAAGTGACATCCAAACCAGAATAAGGTTAATGAGGTTGGGGATCTCTACAATTACAATACTATTAATTACTTCCGAAAAATCCCGAAGAAAAGAGAAAAGCAATTGACCTTGGACAGAATCTTTAACCCCCACAAATGGAAAAAACATGACTAATAAAAATGCAAGACTGCATATATATGTATTTTTACTATTAAATATAAATAAATGTAGTAAAAAAGTATATATTTTTTATTTTTGGAGTCTCCGGAATGAATTAGTCAAATTCCCATAAAAACCTATGATAAATCGATAATTGGTTAATGAACAAAATCTTGGAACAGATTATGCTCGTTAACCGATCACCCACTGTATATACATATATATGTATATCGGCATTTAAAATTTAATAAGTTTTAACCAATAATATTTCAATACACTCTTTTTCTCTCTTTGATTAACTTTTATGCGTATTTAAATATTTTTCTAGTATAAAAAAGTTTGAGGATTTCAGATCTTTATTTTTTTCCTATTTCATGTGAGAAATGAGTTATAACTAAAAAATTCTTACATCTTGTAGGCGTCCGGATATTTTTGTGATGTGGTGTATTTACTACTGGAACCTGCAACATCAATCATTGGCTGTTCAACGATCAATGAAAAATGTTGGAACAATGACTCCAAATTGGTCTGCAACATAAATTCTTACAACAATGATATTTCCAAAGGGCAGTCAGAGCAATGCCATCATTTTCATAAAACAGCTTCATAAATAGTGCAGATCCAACAAGATGGTGAGCATCATAACCAATACAAATGAAATTCAACAGTTGAGGTCACCTTTAAGCCAAGAACTTGACTGAAACATATGTACTTATGCAAGGAAACTGTGTTTTCATTGCTTGCAATACAAAGAAGGTCAAAGTAAATTTTGCTACTAATTTTTTCCTACAGAAATGTCTTTTGGCTATCCTAAAATGTCACCTTACCAGATTTGGTTGCATTTGAATTGCTAAATATTCTACAGGCAGCATTTAGTAGTATACATCTTACATAAATATTATATAGTTAAATATAAAATAATAAAAAATTGACTTACCAAACATATCAAAGTCCTTTTTGTATGAATGTAACTTTTCTGGGATTTCATAAACAGTTTTTTCTAGTAACTGATGATCATCAAGGATAACTGTAAGAATAACTATAACTGAATAAAAATAACTATCTTCTAAATTAAATGAAGTGAACTAATCATGAAAGGTAGAATATATTTAGGATATAATCATAAACAAACACATGTTGATTGTTTGTATCTTCACATACTTCCCTTATATTTATATTCTTATTATACGTAAATCCAAAATTGCACCTTATAAACAGGGCTGTGGAGTCGCGTAAAAATTCACCGACTCCGACTTTTCCTTACCATCCGACTCCGACTCGGGGCAGACTTGTTATCAAAAGAGACCCGGAAATTCTGATGTCATCATGTGACCTCAGAATAAAATATTCAATAAATAGAGTTGTAATAAAGATAGAGCGTAGAAACTTCTTATTCCAAAGCTAAAAGACTTCTCTAAATAATATATAAATATGTATTCGATAATTTTTACTTTTCCGGCTGTTATATAACAGAAGGAAAGTGTAGCGCTCAGTCAAAAAATGACCCCTCCCAAATTTTTACATTTTTGGACTCGGGACACCTTGAAATTTCGAGATATGCAAAAGATTTGAGGTTTTTTCTATATGTGTGGATGTTAGAGATGATTTCGTTCACCCTGTTTGAAGCCTAATAATTTCTGTGGTCAGAGTGGTCAGAATCGTAGTCAGATGGTTTAACACAGGAGTTAGTTATTTAAGTCAAAGTGGTTGAACTAAATCGTGTCCCCATATACATTCTAACATCTTAGGCGAGAACATCTTAACAGGTTTTACTGTACTATTATAAAATGACAAAGCTTACTTTGAGGGTAAAGACGAGTTTTATTTTATTTTTTTAAATTTTGAACGCTGATAACGAGTAAAATATTCATTAAGAGATATGACACATGACCACTTTTATGTCTTCACCCTGTCGACCTTAAGAACCAAAATTAAATAGTATTAATGTCCCTTTATACGCAAGCTACAGTGCCACATTTCGTTTCTTAAACTTTACCCGTTCTGAGATATTGTTTAATATCTCAGAACAGAAAATAAAGAAATTAAACAAATTAGACGCCAACACACGCGCACGCGAATTTTTCGCCTTTATTGACTTTTTTGAGGGGTTCGGGAGGTCTCCAAACGTGTAGATTTGCAAAAAAAAAACTTGAAGGGTCAAATTTGACATGATTCCAATACTTTTCTGTTTTATATACATAACAAGTTGGTAAGTAAAAAGGAGTTGGCGGATTTTTTGACGACTCCGACTCCAACTAAAATATCAAAACTCCACGAATCTGACTCCGACTCCGACTCCGACTCCACAGCCCTGCTTATAAATCTAATATTCAATAATATTAAATTTTAGTAAATTAATTTTTTCAATAAAGAAACCATTTAATGAATAGTAAGAACCAAATATATCAAAAGTTTGAAGTTTGTAACTGCTCAATACACTTAGACTTAAAATACACCACCAAAACAAATGTCAGATTACTAGAAAATAACATTTTTGGTCTATTTATAGATTGTCAACAGGATACACTCCAAATTTAAAAACAGAAACATTCCAAAATAAGATTTGAAATATAAGATTCAAAGCAATACAAAAATAAAAAAAGAATGTCATAAAAATTACTCTTGATACTCCTGATTACTTTAGCATCAATCTATCTTTGGCATTAGTGAAACACATGAGTGATATGTCATTTCTACAATCATCCTCATATGTAAAGAATTAAGTTATGAGCATCATATTGGTGTTCTTACAACCACTGTTTAAAATTCCTTCTGGTATATCCCATGTATGCCATATTATTCTCCCCATTCCAGCTTTTAGCTGGTATGATGTAGACCCTGGTTTTATGTTCATTTGGGATTTTGTTTTTATCATGTCTTAAATAACAAGGAATTTCTTCACCCATAAATTCTTGTGATTAGCACATGTGACAATGTGCAAATGGCTCCCTACGTTTCGGCACCACTTGATCGAGGGGTCGACACTGCATTGGCAATGACTACGACAACTAATTCATCGGGACTGACACCACTGTGTCTTTCGGACAAACACAGAAACCATTATGTTCACTTTTATGCATGAGTGGTCACGTTTGTAGATGCTTGGATCTGGGATGGAGATGGCCTAAGAGACAACTGGAAGAAGTGCACACTACTTTGAATTTAACAATTCACAATACCCATTTATTTACATAGCAATAATATACAGAAGTTGGTTAAGATGCTTAGCTAGCACTAATTTTGTATAACAATTATTGAAAAAACTAACTTCTATCATTAATATTGCAGAGAGAGAGAGAGAGAGGGAAAGTTTACAATCACTCACGCATCAGTAAATACCTTAATAGAAGTTGGTCCCTTTTCGGAATCGCAGAATTGCCAGATCAATGTACTCCTGGTCTGCAAGGTGGTTTGAAAGAAGCTTCGATTAATCGAAAAGGATGGAAGTCTTTTGAAGCTTTGAGAAAAGCAGAGGATGGGCAATGGCTACTTAAGCAGTATCCAAAAGCGAACACTAGTCCAAAGGTGACAAACTAATGATGACAATGAACTCCTTGTTGCGTCATCAACCCATTCTTTTATTCTGGGGTCCTTCCCTCACTGCCTTTGCCCTTTTTTGGTACTATTTAGTTCTACGGGTCCAATGGCGATTTTTCTCTTAGTTCCTGGTGACACATTCAATGTGTCACCTTAAACAAGGAAAGGAAACAAGTCAATGGAAAAGATCTAATCATAGCCTTTATGATCTTTTTTTTAATTTATTTATGAAAAATGTGTTTTGAATAAAATTTTTTGACAAGTCCAGGCTCTCACACAGAGAATACTCTCTCTCTCTCTCTCTCTCTCTCTCTCACTGTGGGGCAGACAAAACCAAAAACATGGTTATTAACAAAGGAGATCTACTTCTATTTGAACACAATGCAAGAATATATTAGGAAGCTGGATTATAAATGCATAACAGGACTGATCCTGTCATCCACCACACATCAAGTTAAGAAGCTAGCAAATTCTGCACTAAATAAAGTTTTGCCATCTGTGAGATGCACGATAATCAAGCACCAGGGTTTCCTAGATTATTTGCTTTTGTGGAAATGCACAATGAGGGTAAGTAATTTCAACCAGTCTTGGAAAAATACAGATAGCCAAATTTTCTGTTGGTGGTTAAGTAAGCTCAGTAAACTTTTATCTAACAGAAAATTGTATTGCTTCTCTGTCTCTCTCCCAACATTGCTAGTGGAAGAGATTAATAATAGCAATCTAACAGAAAATGAAATTGTTATGACACTGGATAATGAAAATATGTAACCATCCATTAACGTGCAACCATGTTTTGAGCAATACAGGACTTTCTCTCCTGCACATTCCTAATACTAATGACTAATCAAATTTGCAAATTCTGTTATTTCACCATATGTTATACATCTTTCAAATTGAAAGATATGGTGATAATAAAGTGATCCACATGTAACAAGCTTCTAACAGGATACATCAACCAGATGCAATGTGCGGGAGCCTGTCTGCAAACGACAGACCGTCTGTAAGTGAGGGTCAAATGATTTGTTACTACAACCCTAGCTAAAATTTCAAGGAGAAAATAGTGGTTACCTCTCTCTCAATACCAAGGCTATTTGGGTTTGTAAAAACCCACAAACCTGGCAAAGGCTTAAGGCGAGTAATAGACAGATGTTGCTTGCCCCACAACCTTGCTAGAGCACACACTCCATAAATTGATTAGCAAGAATTTACCAATGTATGATTACAGCATAAAATAACCACTAGACCTAATCCTGAACCTACAGAATATGGACCCAAGGCAAAAAGAATTTATTACGGACTTTAAGGCAATGTACCCCTCGATCAAACTGAAACCATGTTTTTGTCATCTTCCTATTGAACAAAATCACAAACTCAGGCAGCTTGCATAAGGAAATTCTAGAGTTGGTGCACCTGGCTACATTTCCATCATTTTTCATAATCAATGGGTAGGTGTATAAGCAAAATAGAGGCATACCCATGGGCAGGACACTGTGAGATGGTATTGAGATCATTAGAAAGGACAACATCATACCTGACATTATGTAGATGATGTGTTAATAATATGGAAGAAGAAACTTTATAGAAGATATTAATTTGAACACATTTGGATTATAAATAGAATTGGATCAGGAAAGCAATGTCACTGCCCACTTCCTAGACATCTTGATCAAGTTAAAGGGAAATGCTATCATCATAGGTATTTACAGAAAGCCGACATATAACGCAATATTCATACCATGGGCCTCCCGTGACCCAATAAGCTATAGATTAGCAGCATTTAGAGCTCTCATAAAATGAGCATATATTCATTACACCAATGTGCAAGATAGAATAAGAGAGCTAGAATACATCAAGGAGATGACTTGTCAGGTTGGGGTCAAGAGAAAAACGATAAAGCGAAAGATATACAAATGGAGAACAGAAGACATGGAAACAAGAAGAAATGATATCCAGAATGAATATGCTATCATTGAATACATGTCAACCTTCAGAAATGTCTACAGAGAAAATGTCTAACAAAAAAATTGTATTTAAAAGAAACCCCACAGTATATAGGATGCTAAGAAACAACAAAGAGGCCATTGACCCAACATGCATTCCTGGCATGTACAGAATACCTATAAAAGACAGCAGAAGGTGTAATGACTTATGCTACATAGGAGTCACTACTAGATCACTACAGAAGAGGATCAAAGAACATAGAAGTAACAAAAGGAGCATCTAATTATAGCATTAGTAACTTATGCCACAGTGGACCCAGATTCCGTAACAATAGAATGGAACCGAGCAGAAATGATCCAAAAGATGCAGGATAAGCAACAGATTAAATATGTGGAGGCATGACACATTCATAAGGCTACAGAGAGGGGGTAAGCAGTAAATTATAAAGAAAACACCACAGTTTCACCAGCCTGGAAAGTATTAATAAATAAAATCTAAAGTTGAATGCTGTAAGAGGATGCAAGTGTGAGAATATAAATATAAAAAGTATAATTTAGAACATTTCTAGGCATAGTTATTTCACTATGGGTAATAGACGTTTTATATGTTTATTGATTTTGCCACGTATTGTGCAATATAGTGTAATACGTAAAACTAACTGACATGTGCATTTTTAAAAAATTCATATTATTCCAAAAATAGAAGCTTATAAAAACCATTTTTAAAATATGGACAATTTTGTTCTTTTTGTGAAATTTTAAGTTTTATGTATTTTCCTGAAGAAGGTCAATCAAAAGGACCAAAAACATTAGATGATTAGTAAATGTTAGTTACTGCATATTTAATGGTTACATGTTTGTTATCAAAATATACAAGCAGAAACTATAGAAATTATGCTTGAATGCTAATAATTTTTAGAGTTTGGTATTATGGAGGTGTTACAATTTGGAAAAAATTGTAGACCTATAAATTCCCACTGTGATCCATCTGTCTGTCCTTCCTTAATCTCAAGAATAGTTAGATATATGAAAGTTGAGACTAGATTATTATGATTATTAAATTATTATTGTTTGTGACAAGACATTTTAAATGTGCACATTTTATATGAAATAAGATATCTTAAACAGAAATAAATCAACAGAATATTTAGAAAATTTACTATAAATATGCATAATATTTCACTTAAAGTTCACTTTTTTTTTTTTTACTCTGCCCTGTTGGGCCCCTAAGATGACCATTTTCATGGATTTGGCCAGGCCCACAATGGAGCCAAGTGATGAAAAACAGAACTCAACTTATCTGGGGTAAACCGCCCACAAAAAAGTTCCCGGGAGTTGCTCATCCCAGACTCAATTTTGGGTCCCAGAGCAGTGGGCCAACACCTTAAGTGCCTCGGTCATCTTGCCATCAAGTTTCCGACTTTGAAATTGCCTCAAAAATTTTCAAATTTTTGCTTTTTTACTTCTATCTGCTATTTCTTTTAAATATTTATAAAATAAATGAACATGACATGAGTACTCATATTTTGCAGTGTTGCCCAAATTATGAAAATTATTTGATTATATTCTGAATTGGCATGTAATTTCTTTTTATAATTTGGACTATTTTCAACTTTCTGCACTGCAAAATCTCAAATCAACTTAAAAATTCTGCTGTGTGAGCTGTAACATCAGTACTGTAAATATGACAACAAAACTAAGCCAGTTGTATTTAGACTAAACCACTGGTTGTATTTTATTTTTAATAATTTGTGAAGATAAAATACAATTAATAATCATGTTTTATTTCCTTACATCTTTACTATTAATGCTTCAAAGACTGACAATTTCTGTTTAATGCAGTTAAAATATATGAACTTTGGATCATTCTCGCCATGTTTTAGTTTGAGTATTGAGTCTGAGTAAAGTGAAAAGATTTGATAACAACTCAGAACTGAAAAATCCTACTACCTATTCTACAGAAATATGTTATATCTAATTTTCTGAAGTCCTTGCCATTTTAAGGTGTTCATATTTTGTACTTATGTTTTATTTTTAATTTATGTTAATAATCTGTTATATGCAGTGTTTTTTCCTCCCTCTACTTTGTACATTAAATTTAATTTCCCATGATGCTCATAATGTAGTTTTTAGTATTAATTGTTTTTATTCTTATTTTGGAATGCTTCTGTTTTTGAATTCAAAATGTATCTTGTTGATATGAAAGTGTATTTCACTTTCTAGAGAAAAATAAATTTGTATTTGGTAGTTACATAAAACATTTCTAGAACCAGAACAAAATCAAACAACTTAACAACTAATGCTAACTTTCAGCCATATGTACAAATTTAAGAACAAAATATCAATATATATACTACTGTATGCTGTATAAAGAATATGTGTAATGATAGTCATTTCATTTCCCAAGAATGATTCTACACAGAATCTAAAGATGATAGAAATCAGATGGATAATGTAGGCCATGCACTTTGGTCATCACAAGTTTTAACCAATCATAATGGAAGTTGAAGATGCTTTTTCTGATCACTGTTGTATAAAAAAAAATTTGCATCAGTCTCTCACAAAGCAGCATTCCCTACCAAGTTGGCACTCTCTAACTTGAACAATAATTGTACATGGCCATTAGTAGTGATTTACATGCAGAGAGGACATACCGTCTACTGTGGATTAGTTTTTTAGCATGTTATGTCCATTGCCATGTTCAAATGTCTGCCATGGTAAAATAACATAAAGACTACATATTAGAAAACAAAAATTAAAGTCAGTTTGTAAAAAAAAAACCCAATATACTGGTATCGATTACATCTCTAAAGACAATATTCAATGCTTTTGCTTTTGCTGAGAAAACAATGTAAGATATTGTGTTTAGTTAATATAAATACTATGAAAAGAAATAAAATCCATTATTTATACAGATATTATTATAAGTTTCTGTATTATTATTAATATATTAAGACACACCAAAAATTAATTAATTAATTAATTACCATTTTCTTTTTTTTCATTCTTTTCTGCTTGCTTTGTTGATTCATCTTGCATTGTCTTATTATAGATGATATTTTGGATTACAGAATCTGAAGAATGTCCATGAATGTTCTTTCCTCGAAATTTAAGAACAGCATTTGTAGTATTTTCCCGCAGAGCTGTTTTCCAGAAATCTGGATCACTTTTAGTATCAAAAGCATTTGTTTCTTTTGAAGATTGTACATGATTATTATTTGATAAATCTTCATCATAAGATTCATTATTATCTTTTAATAATTCCTTGGTTTGATTTTTTAATTCATTATTTGCTTTTTCTAATTTTACAGGACTGAAACAAGCAGGATTATTTATTTTATCCTCACAGTCTTTTGCTGAAGTTTCATTTGTATTCTGAATGTCATTGCTTTCATTACATACTTCATTTTCTACAGTTTTACTTAGACTTAATTCTTGATCTGAATTCAATTTAACTTTTGGAGAAATATCTGACTTTGAAGTTTCTACTTTATCCTTATTTTTTTCTGTTGATAAGCTTCTTTCCTGATTTTCTAATTTTAATAAATTATCAATTCTTTCAGGTTGCAATTTCCATCTCTTTGTACTCCATTCTGTTAAATTTTTCTTATATGTAGCATCATTTGTTAATTTTTGATTTTCTGGAATCATATCCTCCCTGAAAAAGAAAAATTAACAGTTAATACAAATACAATATAGGATCAACACAATTATATAATTTTACACATAATTTTAAAAATTTTAAATATTAATACCTATGATATATGGTATATTTAATATAATCTATGCCAAAATTCTGGTCAAACATTCTTTAACATCACTTAATCTTAAACAAGATGAAAACCAGTGTTTTGTGACTTTTTCGAATGTCTTTCCATAATAAACACAAAGTGTAAAATCTTTAATTAGCAAATATTTCCTATTAAAAATCAGTCTAAACTTGTTAAGTCTCAGTTGTACAATCAAACACCACATGAAAAAACTTAGCTGAGACAGTAAATATCCCATGGCATCACACTTTTGTAAACAATTCTACATTTCCTTTTCAAGTAATTTACATCCCGATTCCAAAGATAGTCACAGTACCATTGAAGAATATCTGGTAAGTTGTCGTCAGGTACTGATGCCTGCTGCCTTTCATATAATATTGAAAAACCTATTGTAATAAAGAAGTTTTTTATACCTATTACCCAATTTAATATTTTCTTCCTTAACTCCTTTTGATATATTAAATAAAGTTTGTTATAGATTACTTTTCTTAAATCATCTTATGATATCAATAATTGGTCCCAAAACTTTAAAATTCTTTTGACCAAATGTATTGCCAAGGGAACTTGGCCTAGTTTCAACTGAATATAGGATCCATGTTCTTATTGAACTAATCTGAAAAGCTTCCTTAAGTACAATATTTGGATGTCCTCAATTTCTTCCAAATAATTTATTCCTCATATTGGAAACAACTAAGAAACACTTAACATTAACGCTACTTAATATATTATTTTATGAATGAACCTGGATATCTCAGCTAGTGATATACTGTAAATATGTCTAGGTATAATTTTTGTATTACAAAAACCAAGTTCTCACAGTATCATAAAATCAAAAAATGGTATCTAAATGCTAAATTAAGTATAGAAAATAATAATGAAATACAAAACCTAGCAATTTCTGCTTGTTCATTTTCATTATTGTCAAGTAATCTTTCTTCCTTTTCTTTTAATTTCTCTTTTTCTAGAATTTGTCTTGCCTCTTTGTCTTCAATTTGACTTCGTATATCTCTCATTTGTTGTTGTTTCTTTTCTAGTTGTTCTTTTAGAAATTCCTCTTGACTTCCTATAAAAATATTTATTTATTATTTATTACATTAATTCGCATTTAAAAGTATGAAAATGTAATAGTAATACTTTTAATTTTTTCTGTATATTGTTTAATTCTTTGATGGCATTTGTTTAAAATCTTCAACCGATCTTGTTCTTTTAATGCAGCTATTTTTTGTTTTGTTTGTTTTTCTTCTTCAAATATCTTTATCATTTTCATTTTATATTCTTCACTTAACTTCTTGTTATGTTCAGCCATTTCGTTAGAAGTAGATAATATTAAAGTTGGAGCAAATTCTTGCGTATGACACATGTGATGCTAGTAAATTAAACAACAAAAATTTATTAATACTTTTTAACAAATAACTCTATTAAAAGCTATCACATATTATTAATAAAATGATTATATATACATATAAATCTTTTTTTTTCCAATAACACTTGATACTATTATTATAAAGCTTATACAGTAGCATCACTAGAAATGCAGGAGGGCACCAGCTGCACCAGGTGACACCAAAATAAATATAAAATTTTTATGCAGTGTTTCAGCTAAAATTTTATTATTATTATTATTATTATTTTAATATCCCTGTAGTTAGTTATAACAGAAAAATTACTTTTGTAAGCCCGACTTACATGTATCAATATAACTACAATGCTAAAACTCTGTGCTAATTTACTTTTTAAATCTAATGCATTATGATCAGAGCTGTCATTATTACCAAATTACAAAATATTTCATATTTTACAAATAAAATACAATTACTAAAATAAAAAAATATTAAAATTTAATGTAAATACATGTAGGCATGTGTATGATATTGAAATTTAAAGGTGTAAATTTAATTTTGCTAGTTGTAAATGTACTTTCATTTCAGGTGCCAAGTAAAAATTATGGCACTTGAAATGAAAGTAAAATGTTGTCTTGGGAGCTTCTCTTTGATAAAGATAAGCTAGGCGCTTCAAAGCGATACTGTAAGCATTTACTTTCCAGGCACAATCCCATGACTAACTACAAGTGTGTTCAGTGGATTTATTCACTCTGTCACTGGTAAGCCTTAAATTAATAAAAGCTATTTTCTGAAAGCATAGAGCATGTCGTGTGAGATATGCGTAATGTTTTGCTATGAAATGGCCTTTGCGGGTTAATATCATTTTGATATCTAAATTTACTGAAGAGTCCGTTTTCTAAGAAATTTATTTAGATACTAATTAATTAAAAAGTATTTTTCACATTTTATCAATAGTAAACTTCAAGATTGGAGTTGCCAGAGTCAAGAGAATTTTACCAACTCCAGCCAAAAACATCTGACTCTGATTCAGACTCCACAACACTGGTCAGGATGATATAATACATGTTTTAATATTTAAAATGACAAGTTGATTATTAGATTTATAGTTAAACTTCATTAAATGAATTGACACAAAAGGAATGTCCATTAAGAAGGGAAAAGTTTGAAAATCAGTTTAATGTGGATATTTTACCATGGAAAATTGTAAAAACTGAGTTATACATCAAAATTTATCCTATACACTTATGAATGAAAATCTGAACTACATGAGAGAATATTGTCCAAAGATAATCCAAATAAAGACTGATGCATGTATGATGATTGCTATATAAACTGGTCATTAAATCAAACATAAATCATTCCTAAATTTTTTCAAATTAACTTAACGTTTTTCTGAAAAACTGTTCAGATAAAATAATATAAAGACCTGTATGCTAGTTGAGTTTTTGATGGAGGACAAGGGTTTTGAGAGGTTTAGGAAAAAGAAAGTAGCAAAGTTAGTTGGAATATTTATGAATGAGTCCTGTAGTGACAAGAAATACTATAAGCAGAATAAAGAAATACTGATTGGTTTGCCAACTGCTAGTAGTATTGGTAGTGAGAATAATGAAGAGATGAGTAATGAAGAGAATGGAAGCTGGATTAGCTTTTATGCAGGATTTGTCAGTAAATTTTATGCCCTTGAAACTAACAGTCATATTGATATTTTTACCTTTGGGAAAAACACTAATGCAACAGTTAGTGTCAAGGGAAAATTTTGCCAATTTCCATTCCAACTAATTTGAAAATACCCAGCTTTGTTTGAGTTCCCAGATATGACAGTGCTATACTTTGACAATGGCAATGTATATTAGCAACCAATCAGATAATTGAAAGGTACTTAGCTTTCATTCATCACATTGTTTATTGTAATGACAAAAATAGAGTATGGAGAAATGTTTGAGGAAATATTAATCAAAGAACTCAGGAAAAGACTTTTTTTTGTATGCATTTGGATATTTTCTGTCTAATTCACCATTGTTAGGTTTATTCTCCATAAAGTTCTTCCTACAGTATAATACATATAAGTTCAACATATAACAAAAATATACCTTTTTTAATCTATTTTGTCAATTCATTTAATTTGTTTAAATTCTATACATATACAGTTTCTACATACTATCATAAATACCTTCAACAACAGAGTGGAAAAATGATAAGGAAAACATGATTATAATCATGTTTTCCTTATCATTTTTCAACACTTAAATTCCAATATATACAATCGCTACAGTGACAATAGGCAAAAACAACAAACATTAAAGGTTGTTGACATTCACTGTCACATTAATTTTATTGCCTGTGAGCATCAGCCTTAAAGAAAAGAAATGTTTCAGCCATTATATGTCTCCAGAAATCTGCTGGAATATAAGAAAACCACATTCAAAATCCTTCTAGGAAAAGTGATCTTGTTAAGTAGGTCAAAATGTTAAATATGAGAGAATGAACTGAATTTTCCAAAAGCAACAGAGAGCAGTTGGGATGTCTAATCAATTTTGTTGACATAATGTCAAAGATAGTGACAGAACTAGAAGCAAGACCTAAAGCTAAAAGGGAAGGAGAAAGAGCAGTGTTACATTATGTTGAGGAATGGAATAGTAAGAACATGTTGTACAAGTTGAAAACATGAGATGATAAGGCTTTGGTAGTGGTAGGAAATCCTATGCTCTTTGTACGAAAACTCTCCAAAATAAATCTTTACCAGCAGTATTCATTATTTTTCAAATGTTTTTGGCTATTTGTGCAGCTGTGATCAGAATAAAATAAATAAAATTTTTAAAAAATGTATGTCATGCATATCCACATATAACTGAACATACAATAAAATATATATTTTAAAATAATCTGTTAATATAACCTATAATTATTTGCATGTATTACTACATGCTTTCACTATTGTTAAAATATTTTCTAATTACCTGTGAACAGCATAATTTTAATAAATTAAGAGATTTTCCACAAATAAATATATGCTTTGCTATATCTGTCAAGAATAATGGAATGCTATCAGTTGAAGCATCTGGAACCTTCCAAATAAATCTCTTTGTCCAATACATTTCATCTGTAAAAATATTTAAAGAATAAAATTCAGTTATTTCCTTAATATTATACATAAAGTCTTCACTTTATATCATTATAGGTTCTTGAAAACTGTGACTTTATGCAAAACAACATATAAAGAAACCACTTTTACCGTAAGCTAATTGATATAAACAAGAGTTAAATTCCCATGACTTATTTCTGGTCACAAAAACATCATCAAACTCCTAAATAAAGATCCAAAATACAATTAATGGGTTGTATAGTAGGACAGATAAATCACTAATGCCGATCTCAGTGCTTTCTCCATCCTACGATCCAAAACACTTCTAATATTAAACACTGAAATAAATGTAAGATTTATATATATTTAAGAAAGATTAAAAAAAAGCAAGATAATTATTTACCCAGTTTTTGATAAATCAGTGAATGGTGCAATCTTAGTGGTGATGGATAGTGTAAAGGGAAAGGCTTAATCCTCATTATTGGTGATTGGTAAAGAAGTAACAAAGAATAACTATTTGCAAAGCAAACATTGTAAGGAGACTTACCAGCAAGCAGTTCAAAAAGAAATAATTGGCAATTCCAACAAACTACAGAGATTCTGTATAACTATAAAATGTCAGAAGTATACTAACAGAGAGTAAGTTTGTTTACAATTTACATTGAAGTGTAGAATTGGCATTTATCATGATAACTTAATAATTTGAGAAACTCAGTTTACAGGTGTTAATTAACAGTTTAAATAATAACAAACATTTTTGTCATGTATGAACTGTCTTCATAAGGCAAGATAAAACAAAAAATATTTAGAACTATAGAATATGTTTTTTAAAATATAGTCATATGCAAAGCAAAAGATAATTAATGACTTTTTACATAAAATTGGGAAAGAATTATAAAACAAAGACAAAATAAAACATTATAAGTATATATTAAAAACAGGAAAGGTAACTTTGGATTGATATAATTTTTAACCAATAGTATTCTATTACAATGCTAGTAAAATGTGAAATTATGTTAAGAATTTGTTTATGGTTAGCCAATGGTTTGGCAAACAAAATGTGGGCTGGTTAATGAGTTAAGTTTAGTAACTAGTAAGGTTTCCCCCATAAAAATTTGTTTTGGATTGGATAATTATTTTAACAGGGATAATCTTTCCAGTCTTGTAATATATACTTGGGAAGTTCCATCTCTATCTGCGTTTTATTAACAGAATTTTTCATGTTCTAGTATACAAACTATTAGTTGTCCAATTGTTGTCCCTGAATTATTGATGGAATGAGATCAGTATAGCAAATACTGTACATCTGCACACTCTAATAAAGTGAAAGGTGTTCTGTCCATGACTAATAACCTAACAATCATATTTTTTTAAACAAATAAACGAGTTTGCAGACAAATCATTTATGTAGGGATTGGCTGATGTATAGAATTGATATTCAAGTTTGGTATATAGGTAGAGAGAATGGGATCAAAGAAGATTGTATCTTACAATGTATGCAGTTAAATTTGCTAGTGTGATATATTGCTAACTGGCAATATTCAATGTATTTTTTAGTAAATCTAATGAGGATGTTAGAAGGTAAGCCATATGTATCAAAGCACAAATTGCATATGCTTGTACATCTGTGGTTGGAATGCATCACTAGGGATTAAATTAGGAGGGTCTTAAACTTATGATATATTCTGAAACTCAAATGACTTGCCTTATGGTTTTAATAATTTTGTGTAACTTCACACAAACACTCAGATGTAAAGCTCCCAAACAGAAACCTTTTAATCATGTCTTATACATATGTTATACAGAATGCAGAGCGTAAAGTTGTGACAGGATGATTTCTTCTATATTCCCCATAAATGGTTAAAAAGTCACATAGCTCTGCATTTGGGAATCACATGCTTGATTTGTTGTTTAATTCAATAGTATGCAATTTGCAAAGGAGTAAATACTGGGTAACATAAAAGGAACTTCTAATTTTGTATAACTTTTCTGTACTTAAATATGGTTTGGTTCAACAATGTTACCAGCTTGAGTAACATGTTGATATTGGATTGACTAAGCAATTAATTTTAATACAATATTAATTTACCTCATATCATAAATAGTCAATGCTTTAATAGAATTGACACCACAAGTATTACTTACAAAAGAGTGGCAGTATATTCACCACATACAACTTTGAATTGGTGTAGATTGAGGGCATATCGAAAACTGTTATGGCACTATCATATGGTTTTTATTTGTTTAGAGATACCAAGTAGAGGTACTTTTTCTCTTTCATGATTGTCATTTGAACGCCTTCATTGCATTATGTGACCAGTTTCTCTGTATTTTGCTCCAGCTCTATACTGTAGCCTACCTTACCATATCATCCATCATAATTTTAATGATATAGCCTTTATATAAAATAATTTAAACAATTTTATGAACAACATATATAGAATACATTTTATATGTTATGTATAAAATATTTGTATTACAAAGTTGATAATTATGTTTAACTTTTTCGTAATACTGAAATATTATTATATATGTGCTCTGAATACTTCAAAATTTACATTTAGATAAAATTATATATTAAAAATAAATGTTTTAAACCAAGATAAATTTGATTTCAGTGATTAAATTTTTATGATAATAATATGCAATGTTTTGATCAATCACATGTATTATGTATAAAAAAAAAATACACATACCTCGAGTATTTATATACATATCATTAACTTCAATATGAAATTCATTATATGGATCATTACAAACACCTTCAAACATCCATTGAGTTAAATATCTGAAAAAAATTCATTATTTTCTTATTTGTTACAATCATATAACATTATTTATTTTATTAATCACAATATATTTAATGCTTTATTTACATTACCTTAAGTAAGGTGTGCATGCAGATTTAAGAAGAAATACCACCACAACACCATGTTCTTGCCCCCAAGATTCATAAGCATGTTGATAAAGATATGATAATAAATCTAGTCCCTAAAAAATAGGAACAAGTCTTTAGCATTCATTTCTAAACATTCAAGTAAAACTCAAATAACAAAGTTTGTACTTTAAAAAATTTATTAAAAATTTTAAAATTTTACAAAAACATTGGCCAAATTTTGTAAAAAAACTGCAGTTGAGTATGATTATAACATACCCTGTTTATAACATATGATTTTATATCCATCATAGAGTTTTATGCATCTTTACCTTGGATACAGCATACTTTTTACTTATAACATACTNGCATAAAAAGAGACCTTACAGTACTTGCAAAAACAATAAATACTACATAGGAGAAACCAAAAGAAAGTTAAAGGTCAGACTAAAGGAACACATAGCTGATCTAAAATACCACAGAATAAATTTCGTCTTTCACGACCACTGTACTTTGAACAATTGTAACATAGACAAAGATAATGTAGGAATCCTTCATAAAGAAAAAGAAACATATAGTAGGAAGTTTAAGGAAAGTATAGAGATCATTAGAGGTGAAAAATGCATAAATAAAAACTCCAGTATAAAAATAAACGAAAATTGGCTTGGCATATTATAAATGAAAATAGGCAATAATTCTGTGTAAAATAAGAAAAATCGGCTAAAAACGTTATAATCAAAATTAAGTAAAAATTAAAATCTCTTCAACGTGTGTTCAGTCACAAGGTGGCCTGTTTACCACATCCATTATGTAAATGAACATGGTCATACACATCAGAAAATAAAAAATGTTATATAGGTGTAAAAAACAAGTAACAATCTGTTTGTACAATAAAAACTACTCCAAATTGATGTAAAATGAAAATCTAAGTATGTTGTTGTAAATTTATAGTAAATTATAGTATTGTTATTGAAATAAAATTAATGCGATAATTAATGTATAATTCCCCATTAGATAACAAGTGTTGAAAATGGTGAGAGTCGAACGTGAAAAATGGTTTTAAGTTTACAAAGATCTGTGATTTGAAGGTATGTTTTATACAGCATAACCTTTTTATTTATATATTGTAATTTGTAACCAGTATGTATTTGTGTTTTAGTTGACTAAAGAGGGTCACGAATAACCCAAAACGTGTACAAACATTAAGTACATATATTTTAAAATCAACGAAATAAAAATTAATGATGAGATTATGTCCAAGTGAATACACTATATAGTTGATGTTCAAGTTGCAAAAAAGTTACCAATCAATTCATTTTTGAAGGACAAAATATCTCCATATTGGGCATTGACTGAATGTTGGGATATATTTTTTGTAACAAATTTATATTTTCAGTTACGTTAGCATAAAAGTACAAATTTTCACATCTTTTTCACAACTTTTTAAAATTGCTTTTTTTTAACTTTTTCACATCATTATGAATGACTTTTATTGACAAATTTATGTTTTTTGCCAGAATCATTTTTTATTTTACTTGGTAAAATTTATAGTTAGCTTTCTTTCTCTTTGATGGGTCTCAACTAGTTATTTCCACAATTGATTTTTCTACATTATTAATAGTGTAGTTTTCACACCTGCTAACAGTAATGTGTTTTACATTCATGTGTTCGAACAAATAAATATACATCAAGTGCATTCTACTTGTAAAATCTTATTAAAAATACATTTTATGAACCAAAATAAATATCTTAAAATTAAAATTTTTTAACTAACCTGAGGAAAAAAGATTTGTGAATTAACATTAGATGAGCTTGAACATTTGCACAGTTTTGCAATATAGCTGAAATACAGTTTGAAATTTATAAAAATTATCAAAAAAATTACATTAGTATAAATTTATATAATCTTTGTACCTTAACTGTCTGAAGAGTTTTCCAAAAGTTTGATCTAATTGTAATACAGTAAAGTCATATTGTGATAAATAAAGTACCATAGCTTGATAATAATGAAGATATTGTTGTAATCCTCCTTTAAAAGCCTGCATTACTAAACCTACAAAACAAAATACCTAATTCATTATACACATAACATTTTACTATTGTATTGATTTCTTAATTATTTTTTCCTGCATTAACTTTTATTCATTCTGAACAAGAATAAATTCCTTTATATAAAAATTTAAAATAATTTATTTTTTTAAATACTGTGCAATAAAACAATATTTATTTATATATTTATTATATATAAACAAAATAAATAAATATAGATATGTAGAAGTACTTTAAAGATAATATGTTTGTAAATATAATTTACAACAAAACACTTGTATATAGTGGTAACAAAAACTATACAAACAACAAACAATAAAAATGTATGAAATAGCTATAATAATGTGCATAGACAAAATACTATTTACAACAAAATATGTTAAACTGCTTTAAGCATATTAGTGAGTTATAAAAAAGTCAAGGATTACATCCAAATTTGGTCTATGATCCAACATCCCTAGTAAATTCACATCACTCCCAAAATGCTGCATATGAACATTATTGAACTCATAGCATTCTATCAATAGTTGTTTAATGCTCAAAGCACAGTCACATACCTTGACACTGATTTAAGATATATGGAACCTAAATCAATGACTAATATATATNACAACACACATTATCTAACTAGGCTGCAATTTGAAAAAATTGTACACCTATAAATTCCTACAGTCTGTCCACTGTCTTTCCTTAATCTCAAGAACAGAGTTAGATAGAAGAAAGATGAGAGCAGATATAGAAAACTTGGAAGCAAAAGGTCCCTATTAACTATACATGAACTTCTGATGCAAACCAGAAATCATGTTATTTCAATTCAAAAATTTTTCCCTGAAAGATATTAGATAGACAACTGGCACGACTATATTGTTAAAGAAAAAGTATGATGTACAGGGGCAAGCAACTACTAATTTGAGGTGGAGAGCATATATTTTAAATTAAAAAATATGATTAAAAATTGCAGCAAAGCATTGCAACAATGTCACAATAAATAATTGCTCATTCAATATATGTCTATTTAAACAATTATTAGATTGGATATTGTAACTATTATATACAGACTAATCACACACCACAAAAATCTTTATTAACTACTTCAAATCCTGGTATATATTTTGGCCTTTACAGTGGCTTCATTAGCCAATCTGTGATTTTTCTTAACAACTTAAGGACAATGTATATCTAGCTAATATATTTCCTAAAAAAAGAAAAACTTTCTCTCCAGTTTATCAACACTTTTCTGCAAAAATTGTAAGAATGCAGTCTGGGAATGGAGAAGAGCAAATTTCGAGTGAACCAGCAGAACAAATGAACTTTTATATATTAAAACTAAAAAAGAAATTAATGTTCAGGAAGGTGTTCATCTTTTGCTTAAACTATTATTTCAGGCAGATACATTCCTCTTTCTATGGATAATTAATGTAAAACACTATTTCTTGAAAGTGACATTAGTTAAGTGTTCACTAATGCAATTAATACATTTGTTCAGCTTGGTCAGAAAAAAAAACTTACTGCAACATCTCTTGGAATCTCCTAAGTGCATTCACAANTGCCAGTAATTGTTATAAAACTTAAAAACCAACTATATAGTGTATTCACTTGGACGCAAGGCTAATCTCATCGTTAATTTTTATTTAGTTGAATGAATCTTAAATGAAGGAAATAATCGTATACCAAAATTAAATATACAGCTCAAAACCCAAAAAGTAGGAGAAAAGGTGTTTGCCCAATTGTAGATTTTAAGTACTCAATGCTATATAACCTAGAAAAATTCCTAAAACAGCAACTTAAGCAATATCAAAACTCACAATTCGGAATTAAAAATACAGATGAACTTACAGACGACCTAAACCAAATCAGTATAAAAGAAGACTCTAGAATAGCTAGCCTTGACATTGTCGATATGTATCCATCAATAACATGGGACTTAATAGAAAATAAACTAAAAAAAAATCTAGAAGTTAAAAAATAAATAATAAATTTAATAGAATTTACATATAGAAGCAATTACTTTGAAGTCAATGGTGATTATTATACACAGACAAACAGAATAAGCATGGGATCGGTAACAGGACTAAAATTGGCTGAACTAATCATGATAGATATAGATAATAGTATCAGTAGCATACAAGGTGTAAAATCTATAAAAGATACATTGATGATATTCTAATAATATATAATAAAATGGAAATCAAGATAGAAGAGATCAGAAAACAAATTAATAACATACACAAAGCAATAAAATTTCAAATAGAAGTGGAAGACTTAACCAGTCAAGAAATTAACTACTTGGATATAACAATAAAAAGATTAAAACAAGGTTTGGAATTTAGAACATTCAAGAAGCCCTGTTCAGGCAGAATAACAATAAAATATCGATCTAACATGCCATTACATATCGAATATAATACACTTAAAATGAAATATTTTAAGGTAAAAAATAGAACAAGTCAAGAGACGTATATAACTAAAGACCTGGCTGAATTAAAAAAGAAGTTTCTCTTAGCAGGTTATCCGCAACAGCTACTGAATAAATGGAAACTTAAATTAAATAATCCAAAAATAACACATAATAATAAACAAAAGAATAATGTAAAGTATACTGTTTTTCCATACATCAAAGGTTTATATGAAGAAATCGAACAAATAAACTTTAAGCTTGCACCATTGTACCAAAAGATGTCTGCTAGCTTAAAATGTCTCAACCCTTTGAAAAAATAAGCACCAACTGAAATTAGAAACGTAGTATACAAAATTCCTTATACTGTAAGGTCTCGTTTTATGCAGTGGATACGTTCTACAGAAAAGCGCATATAAAAAATTCGCATAAAAAAATACTTTACTTGCCTTGAAAAAGTAGGGATACGTTCCGTAATTTTCTAAAATCGCATAAAACCAAAACAACGAGTTAAAATTAACTTAAAACCGCATAAAAAAGTTTGCAGAAATTAAAAGAAATAGGCTGATTAATAAATTACTTCGAATGTCTGAAAGAAATTCATATAAAAGCTTAAAATAAACTTGTATTTAAACTTAATTCAGTTTATTTTATTGAAAAGTAATACAAGGGGAATCCCCGAATTGCAAAAGCTCACTCTAAAAACAAATCACTGACATCTGGATGTGAAGAGTTAATTAATTTGAAAATTTTTTTTTCAATTTTTGGAATGTTTTTTGTCTCCAAATTTTAAAAATACACGGCCAGCTAGTGTTCACCCTACTTTAAACCCTTGTCCTCCCGCGACGTCTGAGAATGCCCCGGGAAATCCAACTCCAGCTGTGTTCAAGGTCATCCAGATGTATAAACAATGACTCATCGGTGTTAAATTTCACAGAAGGGCGAGACAAAGGAAGTTAAACTTTGAAGCTTTTTCTTCAAAATTAACGCATTTCTTTCGTTTTTTTCAGTTTTAAGTATTTTTTATGTTTAATTACATTTACATCAAAAATTGCTAGGAACTAAAGCGATTAAGGTAGATCTAGCTGTCCTTTACATCCATAAACGTTATATGTCAGTTGATCAAATGGAGTGAGCTTTGAGCGTTCCACGATTTTTGGCGACTGTCTATATGCGGGCTTCCTAAACAAGCCTATATGTATGTTTGTCCAAGAAATTTTTGGACGAAATACAAACCGCACAACTTCAAAATCGCATAAAAATAATCTGCATAAAAAGAGACCTTACAGTACTTGCAAAAACAATAAATACTACATAGGAGAAACCAAAAGAAAGTTAAAGGTCAGACTAAAGGAACACATAGCTGATCTAAAATACCACAGAATAAATTTCGTCTTTCACGACCACTGTACTTTGAACAATTGTAACATAGACAAAGATAATGTAGGAATCCTTCATAAAGAAAAAGAAACATATAGTAGGAAGTTTAAGGAAAGTATAGAGATCATTAGAGGTGAAAAATGCATAAATAAAAACTCCAGTATAAAAATAAACGAAAATTGGCTTGGCATATTATAAATGAAAATAGGCAATAATTCTGTGTAAAATAAGAAAAATCGGCTAAAAACGTTATAATCAAAATTAAGTAAAAATTAAAATCTCTTCAACGTGTGTTCAGTCACAAGGTGGCCTGTTTACCACATCCATTATGTAAATGAACATGGTCATACACATCAGAAAATAAAAAATGTTATATAGGTGTAAAAAACAAGTAACAATCTGTTTGTACAATAAAAACTACTCCAAATTGATGTAAAATGAAAATCTAAGTATGTTGTTGTAAATTTATAGTAAATTATAGTATTGTTATTGAAATAAAATTAATGCGATAATTAATGTATAATTCCCCATTAGATAACAAGTGTTGAAAATGGTGAGAGTCGAACGTGAAAAATGGTTTTAAGTTTACAAAGATCTGTGATTTGAAGGTATGTTTTATACAGCATAACCTTTTTATTTATATATTGTAATTTGTAACCAGTATGTATTTGTGTTTTAGTTGACTAAAGAGGGTCACGAATAACCCAAAACGTGTACAAACATTAAGTACATATATTTTAAAATCAACGAAATAAAAATTAATGATGAGATTATGTCCAAGTGAATACACTATATAGTTGGTGTTCAAGTTGCAAAAAAGTTACCAATCAATTCATTTTTGAAGGACAAAATATCTCCATATTGGGCATTGACTGAATGTTGGGATATATTTTTTGTAACAAATTTATATTTTCGGTTACGTTAGCATAAAAGTACAAATTTTCACATCTTTTTCACAACTTTTTAAAATTGCTTTTTTTTCACTTTTTCACATCATTATGAATGACTTTTATTGACAAATTTATGTTTTTTGCCAGAATCATTTTTTATTTTACTTGGTAAAATTTATAGTTAGCTTTCTTTCTCTTTGATGGGTCTCAACTAGTTATTTCCACAATTGATTTTTCTACATTATTAATAGTGTGTATGGCACTTTTCAGAATTGCATTTGCTACTTTTGTCTTGATTAAATCTCTTTTTCTACGAGCTTCTTAGAATGTTTCCATTCTTTCTTTCATTAAATTCTGCCATCTTAACTTCAGGGCTTGAAGTTAGATGGATCTGGAATTTTTGAGAATATTGATGCTCCTAACAAGGCTTCTTCGTCCTCTTTTCATTTTCCTGCTTCCTTTCGCTTCATAATTCTTTCCTTATAAAGCTTGTGCTGATTATGTAGATTCTTGGCTGACTGCAGAACCTTCCTGTGAGAACTTTCCAGGTTTCCATTGAGTCTGTCCGTAAAGGATAAAGTGGTTCTTAATCCATTAATGCTTTTTATACTGAGGCTTACTTTGTCTGGGCAAAATATCCTTTTGTCATTGCTAAATCCTCTTTCGACATCTGCACTGTAAGGAGTTAAACACATATTTTTATCAGCCTGCAGTGTTCATTATGTTGAACACTTAAACCCAGTAATGGTCAATAGTGTATAGTGTATAGTTTAGTAGTACCTTGTAATCGGCAATTGCTTCAGGTTTAAGGAACCTTCATGTAAAGTTAAGAATTAGAGATGATATTTCATCATATAAAATATGAATAAGGGAGTTCTTGCTCTTGTATTAACTTTGTCATTCTAGTAAACTTTTTCATTACAAATGTAGGAATAGTGATAGAAATAGAAATAATAATAATATTCCAGCATTCATAACCGTCTTCAAATTATGGATAAAACAATAATGTTCTAGAGCAATGTTTCTCAACGGAGGGCGATATTACCCCCATATGGGCGTTTTTCCCATGTTGAGGGGGCGATTAGTAACAATTTATATTTTATATTGGGGGCAAAAAACAATTTTCTGGGCGATATAGTAAAACATTATATTAAGAATAATTAGATATTTTATTCGTTATATCGTACAATAATTAAACAAATAACATTATACTAGTCACTAGTCTACTCAATGCAGTACGAATTTGGCGTTAGCCTTGGCCCTCGGCATCGGAATTTTGAAGTGAAGGGGGCGATACTATGTTGAAGGGGGCGACGATTCGTTAGAGGTTGAGAAACACTGTTCTAGAGTCTGTAACTGTTTTTAGTCCTCTTCATGCCTTCTCCAACTATTGTCCCCTTACTTGTCTTCCTCTCTCGTTCTCCCCGTCTCCTATGCAACCCCTCATTTATTTTCTTAACAGTTTAGGAATTTTACTCATCTAACCCCCACACAAATCACAGAAAGCTCATCTCTACTTCTAACAGTTCATTTTGTAGGATTATATTATCCATATCTTTCTATTTCTTATGTAGCTTAAACAAAAATTGAACAATCATACACTCAGGGAGACAGCATAAATAGTTAATGAAAGGATGAATGAGTTATTTATCCAAATTCATCATGCTGATATTTTACTTGTCCTAATTGCTAAATAATTTAGATATTTTAATTTATTGAGCATAGATTTTTATGGCCAAGCATTTCAGAAGTAAATAGTAAATTTTCTAAAAGCTATTAGTGAAAACACTCCTGTAACATATGACATTCAACTAATCCAACAGAAAGAGTTAAATGTCTTGAATATTATGGGTAATAATGCAACTGTTTTATATAATGCAAATATCTTTTACTAATTACATTGTTAAAATATCTGGCTTAAGTTTAATGAAAATTCGAAAATAAAATATCAGATTATATATTTTCTGACCAATAATTTAACAAATAACGATAAAATATTTTGTTGTTAAATTCACCTATCAACATTAATATTGCCATGTGCTTTAAAATTTTCAATAAGCAAAAACCTAAGTGAACCATGGCTGCTGAACTGATTTATTACAGTTAAACTAAATCGCACTGTAAAATACTGTACAATCTATAGAATCAAGCAATAACCAACATATATGATCTGTAGTACAATGGTAAAAATGCATGAAATGAAAATAGTATTTTATAATATAGAATTATGAATAATAAGTATCATAATATAACACTATATAGAGTCTACATTTCAATATCCAATTTAGCTAAATATCTGTTTTCATTAATCTCATGTTTGTGAAATCCGAATAGCCCTGGGTCTAAATGATAATTTAAAATTAAAGCTTAAATTTTGTAGAAAAATATTCTTTCGTTTTGGTGAGAAAATAATGGTTTTCTACCGTGGGAAAGCAGCTAACAGAGCCACTTCCTTTGACGGTAGAAGAAGCATCCTTTGTTTTTCCCTTATCTGTTACAAAATCTCACCACCATGAGAACTGACGACCCCTCATTTATTCCCCTTTTCATCCGTTCACGTGGGTGAACGGATGAAAAGGGTAATAAATGTTGATTTGTCGCTGAAATAAGAACAGTATGTTGATTGGTCGCTGATTAAGAGATATAGTCGAAATTTAGCAGAATTCAAGGAGTTCGTCAATAGATCCCAGATGAGGAAGACGAAATCCATACAAGCTCCAGAAGACCAACGCCCATAGTCGTATCCTATCGAGTTAATATGGAGTTAGAAACATAGAAGATAAATTTTAACATTGCGCCTATCAAGCCCTCCCCTTTGATAGAAGTTGAGAACTTAGAAATGAAGTATATTCGACGAAAGGAAGATAAAGTCAACTAAGACAGGTTGTATGTTTATTAATGAATGCTGAGCTCTCTCTCTCAACATTGTATAAGTTAAGTGAGGCCGTTACTCTCTCGGCACGTCTAATTGGATTTATTTGCTGTAGACCTTCGTTTATCTCTGAATATCTAACCATTATTTTTCTTTTGTATAATCAAGTTTATTTTTAGTTATTAAATTTTCTTTATTTTTGTTAAAGAAATGTCTCGTGTTGACTCTCTGAATCAAATCTACGGCATAATCACACACGTGTTTATCCGCGTAACGAGAAGTAGATAAACTGGTGTCAATCCTGACGTAGATCTGAATCTCGCGATTTGGATCGATTACAAAAGCCCTCCTGGTCAAAATCTTGACATAGGATCAGATCAAAAGATCCAAAACTAAGAGAACAGATTTCACTTAATCTACGGCATAATCACACACGTGTTTATCCGCGTAACGAGAAGTAGATAAACTGGTGTCAATCCTGACGTAGATCTGAATCTCGCGATTTGGATTGATTACAAAAGCCCTCCTGGTCAAAATCTTGACATAGGATCGGATCAAAAGATCCAAAACTAAGAGAACAGATTTCACTTAATCTGCGCCGAATAAGTGGTACCAACATCCTAATAGATAGATTGTACCCCCGGCTGATCTCACATGTTTTTCACGTTTTCACACCTGCTAACAGTAATGTGTTTTACATTCATGTGTTCGAACAAATAAATATACATCAAGTGCATTCTACTTGTAAAATCTTATTAAAAATACATTTTATGAACCAAAATAAATATCTTAAAATTAAAATTTTTTAACTAACCTGAGGAAAAAAGATTTGTGAATTAACATTAGATGAGCTTGAACATTTGCACAGTTTTGCAATATAGCTGAAATACAGTTTGAAATTTATAAAAATTATCAAAAAAATTACATTAGTATAAATTTATATAATCTTTGTACCTTAACTGTCTGAAGAGTTTTCCAAAAGTTTGATCTAATTGTAATACAGTAAAGTCATATTGTGATAAATAAAGTACCATAGCTTGATAATAATGAAGATATTGTTGTAATCCTCCTTTAAAAGCCTGCATTACTAAACCTACAAAACAAAATACCTAATTCATTATACACATAACATTTTACTATTGTATTGATTTCTTAATTATTTTTTCCTGCATTAACTTTTATTCATTCTGAACAAGAATAAATTCCTTTATATAAAAATTTAAAATAATTTATTTTTTTAAATACTGTGCAATAAAACAATATTTATTTATATATTTATTATATATAAACAAAATAAATAAATATAGATATGTAGAAGTACTTTAAAGATAATATGTTTGTAAATATAATTTACAACAAAACACTTGTATATAGTGGTAACAAAAACTATACAAACAACAAACAATAAAAATGTATGAAATAGCTATAATAATGTGCATAGACAAAATACTATTTACAACAAAATATGTTAAACTGCTTTAAGCATATTAGTGAGTTATAAAAAAGTCAAGGATTACATCCAAATTTGGTCTATGATCCAACATCCCTAGTAAATTCACATCACTCCCAAAATGCTGCATATGAACATTATTGAACTCATAGCATTCTATCAATAGTTGTTTAATGCTCAAAGCACAGTCACATACCTTGACACTGATTTAAGATATATGGAACCTAAATCAATGACTAATATATATTTTAAGAATAGTTAAAATCAGTTTGGTTTGTGATTTGGTAACCACAGAACAGCCACGTTATTATTTGCAATTCATTTACTCCATCAGAAATGACTAAATTGCAAATGGTGGCTTATGGCCATTTCAAATTGGTTTTTAACCATTCTTAAATATGTCAGTCAACTAAGATTTGAGCCACCTTGTATTTATCACTAATTATAAATATTTAAAATCAATATTAGAAATATTTAGTAAATAACATATTGACAGTTGTAAACAGAATTTCAAAATGACAAAGATTTTAAAATATATAATTATGATCTGCAGTTTACAGCATGAAATCAACACAGAAATATTGCAAATGATAGTAATGTAAAAATATCATTGAAATACTTATAATTTTAATAATATAATAAAGACACAAAACTCCATTCTTTTAAAAAATGAATAAACAAGCCAATATATAAACTGTATTTAAAACTATTGTTTTAATAATTTTGTTGAATTAATCAATGCATCTTTAATAGTGGGCAAAGTTGAAGGAATGCTAATGTTTTCGATCCATCGATGGGCTATCTTTGTGTTGTATACGGATGGACAAAAGTGAAGTGCCAGCTCTAGTTAGAAAGAAAAATGGGATAGAGAAAATAATCTAGAGAAGATGTACTATGAAATCAGCAGCTGAAAAAAACTGAGAAGCGATTGTCAGGCAGGAAAGAGGAACTACCTTGTTCCTGCTGTTTGAACAGACAGCAGGAACAAGGTAGTTCCTATAAATTTTACACTTCTACAATGTTGGCATAAGAGGAAAGAGACACTTCCAAAGAGTATGACCTTGTATCAATGTACAGCACTTCAGTACTGAGTTGTGCAAAAAAAGACAAAACTGCAGCATAGCCTTCTCTTTTAATATTGTCTTTATATAAGATAATATGTATTGTGTTCAAAAATTCCATTAAACTCTATATTGCACATATTTCCAATATTATAAATATATTGCTTATTTACAGAAATCAAAAACTTTTCATTTCAGAATTATTTTAAGCTTTCTTCAAGTCATCCTCAATTATTGCAAATTAGAGCAGGTGGTACTGAGTTTAATAGAATTTTTAAAAACACAACAACACACATTATCTAACTAGGCTGCAATTTGAAAAAATTGTACACCTATAAATTCCTACAGTCTGTCCACTGTCTTTCCTTAATCTCAAGAACAGAGTTAGATAGAAGAAAGATGAGAGCAGATATAGAAAACTTGGAAGCAAAAGGTCCCTATTAACTATACATGAACTTCTGATGCAAACCAGAAATCATGTTATTTCAATTCAAAAATTTTTCCCTGAAAGATATTAGATAGACAACTGGCACGACTATATTGTTAAAGAAAAAGTATGATGTACAGGGGCAAGCAACTACTAATTTGAGGTGGAGAGCATATATTTTAAATTAAAAAATATGATTAAAAATTGCAGCAAAGCATTGCAACAATGTCACAATAAATAATTGCTCATTCAATATATGTCTATTTAAACAATTATTAGATTGGATATTGTAACTATTATATACAGACTAATCACACACCACAAAAATCTTTATTAACTACTTCAAATCCTGGTATATATTTTGGCCTTTACAGTGGCTTCATTAGCCAATCTGTGATTTTTCTTAACAACTTAAGGACAATGTATATCTAGCTAATATATTTCCTAAAAAAAGAAAAACTTTCTCTCCAGTTTATCAACACTTTTCTGCAAAAATTGTAAGAATGCAGTCTGGAAATGGAGAAGAGCAAATTTCGAGTGAACCAGCAGAACAAATGAACTTTTATATATTAAAACTAAAAAAGAAATTAATGTTCAGGAAGGTGTTCATCTTTTGCTTAAACTATTATTTCAGGCAGATACATTCCTCTTTCTATGGATAATTAATGTAAAACACTATTTCTTGAAAGTGACATTAGTTAAGTGTTCACTAATGCAATTAATACATTTGTTCAGCTTGGTCAGAAAAAAAAACTTACTGCAACATCTCTTGGAATCTCCTAAGTGCATTCACAAATTCAATCTTTTCAATCATTGATACTGGCCAAATATTGCTTATAAACTTTTTATTTCATATATCAGCCCAGAAATGAAAGTTCTGTTTGTTCACAAATCCAGACATATGGAAGTGGGCTTCATCTGACATCAGTAACCTATTTACAGTGTATTCACAATTCTCAGTAACTACAAAAGCTCACAAAACTAAAGTCGCAGTCTTTTATCCCATTCACTAAGCTCTGGGCAACTTGGATCTTGTACAGACGGTAATGAAGATTGTGCAAATGCCATCTGCCATACCAAGTGCAATAGCTTGCCTGTGAGCTGCCTGTGCAAAACTATGCCAAATAACATTTTTCATGATGTACTTACTGAACAGAGACATCATGAAAACTTGCTATCTTTTATACTTTTTTCTTGATGCCATTTTGACAACCAGAGTAACAGAGAGTACAACTAGGGTGATCATGTTGCCCAAACTGGAGTCAAAAACTGCACTGTGTAGCTGTAATAAGACTCTGTCTTATAATGTCTTTGTAAACATCTCAACTGCCACAATGTATTGTTACACTGACCAACAGTCCATCTCAACTGAATTCAAAAGCACAGTGAAAGTAATAGTGGCTAGCATTATAGCTACACCTTTGAATTATAGCTCTTAGGTAACTTGAGAATTAAATTTTAAAAACTTACTGCATCCTGTATAAGTAACAAGAATACTTGGCACATACTTAGCATTACAACAATGTTTGAAAATTGTTCAACAGATGCAGAATTTCATTCATTTATAGCATAATTATATATTACATAAACACAAGAGAGTTCAAGAGAGTNGATAATGTAGGAATCCTTCATAAAGAAAAAGAAACATATAGTAGGAAGTTTAAGGAAAGTATAGAGATCATTAGAGGTGAAAAATGCATAAATAAAAACTCCAGTATAAAAATAAACGAAAATTGGCTTGGCATATTATAAATGAAAATAGGCAATAATTCTGTGTAAAATAAGAAAAATCGGCTAAAAACGTTATAATCAAAATTAAGTAAAAATTAAAATCTCTTCAACGTGTGTTCAGTCACAAGGTGGCCTGTTTACCACATCCATTATGTAAATGAACATGGTCATACACATCAGAAAATAAAAAATGTTATATAGGTGTAAAAAACAAGTAACAATCTGTTTGTACAATAAAAACTACTCCAAATTGATGTAAAATGAAAATCTAAGTATGTTGTTGTAAATTTATAGTAAATTATAGTATTGTTATTGAAATAAAATTAATGCGATAATTAATGTATAATTCCCCATTAGATAACAAGTGTTGAAAATGGTGAGAGTCGAACGTGAAAAATGGTTTTAAGTTTACAAAGATCTGTGATTTGAAGGTATGTTTTATACAGCATAACCTTTTTATTTATATATTGTAATTTGTAACCAGTATGTATTTGTGTTTTAGTTGACTAAAGAGGGTCACGAATAACCCAAAACGTGTACAAACATTAAGTACATATATTTTAAAATCAACGAAATAAAAATTAATGATGAGATTATGTCCAAGTGAATACACTATATAGTTGGTGTTCAAGTTGCAAAAAAGTTACCAATCAATTCATTTTTGAAGGACAAAATATCTCCATATTGGGCATTGACTGAATGTTGGGATATATTTTTTGTAACAAATTTATATTTTCGGTTACGTTAGCATAAAAGTACAAATTTTCACATCTTTTTCACAACTTTTTAAAATTGCTTTTTTTTAACTTTTTCACATCATTATGAATGACTTTTATTGACAAATTTATGTTTTTTGCCAGAATCATTTTTTATTTTACTTGGTAAAATTTATAGTTAGCTTTCTTTCTCTTTGATGGGTCTCAACTAGTTATTTCCACAATTGATTTTTCTACATTATTAATAGTGTCTATGGCACTTTTCAGAATTGCATTTGCTACTTTTGTCTTGATTAAATCTCTTTTTCTACGAGCTTCTTAGAATGTTTCCATTCTTTCTTTCTCATTGCTATATAATCTAGAAAAATTCCTAAAACAGCAACTTAAGCAATATCAAAACTCACAATTCGGAATTAAAAATACAGATGAACTTACAGACGACCTAAACCAAATCAGTATAAAAGAAGACTCTAGAATAGCTAGCCTTGACATTGTCGATATGNTATGGCACTTTTCAGAATTGCATTTGCTACTTTTGTCTTGATTAAATCTCTTTTTCTACGAGCTTCTTAGAATGTTTCCATTCTTTCTTTCATTAAATTCTGCCATCTTAACTTCAGGGCTTGAAGTTAGATGGATCTGGAATTTTTGAGAATATTGATGCTCCTAACAAGGCTTCTTCGTCCTCTTTTCATTTTCCTGCTTCCTTTCGCTTCATAATTCTTTCCTTATAAAGCTTGTGCTGATTATGTAGATTCTTGGCTGACAGCAGAACCTTCCTGTGAGAACTTTCCAGGTTTCCATTGAGTCTGTCCGTAAAGGATAAAGTGGTTCTTAATCCATTAATGCTTTTTATACTGAGGCTTACTTTGTCTGGGCAAAATATCCTTTTGTCATTGCTAAATCCTCTTTCGACATCTGCACTGTAAGGAGTTAAACACATATTTTTATCAGCCTGCAGTGTTCATTATGTTGAACACTTAAACCCAGTAATGGTCAATAGTGTATAGTGTATAGTTTAGTAGTACCTTGTAATCGGCAATTGCTTCAGGTTTAAGGAACCTTCATGTAAAGTTAAGAATTAGAGATGATATTTCATCATATAAAATATGAATAAGGGAGTTCTTGCTCTTGTATTAACTTTGTCATTCTAGTAAACTTTTTCATTACAAATGTAGGAATAGTGATAGAAATAGAAATAATAATAATATTCCAGCATTCATAACCATCTTCAAATTATGGATAAAACAATAATGTTCTAGAGCAATGTTTCTCAACGGAGGGCGATATTACCCCCATATGGGCGTTTTTCCCATGTTGAGGGGGCGATTAGTAACAATTTATATTTTATATTGGGGGCAAAAAACAATTTTCTGGGCGATATAGTAAAACATTATATTAAGAATAATTAGATATTTTATTCGTTATATCGTACAATAATTAAACAAATAACATTATACTAGTCACTAGTCTACTCAATGCAGTACGAATTTGGCGTTAGCCTTGGCCCTCGGCATCGGAATTTTGAAGTGAAGGGGGCGATACTATGTTGAAGGGGGCGACGATTCGTTAGAGGTTGAGAAACACTGTTCTAGATTCTGTAACTGTTTTTAGTCCTCTTCATGCCTTCTCCAACTATTGTCCCCTTACTTGTCTTCCTCTCTCGTTCTCCCCGTCTCCTATGCAACCCCTCATTTATTTTCTTAACAGTTTAGGAATTTTACTCATCTAACCCCCACACAAATCACAGAAAGCTCATCTCTACTTCTAACAGTTCATTTTGTAGGATTATATTATCCATATCTTTCTATTTCTTATGTAGCTTAAACAAAAATTGAACAATCATACACTCAGGGAGACAGCATAAATAGTTAATGAAAGGATGAATGAGTTATTTATCCAAATTCATCATGCTGATATTTTACTTGTCCTAATTGCTAAATAATTTAGATATTTTAATTTATTGAGCATAGATTTTTATGGCCAAGCATTTCAGAAGTAAATAGTAAATTTTCTAAAAGCTATTAGTGAAAACACTCCTGTAACATATGACATTCAACTAATCCAACAGAAAGAGTTAAATGTCTTGAATATTATGGGTAATAATGCAACTGTTTTATATAATGCAAATATCTTTTACTAATTACATTGTTAAAATATCTGGCTTAAGTTTAATGAAAATTCGAAAATAAAATATCAGATTATATATTTTCTGACCAATAATTTAACAAATAACGATAAAATATTTTGTTGTTAAATTCACCTATCAACATTAATATTGCCATGTGCTTTAAAATTTTCAATAAGCAAAAAACTAAGTGAACCATGGCTGCTGAACTGATTTATTACAGTTAAACTAAATCGCACTGTAAAATACTGTACAATCTATAGAATCAAGCAATAACCAACATATATGATCTGTAGTACAATGGTAAAAATGCATGAAATGAAAATAGTATTTTATAATATAGAATTATGAATAATAAGTATCATAATATAACACTATATAGAGTCTACATTTCAATATCCAATTTAGCTAAATATCTGTTTTCATTAATCTCATGTTTGTGAAATCCGAATAGCCCTGGGTCTAAATGATAATTTAAAATTAAAGCTTAAATTTTGTAGAAAAATATTCTTTCGTTTTGGTGAGAAAATAATGGTTTTCTACCGTGGGAAAGCAGCTAACAGAGCCACTTCCTTTGACGGTAGAAGAAGCATCCTTTGTTTTTCCCTTATCTGTTACAAAATCTCACCACCATGAGAACTGACGACCTCTCATTTATTCCCCTTTTCATCCGTTCATGTGGGTGAAGAACAGTATGTTGATTGGTCGCTGATTAAGAGATATAGTCGAAATTTAGCAGAATTCAAGGAGTTTGTCAATAGATCCCAGATGAGGAAGACGAAATCCATACAAGCTCTAGAAGACCAACGCCCATAGTCGTATCCTATCGAGTTAATATGGAGTTAGAAACATAGAAGATAAATTTTAACATTGCGCCTATCAAGCCCTCCCCTTTGATAGAAGTTGAGAACTTAGAAATGAAGTATATTCGACGAAAGGAAGATAAAGTCAACTAAGACAGGTTGTATGTTTATTAATGAATGCTGAGCTCTCTCTCTCAACATTGTATAAGTTAAGTGAGGCCGTTACTCTCTCGGCACGTCTAATTGGATTTATTTGCTGTAGACCTTCGTTTATCTCTGAATATCTAACCATTATTTTTCTTTTGTATAATCAAGTTTATTTTTAGTTATTAAATTTTCTTTATTTTTGTTAAAGAAATGTCTCGTGTTGACTCTCTGAATCAAATCTACGGCATAATCACACACGTGTTTATCCGCGTAACGAGAAGTAGATAAACTGGTGTCAATCCTGACGTAGATCTGAATCTCGCGATTTGGATCGATTACAAAAGCCCTCCTGGTCAAAATCTTGACATAGGATCAGATCAAAAGATCCAAAACTAAGAGAACAGATTTCACTTAATCTACGGCATAATCACACACGTGTTTATCCGCGTAACGAGAAGTAGATAAACTGGTGTCAATCCTGACGTAGATCTGAATCTCGCGATTTGGATCGATTACAAAAGCCCTCCTGGTCAAAATCTTGACATAGGATCAGATCAAAAGATCCAAAACTAAGAGAACAGATTTCACTTAATCTACGGCATAATCACACACGTGTTTATCCGCGTAACGAGAAGTAGATAAACTGGTGTCAATCCTGACGTAGATCTGAATCTCGCGATTTGGATTGATTACAAAAGCCCTCCTGGTCAAAATCTTGACATAGGATCGGATCAAAAGATCCAAAACTAAGAGAACAGATTTCACTTAATCTGCGCCGAATAAGTGGTACCAACATCCTAATAGATAGATTGTACCCCCGGCTGATCTCACATGTTTTTCACGTTTTCACACCTGCTAACAGTAATGTGTTTTACATTCATGTGTTCGAACAAATAAATATACATCAAGTGCATTCTACTTGTAAAATCTTATTAAAAATACATTTTATGAACCAAAATAAATATCTTAAAATTAAAATTTTTTAACTAACCTGAGGAAAAAAGATTTGTGAATTAACATTAGATGAGCTTGAACATTTGCACAGTTTTGCAATATAGCTGAAATACAGTTTGAAATTTATAAAAATTATCAAAAAAATTACATTAGTATAAATTTATATAATCTTTGTACCTTAACTGTCTGAAGAGTTTTCCAAAAGTTTGATCTAATTGTAATACAGTAAAGTCATATTGTGATAAATAAAGTACCATAGCTTGATAATAATGAAGATATTGTTGTAATCCTCCTTTAAAAGCCTGCATTACTAAACCTACAAAACAAAATACCTAATTCATTATACACATAACATTTTACTATTGTATTGATTTCTTAATTATTTTTTCCTGCATTAACTTTTATTCATTCTGAACAAGAATAAATTCCTTTATATAAAAATTTAAAATAATTTATTTTTTTAAATACTGTGCAATAAAACAATATTTATTTATATATTTATTATATATAAACAAAATAAATAAATATAGATATGTAGAAGTACTTTAAAGATAATATGTTTGTAAATATAATTTACAACAAAACACTTGTATATAGTGGTAACAAAAACTATACAAACAACAAACAATAAAAATGTATGAAATAGCTATAATAATGTGCATAGACAAAATACTATTTACAACAAAATATGTTAAACTGCTTTAAGCATATTAGTGAGTTATAAAAAAGTCAAGGATTACATCCAAATTTGGTCTATGATCCAACATCCCTAGTAAATTCACATCACTCCCAAAATGCTGCATATGAACATTATTGAACTCATAGCATTCTATCAATAGTTGTTTAATGCTCAAAGCACAGTCACATACCTTGACACTGATTTAAGATATATGGAACCTAAATCAATGACTAATATATATTTTAAGAATAGTTAAAATCAGTTTGGTTTGTGATTTGGTAACCACAGAACAGCCACGTTATTATTTGCAATTCATTTACTCCATCAGAAATGACTAAATTGCAAATGGTGGCTTATGGCCATTTCAAATTGGTTTTTAACCATTCTTAAATATGTCAGTCAACTAAGATTTGAGCCACCTTGTATTTATCACTAATTATAAATATTTAAAATCAATATTAGAAATATTTAGTAAATAACATATTGACAGTTGTAAACAGAATTTCAAAATGACAAAGATTTTAAAATATATAATTATGATCTGCAGTTTACAGCATGAAATCAACACAGAAATATTGCAAATGATAGTAATGTAAAAATATCATTGAAATACTTATAATTTTAATAATATAATAAAGACACAAAACTCCATTCTTTTAAAAAATGAATAAACAAGCCAATATATAAACTGTATTTAAAACTATTGTTTTAATAATTTTGTTGAATTAATCAATGCATCTTTAATAGTGGGCAAAGTTGAAGGAATGCTAATGTTTTCGATCCATCGATGGGCTATCTTTGTGTTGTATACGGATGGACAAAAGTGAAGTGCCAGCTCTAGTTAGGAAGAAAAATGGGATAGAGAAAATAATCTAGAGAAGATGTACTATGAAATCAGCAGCTGAAAAAAACTGAGAAGAGATTGTCAGGCAGGAAAGAGGAACTACCTTGTTCCTGCTGTTTGAACAGACAGCAGGAACAAGGTAGTTCCTATAAATTTTACACTTCTACAATGTTGGCATAAGAGGAAAGAGACACTTCCAAAGAGTATGACCTTGTATCAATGTACAGCACTTCAGTACTGAGTTGTGCAAAAAAAGACAAAACTGCAGCATAGCCTTCTCTTTTAATATTGTCTTTATATAAGATAATATGTATTGTGTTCAAAAATTCCATTAAACTCTATATTGCACATATTTCCAATATTATAAATATATTGCTTATTTACAGAAATCAAAAACTTTTCATTTCAGAATTATTTTAAGCTTTCTTCAAGTCATCCTCAATTATTGCAAATTAGAGCAGGTGGTACTGAGTTTAATAGAATTTTTAAAAACACAACAACACACATTATCTAACTAGGCTGCAATTTGAAAAAATTGTACACCTATAAATTCCTACAGTCTGTCCACTGTCTTTCCTTAATCTCAAGAACAGAGTTAGATAGAAGAAAGATGAGAGCAGATATAGAAAACTTGGAAGCAAAAGGTCCCTATTAACTATACATGAACTTCTGATGCAAACCAGAAATCATGTTATTTCAATTCAAAAATTTTTCCCTGAAAGATATTAGATAGACAACTGGCACGACTATATTGTTAAAGAAAAAGTATGATGTACAGGGGCAAGCAACTACTAATTTGAGGTGGAGAGCATATATTTTAAATTAAAAAATATGATTAAAAATTGCAGCAAAGCATTGCAACAATGTCACAATAAATAATTGCTCATTCAATATATGTCTATTTAAACAATTATTAGATTGGATATTGTAACTATTATATACAGACTAATCACACACCACAAAAATCTTTATTAACTACTTCAAATCCTGGTATATATTTTGGCCTTTACAGTGGCTTCATTAGCCAATCTGTGATTTTTCTTAACAACTTAAGGACAATGTATATCTAGCTAATATATTTCCTAAAAAAAGAAAAACTTTCTCTCCAGTTTATCAACACTTTTCTGCAAAAATTGTAAGAATGCAGTCTGGGAATGGAGAAGAGCAAATTTCGAGTGAACCAGCAGAACAAATGAACTTTTATATATTAAAACTAAAAAAGAAATTAATGTTCAGGAAGGTGTTCATCTTTTGCTTAAACTATTATTTCAGGCAGATACATTCCTCTTTCTATGGATAATTAATGTAAAACACTATTTCTTGAAAGTGACATTAGTTAAGTGTTCACTAATGCAATTAATACATTTGTTCAGCTTGGTCAGAAAAAAAAACTTACTGCAACATCTCTTGGAATCTCCTAAGTGCATTCACAAATTCAATCTTTTCAATCATTGATACTGGCCAAATATTGCTTATAAACTTTTTATTTCATATATCAGCCCAGAAATGAAAGTTCTGTTTGTTCACAAATCCAGACATATGGAAGTGGGCTTCATCTGACATCAGTAACCTATTTACAGTGTATTCACAATTCTCAGTAACTACAAAAGCTCACAAAACTAAAGTCGCAGTCTTTTATCCCATTCACTAAGCTCTGGGCAACTTGGATCTTGTACAGACGGTAATGAAGATTGTGCAAATGCCATCTGCCATACCAAGTACAACAGCTTGCCTGTGAGCTGCCTGTGCAAAACTATGCCAAATAACATTTTTCATGATGTACTTACTGAACAGAGACATCATGAAAACTTGCTATCTTTTATACTTTTTTCTTGATGCCATTTTGACAACCAGAGTAACAGAGAGTACAACTAGGGTGATCATGTTGCCCAAACTGGAGTCAAAAACTGCACTGTGTAGCTGTAATAAGACTCTGTCTTATAATGTCTTTGTAAACATCTCAACTGCCACAATGTATTGTTACACTGACCAACAGTCCATCTCAACTGAATTCAAAAGCACAGTGAAAGTAATAGTGGCTAGCATTATAGCTACACCTTTGAATTATAGCTCTTAGGTAACTTGAGAATTAAATTTTAAAAACTTACTGCATCCTGTATAAGTAACAAGAATACTTGGCACATACTTAGCATTACAACAATGTTTGAAAATTGTTCAACAGATGCAGAATTTCATTCATTTATAGCATAATTATATATTACATAAACACAAGAGAGTTCAAGAGAGTTACCTTTATTGTAGCATACATTTGAACTAATTTCAGTTGCAAATTTTTCTAATCGACAGTACTCGGTACCACTATCAACAAATCTTTCTAAAAGTTTAGCAGTACAACCTGGAGTCAAACCAGCTAAATGGATCCCAGCTTTAACAGTAAACATCATTTGTTCCTATAAAATAAAGATTAGCATTTATTATGAGAAAGTAGTTTGATACCATAAAAATAATTGAGTTCTTCAGAGTTTAGCATAAAGTTGCTATTGAAATATATAATTAAGTTTCTTTGTTACATTTATTTTTTTTTCATTATATTTAAATAATATTTAATCTTGAAATGTAGGTATTGTTTTAGCTTCTTATTAACAGAAATAACTTAGTAAATACAAAATATTAAAAAAGTTTGAATAAATGAAAAGAATGTGACCATTCAAAGTTATTTCTTTATATTTTCAGAACATTTACAACAAGACCATTTAATTTTCTGTACAGCTTTATAATTTCAGTGAAACATTGATACATATTCATTAAATTTTATAAGCATACAGAACAGTAATTAATTTGAACATTATTTATGTAATATTGAGTGAGAGTAAAATGTAACAACTGAGTGAGATACTGTGATAGTGTTCATCTTATAAACATTTCTTCTGTAAGAATTACCTAATTTAAACTGAATGATTATCAACTAGTTTATATAAAAGTACTTAGCTAAATATGACTGTAATGTATCAATGACCTACACAATCGTGTTGTGTTCAAAGAGGTTCAGTAAAGGCTTATAAAAGTGACTATTAACTAAAGATATAAAAAAATTTCAGTGAGTGTTATTTACCAGTTATATTACATAAGAAACCCAATTGAGATTTAATGAAAATAATTTTTTCTCTCAGAATATGTGCAAATTTTTATTAAATAAACTTTCTTTAATTTTAATTTATCTGCATAAAATAAGATGAAAGAATTGTTATATTGATGTCTGTTTATGCATTTGTAGAATGTATCCTTCATTTTTTAATATATTTCTATATTTATTTGGTCTTAATAAATATAGAATTATACTTTCTAATAACTATTACTTTTTAATATTCAGTATTATAGTTTTAGCTTACTAAAACTAAATCTAAAACTTGATTTTAGTCATTCAAATGAAGTTTTAGTATTAAAACCAAAAACTACACATTATACATATAGTAAATAAAATTGTGTATTCTAATTACATCCTTTAGTAATAATTTGCCAAGTTATTAAAACTGATATAAATGAAATTAAATAGCATTACCTTCATGTAAAGAAATGTTTTTGATGGAACCCCAATTAACAAGTAAAAAACATCTCTGATTAAAGATTTGTGTGTCACTGTGATAGTGGGAACAACTGAAAAAGTAGGATCCATTAGATATAATTCATAAAGATGAACTTGGTGAATCATTTCAGTTGCCCTTGGTCCTGCTTCAGTAATAAATGCTTTTTCTTTCATAATATTTGAACTATAAAAAATGTAGTTAAATAATTAATCTAAAAAATATCATGTATTATAAAAATCAAACTAAATATACCATCCAACAGTTTCCCAAGAGAAATAATCTCTCTGATCCGACTTAAGAGCAATCTCCCAGATATCATTGTAACAAGATAATCCAGAGTGAAAACTTAAGGGTGAATCTGTTTCATTAAATCCTTCATCTTCTGATAATATATTTAATTTCTAAATAAAAAAGTATAATAAAAAATTAAAATATATAATTTATATTTATGAACTACAAAAATTGTTAATTTATAATTTATTCAATCTTAAGTTAGGAATGATTTTCTACTTCTACTAAATAATAAATTTTTGGAAATAAAACTGATAAAATACACTTATTGACAAAAAAGTCCTATTATTGCAAAAAAACCGCAACTAATCTCAAACAGATATGTAAATGCTTACAGTTATGGTTCAATTGCAAGCTAGATAATGCCATTGGTGCCCTAAAATTACTACTCCAGTTTCTTATAAAGAGGTTTGTGGAGGCTCAGTATTAAAAATTTTTCATGTATTTGTTGTTTGAAGATCTTCAAATGCCAGGCATGCGTGTATAATGTATTAGTTTAGTTTAGTTTGTATTAGTATGTAATGTAGTAGTAATGTATCAGTTAAGTTAGTTCTATTGCAAAACAAGCCCCAGAGACTAAAGTCTACATCTGGGTCTGTAAGAGGGGTGGATCTGACCTCTCTGTGACAAACCAAGATTTAAAAAAAAAATGTACACGGGGATTAATCAACAACAATGTAAAAGTTGACAGATTATTTAATAAAAAAAACAAGGATATTATAATGCTTATAAATACAAAAAAGTTCTTAAATATCACAATGTGCTAGCAAAAAATTAAACAATATATTAATCTTCAAAACTTCTGTGATTAATACAATCAATAATACAAAACCAGCAAATAGCAAAAATTAATATATATGTTTAACACAAGCAATTTTACACTTAGTCCTTGATTACCTTTTCTAATCTAGCAGTGCTAAACCTTTCCTCAACATCACACTTCCCATCTGACTATTTATACCTATTGATATAGTACCATTACAACTGCTGCCTACCTCATTTACATATTTGACTTGACCTATACCTCATGTGTTTACTGCTGGCAGCAACTTTAGTTCTACCAATTCTGTAATTACTATTAAGTATGAAATAAATTAGATTTATGATATATTTTTGGTTTGTTTCAAAGTTATTTTGGTTTCTTTATGGAAGTTCAAAAGTTACACGATAATAGCATTCTCCATGGAATGTGCTTTTTGAGATTTTTCCAGTTGGGAGTAAGAAGTTGCCCTAACTAAAACCCTAAAAATAAACATAACTAAACAAAACTAAGTAACTAAGAACAAGATAAAGTTGAGGTCCCCTCAACAATATACTCAAAGACATGACATATGGCTAAAGAAATAAACTTAATGCCAACAGATAATAGTAAGAACTTTAATTGACAGAAATATAATAACCAATTTCACAAAATTTTGCAAACACATTTTACATTGTGTGACTGTCAAAAATACTTGCAAAAAAGTACAGGCAAATTCAAAATTAGAACCCAAATATACAAACTTCCTGAAACACTTGAAAAAGAATATATTTTAAATTTACAGGATTTAAAAATCTAGATAAGAAACAAAATTATCATATTAATACTAACAATACTTTTTACATCATCATTAGTTATCCAAACCTACTATATCTAATGATATTTAACTGACTTACAGAGAGACACCAAATGATGCAGAAGTTCAAATGTGGGCTAATTACAAGATTCACAAGACAAAATGTTTAGCATCTCCCAAATAAATAACACATTAAGATCACTGCACTGATGAGTAAGCTAGCTTCTGACCATAAAAGCTCAGAATTATAATACAATACCTTTTTAACACTGGGATGATATTTTGCATATAAGATGAACCACAGATTTAGATCTGTGGTTCATCTTATATGCTAAATATCATCCCAGTGTTCAAATAATCTATTGGCTACAATTCTGCATGTAGCCCCTACATAAGAAAGATTAGAATTTACTGAATCATATCTAATGGGGATTTTATAAATTCCTGACTTCTCCAGCAAAGAATAATGGCAGAGACTACCATTATACAATATTCTACATAAAGATGTCCAGGATGTTTGAAGGGAAGAGAATATCCATACTTCCCAAACAAGCTAATGCAGTGACACATGTCTTGAATTTTAAATGGAAATGTGTGTAAACATCTTCATTAACAGATATATTGAAAATTGAGAATAATGATCACAAAACCCTAAAATTTTCTGTAAGGTATAACCTATTTTCCTAATTGTGGAAAATGCAATTAGGAAATCTTTTAACAGTAATTTCCAATACATGGAAATTACTGTTAAAAGATATATATATACCCTGATTATAGGTTCATTCAAATAGGATGTCCATAATGGGGAGGAAATATGTAAAAATTTTGTGACAGTGTGTGACAAGGTTTTAGTAGAATGATGATGTCCTAAAAATTCTCAAAAATTTTCATATTTGAAATAATTTTTTACCAAAATCATTATGCAGAAGTATTTTGATCAATAATCACATAGTAAGTTCTTGCTTATTTAAATAGTTGCACTTTAGTAGAGTAAGTTAATAGTTGGACTCTAGTAAGTTTAATTTGAATTGATAGTGACAACAATTTAACCTTTACAGATACAGATAGCACTGAAAGATATACCATACTAACTACTTTAGAATATATATAATATACTAACTTTAGTCTAGGAATTATCTAGTACAGTGTCATCAGATTCTTCTATGGTAAATTAGTGAATTTTTTTTATTGACCTAGTTTTAGGATTAGCCTTGACATGNCTAAGTGAACCATGGCTGCTGAACTGATTTATTACAGTTAAACTAAATCGCACTGTAAAATACTGTACAATCTATAGAATCAAGCAATAACCAACATATATGATCTGTAGTACAATGGTAAAAATGCATGAAATGAAAATAGTATTTTATAATATAGAATTATGAATAATAAGTATCATAATATAACACTATATAGAGTCTACATTTCAATATCCAATTTAGCTAAATATCTGTTTTCATTAATCTCATGTTTGTGAAATCCGAATAGCCCTGGGTCTAAATGATAATTTAAAATTAAAGCTTAAATTTTGTAGAAAAATATTCTTTCGTTTTGGTGAGAAAATAATGGTTTTCTACCGTGGGAAAGCAGCTAACAGAGCCACTTCCTTTGACGGTAGAAGAAGCATCCTTTGTTTTTCCCTTATCTGTTACAAAATCTCACCACCATGAGAACTGACGACCCCTCATTTATTCCCCTTTTCATCCGTTCACGTGGGTGAACGGATGAAAAGGGTAATAAATGTTGATTTGTCGCTGAAATAAGAACAGTATGTTGATTGGTCGCTGATTAAGAGATATAGTCGAAATTTAGCAGAATTCAAGGAGTTCGTCAATAGATCCCAGATGAGGAAGACGAAATCCATACAAGCTCCAGAAGACCAACGCCCATAGTCGTATCCTATCGAGTTAATATGGAGTTAGAAACATAGAAGATAAATTTTAACATTGCGCCTATCAAGCCCTCCCCTTTGATAGAAGTTGAGAACTTAGAAATGAAGTATATTCGACGAAAGGAAGATAAAGTCAACTAAGACAGGTTGTATGTTTATTAATGAATGCTGAGCTCTCTCTCTCAACATTGTATAAGTTAAGTGAGGCCGTTACTCTCTCGGCACGTCTAATTGGATTTATTTGCTGTAGACCTTCGTTTATCTCTGAATATCTAACCATTATTTTTCTTTTGTATAATCAAGTTTATTTTTAGTTATTAAATTTTCTTTATTTTTGTTAAAGAAATGTCTCGTGTTGACTCTCTGAATCAAATCTACGGCATAATCACACACGTGTTTATCCGCGTAACGAGAAGTAGATAAACTGGTGTCAATCCTGACGTAGATCTGAATCTCGCGATTTGGATCGATTACAAAAGCCCTCCTGGTCAAAATCTTGACATAGGATCAGATCAAAAGATCCAAAACTAAGAGAACAGATTTCACTTAATCTACGGCATAATCACACACGTGTTTATCCGCGTAACGAGAAGTAGATAAACTGGTGTCAATCCTGACGTAGATCTGAATCTCGCGATTTGGATCGATTACAAAAGCCCTCCTGGTCAAAATCTTGACATAGGATCAGATCAAAAGATCCAAAACTAAGAGAACAGATTTCACTTAATCTGCGCCGAATAAGTGGTACCAACATCCTAATAGATAGATTGTACCCCCGGCTGATCTCACATGTTTTTCACGTTTTCACACCTGCTAACAGTAATGTGTTTTACATTCATGTGTTCGAACAAATAAATATACATCAAGTGCATTCTACTTGTAAAATCTTATTAAAAATACATTTTATGAACCAAAATAAATATCTTAAAATTAAAATTTTTTAACTAACCTGAGGAAAAAAGATTTGTGAATTAACATTAGATGAGCTTGAACATTTGCACAGTTTTGCAATATAGCTGAAATACAGTTTGAAATTTATAAAAATTATCAAAAAAATTACATTAGTATAAATTTATATAATCTTTGTACCTTAACTGTCTGAAGAGTTTTCCAAAAGTTTGATCTAATTGTAATACAGTAAAGTCATATTGTGATAAATAAAGTACCATAGCTTGATAATAATGAAGATATTGTTGTAATCCTCCTTTAAAAGCCTGCATTACTAAACCTACAAAACAAAATACCTAATTCATTATACACATAACATTTTACTATTGTATTGATTTCTTAATTATTTTTTCCTGCATTAACTTTTATTCATTCTGAACAAGAATAAATTCCTTTATATAAAAATTTAAAATAATTTATTTTTTTAAATACTGTGCAATAAAACAATATTTATTTATATATTTATTATATATAAACAAAATAAATAAATATAGATATGTAGAAGTACTTTAAAGATAATATGTTTGTAAATATAATTTACAACAAAACACTTGTATATAGTGGTAACAAAAACTATACAAACAACAAACAATAAAAATGTATGAAATAGCTATAATAATGTGCATAGACAAAATACTATTTACAACAAAATATGTTAAACTGCTTTAAGCATATTAGTGAGTTATAAAAAAGTCAAGGATTACATCCAAATTTGGTCTATGATCCAACATCCCTAGTAAATTCACATCACTCCCAAAATGCTGCATATGAACATTATTGAACTCATAGCATTCTATCAATAGTTGTTTAATGCTCAAAGCACAGTCACATACCTTGACACTGATTTAAGATATATGGAACCTAAATCAATGACTAATATATATTTTAAGAATAGTTAAAATCAGTTTGGTTTGTGATTTGGTAACCACAGAACAGCCACGTTATTATTTGCAATTCATTTACTCCATCAGAAATGACTAAATTGCAAATGGTGGCTTATGGCCATTTCAAATTGGTTTTTAACCATTCTTAAATATGTCAGTCAACTAAGATTTGAGCCACCTTGTATTTATCACTAATTATAAATATTTAAAATCAATATTAGAAATATTTAGTAAATAACATATTGACAGTTGTAAACAGAATTTCAAAATGACAAAGATTTTAAAATATATAATTATGATCTGCAGTTTACAGCATGAAATCAACACAGAAATATTGCAAATGATAGTAATGTAAAAATATCATTGAAATACTTATAATTTTAATAATATAATAAAGACACAAAACTCCATTCTTTTAAAAAATGAATAAACAAGCCAATATATAAACTGTATTTAAAACTATTGTTTTAATAATTTTGTTGAATTAATCAATGCATCTTTAATAGTGGGCAAAGTTGAAGGAATGCTAATGTTTTCGATCCATCGATGGGCTATCTTTGTGTTGTATACGGATGGACAAAAGTGAAGTGCCAGCTCTAGTTAGGAAGAAAAATGGGATAGAGAAAATAATCTAGAGAAGATGTACTATGAAATCAGCAGCTGAAAAAAACTGAGAAGAGATTGTCAGGCAGGAAAGAGGAACTACCTTGTTCCTGCTGTTTGAACAGACAGCAGGAACAAGGTAGTTCCTATAAATTTTACACTTCTACAATGTTGGCATAAGAGGAAAGAGACACTTCCAAAGAGTATGACCTTGTATCAATGTACAGCACTTCAGTACTGAGTTGTGCAAAAAAAGACAAAACTGCAGCATAGCCTTCTCTTTTAATATTGTCTTTATATAAGATAATATGTATTGTGTTCAAAAATTCCATTAAACTCTATATTGCACATATTTCCAATATTATAAATATATTGCTTATTTACAGAAATCAAAAACTTTTCATTTCAGAATTATTTTAAGCTTTCTTCAAGTCATCCTCAATTATTGCAAATTAGAGCAGGTGGTACTGAGTTTAATAGAATTTTTAAAAACACAACAACACACATTATCTAACTAGGCTGCAATTTGAAAAAATTGTACACCTATAAATTCCTACAGTCTGTCCACTGTCTTTCCTTAATCTCAAGAACAGAGTTAGATAGAAGAAAGATGAGAGCAGATATAGAAAACTTGGAAGCAAAAGGTCCCTATTAACTATACATGAACTTCTGATGCAAACCAGAAATCATGTTATTTCAATTCAAAAATTTTTCCCTGAAAGATATTAGATAGACAACTGGCACGACTATATTGTTAAAGAAAAAGTATGATGTACAGGGGCAAGCAACTACTAATTTGAGGTGGAGAGCATATATTTTAAATTAAAAAATATGATTAAAAATTGCAGCAAAGCATTGCAACAATGTCACAATAAATAATTGCTCATTCAATATATGTCTATTTAAACAATTATTAGATTGGATATTGTAACTATTATATACAGACTAATCACACACCACAAAAATCTTTATTAACTACTTCAAATCCTGGTATATATTTTGGCCTTTACAGTGGCTTCATTAGCCAATCTGTGATTTTTCTTAACAACTTAAGGACAATGTATATCTAGCTAATATATTTCCTAAAAAAAGAAAAACTTTCTCTCCAGTTTATCAACACTTTTCTGCAAAAATTGTAAGAATGCAGTCTGGGAATGGAGAAGAGCAAATTTCGAGTGAACCAGCAGAACAAATGAACTTTTATATATTAAAACTAAAAAAGAAATTAATGTTCAGGAAGGTGTTCATCTTTTGCTTAAACTATTATTTCAGGCAGATACATTCCTCTTTCTATGGATAATTAATGTAAAACACTATTTCTTGAAAGTGACATTAGTTAAGTGTTCACTAATGCAATTAATACATTTGTTCAGCTTGGTCAGAAAAAAAAACTTACTGCAACATCTCTTGGAATCTCCTAAGTGCATTCACAAATTCAATCTTTTCAATCATTGATACTGGCCAAATATTGCTTATAAACTTTTTATTTCATATATCAGCCCAGAAATGAAAGTTCTGTTTGTTCACAAATCCAGACATATGGAAGTGGGCTTCATCTGACATCAGTAACCTATTTACAGTGTATTCACAATTCTCAGTAACTACAAAAGCTCACAAAACTAAAGTCGCAGTCTTTTATCCCATTCACTAAGCTCTGGGCAACTTGGATCTTGTACAGACGGTAATGAAGATTGTGCAAATGCCATCTGCCATACCAAGTGCAATAGCTTGCCTGTGAGCTGCCTGTGCAAAACTATGCCAAATAACATTTTTCATGATGTACTTACTGAACAGAGACATCATGAAAACTTGCTATCTTTTATACTTTTTTCTTGATGCCATTTTGACAACCAGAGTAACAGAGAGTACAACTAGGGTGATCATGTTGCCCAAACTGGAGTCAAAAACTGCACTGTGTAGCTGTAATAAGACTCTGTCTTATAATGTCTTTGTAAACATCTCAACTGCCACAATGTATTGTTACACTGACCAACAGTCCATCTCAACTGAATTCAAAAGCACAGTGAAAGTAATAGTGGCTAGCATTATAGCTACACCTTTGAATTATAGCTCTTAGGTAACTTGAGAATTAAATTTTAAAAACTTACTGCATCCTGTATAAGTAACAAGAATACTTGGCACATACTTAGCATTACAACAATGTTTGAAAATTGTTCAACAGATGCAGAATTTCATTCATTTATAGCATAATTATATATTACATAAACACAAGAGAGTTCAAGAGAGTTACCTTTATTGTAGCATACATTTGAACTAATTTCAGTTGCAAATTTTTCTAATCGACAGTACTCGGTACCACTATCAACAAATCTTTCTAAAAGTTTAGCAGTACAACCTGGAGTCAAACCAGCTAAATGGATCCCAGCTTTAACAGTAAACATCATTTGTTCCTATAAAATAAAGATTAGCATTTATTATGAGAAAGTAGTTTGATACCATAAAAATAATTGAGTTCTTCAGAGTTTAGCATAAAGTTGCTATTGAAATATATAATTAAGTTTCTTTGTTACATTTATTTTTTTTTCATTATATTTAAATAATATTTAATCTTGAAATGTAGGTATTGTTTTAGCTTCTTATTAACAGAAATAACTTAGTAAATACAAAATATTAAAAAAGTTTGAATAAATGAAAAGAATGTGACCATTCAAAGTTATTTCTTTATATTTTCAGAACATTTACAACAAGACCATTTAATTTTCTGTACAGCTTTATAATTTCAGTGAAACATTGATACATATTCATTAAATTTTATAAGCATACAGAACAGTAATTAATTTGAACATTATTTATGTAATATTGAGTGAGAGTAAAATGTAACAACTGAGTGAGATACTGTGATAGTGTTCATCTTATAAACATTTCTTCTGTAAGAATTACCTAATTTAAACTGAATGATTATCAACTAGTTTATATAAAAGTACTTAGCTAAATATGACTGTAATGTATCAATGACCTACACAATCGTGTTGTGTTCAAAGAGGTTCAGTAAAGGCTTATAAAAGTGACTATTAACTAAAGATATAAAAAAATTTCAGTGAGTGTTATTTACCAGTTATATTACATAAGAAACCCAATTGAGATTTAATGAAAATAATTTTTTCTCTCAGAATATGTGCAAATTTTTATTAAATAAACTTTCTTTAATTTTAATTTATCTGCATAAAATAAGATGAAAGAATTGTTATATTGATGTCTGTTTATGCATTTGTAGAATGTATCCTTCATTTTTTAATATATTTCTATATTTATTTGGTCTTAATAAATATAGAATTATACTTTCTAATAACTATTACTTTTTAATATTCAGTATTATAGTTTTAGCTTACTAAAACTAAATCTAAAACTTGATTTTAGTCATTCAAATGAAGTTTTAGTATTAAAACCAAAAACTACACATTATACATATAGTAAATAAAATTGTGTATTCTAATTACATCCTTTAGTAATAATTTGCCAAGTTATTAAAACTGATATAAATGAAATTAAATAGCATTACCTTCATGTAAAGAAATGTTTTTGATGGAACCCCAATTAACAAGTAAAAAACATCTCTGATTAAAGATTTGTGTGTCACTGTGATAGTGGGAACAACTGAAAAAGTAGGATCCATTAGATATAATTCATAAAGATGAACTTGGTGAATCATTTCAGTTGCCCTTGGTCCTGCTTCAGTAATAAATGCTTTTTCTTTCATAATATTTGAACTATAAAAAATGTAGTTAAATAATTAATCTAAAAAATATCATGTATTATAAAAATCAAACTAAATATACCATCCAACAGTTTCCCAAGAGAAATAATCTCTCTGATCCGACTTAAGAGCAATCTCCCAGATATCATTGTAACAAGATAATCCAGAGTGAAAACTTAAGGGTGAATCTGTTTCATTAAATCCTTCATCTTCTGATAATATATTTAATTTCTAAATAAAAAAGTATAATAAAAAATTAAAATATATAATTTATATTTATGAACTACAAAAATTGTTAATTTATAATTTATTCAATCTTAAGTTAGGAATGATTTTCTACTTCTACTAAATAATAAATTTTTGGAAATAAAACTGATAAAATACACTTATTGACAAAAAAGTCCTATTATTGCAAAAAAACCGCAACTAATCTCAAACAGATATGTAAATGCTTACAGTTATGGTTCAATTGCAAGCTAGATAATGCCATTGGTGCCCTAAAATTACTACTCCAGTTTCTTATAAAGAGGTTTGTGGAGGCTCAGTATTAAAAATTTTTCATGTATTTGTTGTTTGAAGATCTTCAAATGCCAGGCATGCGTGTATAATGTATTAGTTTAGTTTAGTTTGTATTAGTATGTAATGTAGTAGTAATGTATCAGTTAAGTTAGTTCTATTGCAAAACAAGCCCCAGAGACTAAAGTCTACATCTGGGTCTGTAAGAGGGGTGGATCTGACCTCTCTGTGGCAAACCAAGATTTTAAAAAAAAATGTACACGGGGATTAATCAACAACAATGTAAAAGTTGACAGATTATTTAATAAAAAAAACAAGGATATTATAATGCTTATAAATACAAAAAAGTTCTTAAATATCACAATGTGCTAGCAAAAAATTAAACAATATATTAATCTTCAAAACTTCTGTGATTAATACAATCAATAATACAAAACCAGCAAATAGCAAAAATTAATATATATGTTTAACACAAGCAATTTTACACTTAGTCCTTGATTACCTTTTCTAATCTAGCAGTGCTAAACCTTTCCTCAACATCACACTTCCCATCTGACTATTTATACCTATTGATATAGTACCATTACAACTGCTGCCTACCTCATTTACATATTTGACTTGACCTATACCTCATGTGTTTACTGCTGGCAGCAACTTTAGTTCTACCAATTCTGTAATTACTATTAAGTATGAAATAAATTAGATTTATGATATATTTTTGGTTTGTTTCAAAGTTATTTTGGTTTCTTTATGGAAGTTCAAAAGTTACACGATAATAGCATTCTCCATGGAATGTGCTTTTTGAGATTTTTCCAGTTGGGAGTAAGAAGTTGCCCTAACTAAAACCCTAAAAATAAACATAACTAAACAAAACTAAGTAACTAAGAACAAGATAAAGTTGAGGTCCCCTCAACAATATACTCAAAGACATGACATATGGCTAAAGAAATAAACTTAATGCCAACAGATAATAGTAAGAACTTTAATTGACAGAAATATAATAACCAATTTCACAAAATTTTGCAAACACATTTTACATTGTGTGACTGTCAAAAATACTTGCAAAAAAGTACAGGCAAATTCAAAATTAGAACCCAAATATACAAACTTCCTGAAACACTTGAAAAAGAATATATTTTAAATTTACAGGATTTAAAAATCTAGATAAGAAACAAAATTATCATATTAATACTAACAATACTTTTTACATCATCATTAGTTATCCAAACCTACTATATCTAATGATATTTAACTGACTTACAGAGAGACACCAAATGATGCAGAAGTTCAAATGTGGGCTAATTACAAGATTCACAAGACAAAATGTTTAGCATCTCCCAAATAAATAACACATTAAGATCACTGCACTGATGAGTAAGCTAGCTTCTGACCATAAAAGCTCAGAATTATAATACAATACCTTTTTAACACTGGGATGATATTTTGCATATAAGATGAACCACAGATTTAGATCTGTGGTTCATCTTATATGCTAAATATCATCCCAGTGTTCAAATAATCTATTGGCTACAATTCTGCATGTAGCCCCTACATAAGAAAGATTAGAATTTACTGAATCATATCTAATGGGGATTTTATAAATTCCTGACTTCTCCAGCAAAGAATAATGGCAGAGACTACCATTATACAATATTCTACATAAAGATGTCCAGGATGTTTGAAGGGAAGAGAATATCCATACTTCCCAAACAAGCTAATGCAGTGACACATGTCTTGAATTTTAAATGGAAATGTGTGTAAACATCTTCATTAACAGATATATTGAAAATTGAGAATAATGATCACAAAACCCTAAAATTTTCTGTAAGGTATAACCTATTTTCCTAATTGTGGAAAATGCAATTAGGAAATCTTTTAACAGTAATTTCCAATACATGGAAATTACTGTTAAAAGATATATATATACCCTGATTATAGGTTCATTCAAATAGGATGTCCATAATGGGGAGGAAATATGTAAAAATTTTGTGACAGTGTGTGACAAGGTTTTAGTAGAATGATGATGTCCTAAAAATTCTCAAAAATTTTCATATTTGAAATAATTTTTTACCAAAATCATTATGCAGAAGTATTTTGATCAATAATCACATAGTAAGTTCTTGCTTATTTAAATAGTTGCACTTTAGTAGAGTAAGTTAATAGTTGGACTCTAGTAAGTTTAATTTGAATTGATAGTGACAACAATTTAACCTTTACAGATACAGATAGCACTGAAAGATATACCATACTAACTACTTTAGAATATATATAATATACTAACTTTAGTCTAGGAATTATCTAGTACAGTGTCATCAGATTCTTCTATGGTAAATTAGTGAATTTTTTTTATTGACCTAGTTTTAGGATTAGCCTTGACATGGCAGGAAATACGAAACAGAAATGCTTGATTTTAATATCAGGAGTAGATCAAGTGTAACATCAGTATAGGGGGATATCTAAAAATTGATGACAAAAAGTGATAGGGTGAATCCTGTCACTTTTGTCAGCAAGCTAAGTCTTAAGTCCAAAAGAACAAAATTGGTGACATCATATTTAATGATTCCTATTGTACTAATGGATTTGGATGTTTGCTTGTTTGATGCAACACAGATGATGTTCATGTTAATATTTATCCCAGCATTAGTTAGTCAATATGAATACATTTTGGTGTATTCTTCTTTCTTTTTTAATTTTATTAAGTTGTCAGTTATGTGGCAATTCTCTTATTTAACACGTTTACAACATCAGTACATAAACGTTTAGGCAGCTGTTGGGCGTTACGAGCCACAGGTGACTCGTAGTCTATTTTAATACAGGGCGGCACGAGTCACTCATGCCTCGTACTATTAAATTAATATATTTTATTGCATCTGATAAAATAATATTGATATATCAAGTATGATGTTTGTAGCATTATGTTATCAAAACATATGTACCGCCCCACTGAAAAACAAGCAATTATGTCTGTAGCCCTAACTAGACGTGTCCATACGAGTCACATGTGCCTCGTAATGTCATGAACGTGTTAAATTAATTTGAATGCTGCTACATTTAAATATATCCAAACACTGGCATTTCTTTGATGATTTTGGAATGGTTAAGTTAAAACTTGACAAAGAGCCATAAACTATCTCAAAAATGTTAGTTCAGCAGATTCAGAAGTTTTCAGCCAAATATTTAAAAACTTGTGTTATAAATTCATTAAATATAGCCAGTTGCCATTATACAATATTCTACATAAAGATGTCCAGGATGTTTGAAGGGAAGAGAATATCCATACTTCCCAAACAAGCTAATGCAGTGACACATGTCTTGAATTTTAAATGGAAATGTGTGTAAACATCTTCATTAACAGATATATTGAAAATTGAGAATAATGATCACAAAACCCTAAAATTTTCTGTAAGGTATAACCTATTTTCCTAATTGTGGAAAATGCAATTAGGAAATCTTTTAACAGTAATTTCCAATACATGGAAATTACTGTTAAAAGATATATATATACCCTGATTATAGGTTCATTCAAATAGGATGTCCATAATGGGGAGGAAATATGTAAAAATTTTGTGACAGTGTGTGACAAGGTTTTAGTAGAATGATGATGTCCTAAAAATTCTCAAAAATTTTCATATTTGAAATAATTTTTTACCAAAATCATTATGCAGAAGTATTTTGATCAATAATCACATAGTAAGTTCTTGCTTATTTAAATAGTTGCACTTTAGTAGAGTAAGTTAATAGTTGGACTCTAGTAAGTTTAATTTGAATTGATAGTGACAACAATTTAACCTTTACAGATACAGATAGCACTGAAAGATATACCATACTAACTACTTTAGAATATATATAATATACTAACTTTAGTCTAGGAATTATCTAGTACAGTGTCATCAGATTCTTCTATGGTAAATTAGTGAATTTTTTTTATTGACCTAGTTTTAGGATTAGCCTTGACATGGCAGGAAATACGAAACAGAAATGCTTGATTTTAATATCAGGAGTAGATCAAGTGTAACATCAGTATAGGGGGATATCTAAAAATTGATGACAAAAAGTGATAGGGTGAATCCTGTCACTTTTGTCAGCAAGCTAAGTCTTAAGTCCAAAAGAACAAAATTGGTGACATCATATTTAATGATTCCTATTGTACTAATGGATTTGGATGTTTGCTTGTTTGATGCAACACAGATGATGTTCATGTTAATATTTATCCCAGTATTAGTTAGTCAATATGAATACATTTTGGTGTATTCTTCTTTCTTTTTTATTTTATTAAGTTGTCAGTTATGTGGCAATTCTCTTATTTAGCACATTCACGGCATCAGTACATAAATGTTTAGGCAGCTGTTGGGCATTACGAGTCACAAGTGACTCGTAGTCTATTTTAATACAGGGCAGCACGAGTCACCCACGCTTCGTACTATTAAATTAATATATTATATTGCATCTGAAAAAATAATATTGATATATCAAGTATGATGTTTGTAGCATTATGTTATCAAAACACATGTGCCGCCCCAGTGAAAAACAAGCAATTATGTCTGTAGCCCTAACTAGACATGTCCATACGAGTCACATGTGCCTCGTAATGTCATGAACGTGTTAAATTAATTTGAATGCTGCTATATTTAAACATATCCAAACACTGGCATTTCTTTGATGATTTTGGAATGGTTAAGTTAAAACTTGACAAAGAGCCATAAACTATCTCAAAAATGTTAGTTCAGCAGATTCAGAAGTTTTCAGCCGAATATTTAAAAAGTTGTGTTATAAATTCATTAAATATAGCCAGTTGAAAATTTTTCATTGATCAATGGCAGATTTGGCCAAAGTATTCAGAAACCTTGTGTTGAAGATTGTAAGAATCAGATGCAAGTAAGATTTTCTAACATTCCGTCCTTTATGCATTCAATGACATCCAGGTAAGCAACTTTCTCCATCATTCATCTGCAGACAATACATAGAGCCCACACCAGGCATCAATCTGGGAAGCAATTAGTTATCACTCTCATACACGTATGGATGTTTGTGCAGGGTATACTGAATAACAATACAAGTATGTACAGTACATCAGTGACACATTGCCAGTCATTCTGCCGTTTTTGAGTGGAATTCCAAATGCAATGCCCATCCACACACCATCTGGACAACCAAACATGTTCTTCAGGCAGTGCACTATCTTTCTTGGACACCACATTCTTCAGACATGCTAGCACCCCAGCAGGAAATGACCATCTCTCAATTATATGTCCAAGTAGAGAGTGCATGAAATGCTATTTGCCAGCAAGATATCTAGCATTTGTAACCTTTCATAAGCTATATTTAAGAGTTGTATTGCTGCTCATGGAGGTTCAATACCTTATTAAAATCGGCCTTGTGTAAAATGTGATGTTCATTAAAAGATAAGATACACCTGTGTATCTTATCTTTTAATAGTAGAAATAGCTTGTTAAAAGACAGTGATAACATAAAATGTTATCACTGTCTTCTCTTAACAAGCTATTTCTACTATATAACTTCATTGATTAGGTTTTAGTTTTTAATGGTGTTCTTTTTTATTTTCTGCCAGTGCATTGTATATTTATTAAAATAGAATATAAAATTTTACTATAATCTCTATAATAAATATATTTATTTACCTCTTGTTTTTTCACTGTTGGCAAGGATACATTTTTCAATATTTCAGTTCTAAATTTTAAAAAAATTACAAGTTTTATTTTATTTATAAAATTATTACTTTTTAAGAATTCAATTGAAAATATTTGAATACAACAACAAGTTCTAACTAAAATCTTAAATACATTTCAATAAATGTAACAAATGATTGATTATCATTGCTAATATGTTCATACATTATTTTAAAAATGAAATATAACAAATTTTGACAACAAAATGCATAAGACATTTTAATAACAATGATTAAATTTAAACTATATTTGTAAATAAAGATATCTTAACAGGATTTAATACACAAGATGGTTATAATTAAAGTTGTGCAACTTTACTTATAACCATCCAAAAAAGTATTTTTATGTTACTTAAGAAATATTAATAAAAAAAAANAAAAATAAATATATAATTGAGTTGATAACATAATCAAACAAATCAAGGCAGCTTATTGGCAAGAAATTTGCAGCCGTCAATGCCAAACAATTGTTGTCATAGACTTCGGAAAGCTAAATGCTTGTAATGAAAGTCACGGGTGAAAGCCTGGGGCTGTTCACGCTACCAAGCTATCTCAAATCTGTGACATCATAACTGTGACTTATACCAACGTCCTATCTGTCTGTTTTTTCCATTATCACCAGGCTATGAATCACGTGATTGTAAAATGGGAAATCTATGATGGAAAAGTGACGAATCAAAAGTATCGTTAGGGCGTATTATGATGTATGCATAGGCATACGTGGACTAGAGCAATAGAGAAAAGAGAAAGGGAAGAGCAAAGTGCTTAAAAAGAAGGATAGGCAGGGTCAGACCCTCAGATGTGCAACGATTCTCAAATGAATAGGTGTGTACGTGAACTGATCTTTGTAATTATAAATTGTAAATACAAGTGACTAATATTAATTTTTTTTTATTTTGTGCATGTTATAAGTTATAAATGAATATAAACAAGCAACACCAACCCGATAACATTAAATCTAAATACCAAAATGATTAATTTACTGTGTTTTTGTTATTTCTTACTCCTTTTTTTAGGTATTCGGTATTTGGCTGAACAGTGATTAAATATTCGTTACATCACTAATCATAAGTAATGACACGTTTTTCTTATAAGTTTCAGCAGACTTTATTAACATAAAAAAGTAGTTGTTTAATCCAATATATAATGTTATTCATTAAATATGACATTTTTCCATCAATCTATAAGTTTTTGATGCCTTTCTTATAAAAATTCTCAGATTTTGATTNGTTGAAAATTTTTCATTGATCAATGGCAGATTTGGCCAAAGTATTCAGAAACCTTGTGTTGAAGATTGTAAGAATCAGATGCAAGTAAGATTTTCTAACATTCTGTCCTTTATGCATTCAATGACATCCAGGTAAGCAACTTTCTCCATCATTCATCTGCAGACAATACATAGAGCCCACACCAGGCATCAATCTGGGAAGCAATTAGTTATCACTCTCATACACGTATGGATGTTTGTGCAGGGTATACTGAATAACAATACAAGTATGTACAGTACATCAGTGACACATTGCCAGTCATTCTGCCGTTTTTGAGTGGAATTCCAAATGCAATGCCCATCCACACACCATCTGGACAACCAAACATGTTCTTCAGGCAGTGCACTATCTTTCTTGGACACCACATTCTTCAGACATGCTAGCACCCCAGCAGGAAATGACCATCTCTCAATTATATGTCCAAGTAGAGAGTGCATGAAATGCTATTTGCCAGCAAGATATCTAGCATTTGTAACCTTTCATAAGCTATATTTAAGAGTTGTATTGCTGCTCATGGAGGTTCAATACCTTATTAAAATCGGCCTTGTGTAAAATGTGATGTTCATTAAAAGATAAGATACACCTGTGTATCTTATCTTTTAATAGTAGAAATAGCTTGTTAAAAGACAGTGATAACATAAAATGTTATCACTGTCTTCTCTTAACAAGCTATTTCTACTATATAACTTCATTGATTAGGTTTTAGTTTTTAATGGTGTTCTTTTTTATTTTCTGCCAGTGCATTGTATATTTATTAAAATAGAATATAAAATTTTACTATAATCTCTATAATAAATATATTTATTTACCTCTTGTTTTTTCACTGTTGGCAAGGATACATTTTTCAATATTTCAGTAGGTAGTTCCTATAAATTTTACACTTCTACAATGTTGGCATAAGAGGAAAGAGACACTTCCAAAGAGTATGACCTTGTATCAATGTACAGCACTTCAGTACTGAGTTGTGCAAAAAAAGACAAAACTGCAGCATAGCCTTCTCTTTTAATATTGTCTTTATATAAGATAATATGTATTGTGTTCAAAAATTCCATTAAACTCTATATTGCACATATTTCCAATATTATAAATATATTGCTTATTTACAGAAATCAAAAACTTTTCATTTCAGAATTATTTTAAGCTTTCTTCAAGTCATCCTCAATTATTGCAAATTAGAGCAGGTGGTACTGAGTTTAATAGAATTTTTAAAAACACAACAACACACATTATCTAACTAGGCTGCAATTTGAAAAAATTGTACACCTATAAATTCCTACAGTCTGTCCACTGTCTTTCCTTAATCTCAAGAACAGAGTTAGATAGAAGAAAGATGAGAGCAGATATAGAAAACTTGGTAGCAAAAGGTTCCTATTAACTATACATGAACTTCTGATGCAAACCAGAAATCATGTTATTTCAATTCAAAAATTTTTCCCTGAAAGATATTAGATAGACAACTGGCACGACTATATTGTTAAAGAAAAAGTATGATGTACAGGGGCAAGCAACTACTAATTTGAGGTGGAGAGCATATATTTTAAATTAAAAAATATGATTAAAAATTGCAGCAAAGCATTGCAACAATGTCACAATAAATAATTGCTCATTCAATATATGTCTATTTAAACAATTATTAGATTGGATATTGTAACTATTATATACAGACTAATCACACACCACAAAAATCTTTATTAACTACTTCAAATCCTGGTATATATTTTGGCCTTTACAGTGGCTTCATTAGCCAATCTGTGATTTTTCTTAACAACTTAAGGACAATGTATATCTAGCTAATATATTTCCTAAAAAAAGAAAAACTTTCTCTCCAGTTTATCAACACTTTTCTGCAAAAATTGTAAGAATGCAGTCTGGGAATGGAGAAGAGCAAATTTCGAGTGAACCAGCAGAACAAATGAACTTTTATATATTAAAACTAAAAAAGAAATTAATGTTCAGGANTTTTTAAAAAAAATCTTCATTTGATTTTAATTCTAAGAAAAATATTTACTGTCTTTTCTAGAAAATTGCTCTTTTTAAAAAAATTTCTTAGAATTTGCATTTAAGGCTGCTACACACGCTTGAGTTAAATTTTAACATTTGGCTGTTTATAATATCTTATTTAAACATGTCTAAGTGGCAAGCAGCTAAACAAGAAATTGTAAATAAGCAACATAGTCTGTTCCATAAATAAACTAATAACGAAAAAAAATGTCTGTTTCTTATAAAACAGACATTTTTTTCCGTTATTAGTTTACTTACTTAACTCAATCAGACTTTATACTGTGATTGAAGCAGCCAGAAAAAATTTAATTCAAAGTTCAAATATTTATTTGTATAATTTTTCTTTGCATTTCTTCTGATTTCTTTTAATACACAAAATTGAAAAAGTTTAATAAAAAATAAAATTTGTGTGAAAAATATAAATTCAGTAAGTTTTGCTGATAAGTTACAATTATCCTTCCTGTCATTTATAAACTAAACTTTAAATATTTCATTTAAACACACCTTAATATATTAACTGATCTATCATATTATTTTTAATAGTTTTTGAAGTCTGGAATCAATCTTCCATTTTTCCACATGGATAGTATTGTTTTTTTTACCAAATTTTTTTGAAATATACTTGCTATAAAAAAACATGCAGAGAATCACACCTATACGCAAAATTTCCAGCAAAGAAATTTCTTTGCTGAAAATTTTGCGTATAGGTGTGATTCTCTGCATATATTGTTCCAGTTTACTTGTACAGTTGTTGTTTTTTGTTATAAAAACACAGAATTGAATGTATAGATATGCAATCTAGATGGTTCTGTTGTGAAAGATCATGTGAAATATCCCACACTTCTTTATCTTTCCTAGTTGATATAATTGCCCCATTACTGTTGATTGAACACTCAGTTTTTCTGCAATTTCTTGTGTACAGCTTGGGTCAGCTTCCACTACTGCAACAATTTCAGCATTTTCTAAACCAAAAGGTCTCTGTAAAAAAGCTCATCTTCAAGAGTTCAACTTCATTTCCATTCTTAAATTTTTTTAACCAGCACCGGTCCTTTGTGACATTTAAGGCTTCACTGCCACACATGCTACCTATATTGTTTTTTCCATAACTGTAGCGTTACTTTTTCTAAATTTGTATAACATTATAGACCTTAAATATTTTTTCAAGAAGCTCATTTTGATCCAAACTAATAGAGAGTTGTGGCCAAAGTTCAAACTTTAAACTTGTACGGAAGCAGAAGTACATGTTTGACATTTGAACTCCAAGTAAAACACATTGTGCCACACGTTCACGTCGCTCACTGATTCATGGGATATTGTTGAAAAATGGTGGAAACATTTAAGAACAATGAAGGTTACCACAAATATAAATAAACAAATTAAACTATTTTAAAATATTTACAGGATGTTTAATAATGCTAAATAATTATTTTTGACTTTGATTAGTGTTGTGTCTCCTACCGTACAATATAATAGTAGAACAATTCCAATGCATTTTGACTGTTCTCACAGCATACTTTTGTTGAGGGAAGTAGTGGCTTATATAAACCCAAAAGCAGCTCAGGAAATTAATTTTAGAAATTTACGAACATATTATGCTATTGATGGTAGAAGATGCTGTGAAACAACAAACCTACTTCTGCAAAATTATGATAAGCTGTTATGAACACAAATATATATAAATTCTACAGACACTTCACATCACTTGCAAAAAAGTTAAATAATTAAATAATTTCTGGATTAAAATCATCTATTTCTTTACAATGTTATTCATAAATGCTTAAATAATCATTATTTTAATAAAATACATCATAATTTTAACTAAACACAGAAAAGTGCAGATGTTTAAGCTGAACTTCTACTTGCTATACTCAACATTCCAAATGCCATTGTCAAACTTCTAGGATTACAAGATGGTGGCACTTGACATTCAATGTTCACATTTTAGAGATGAAAACTTCACCCACAACCTCTCTACTAACTTAATTTTTTAAAAAAATAATCAAAAACTATTATGAAAACCGTTATTACAACAATTACACAATTAATAAATTAGCTGATTGGTGTAGTACACAAATTATGCTATACTATGAAAACAATTCTTAGAAAAAAATTACTTATGATTCTACTCAATAAATATTTAGACATTAACAAATTATTTATCAAAATGATGACTGGTCATTTAAAGAAGTAATGTGGTAATAAGTTAAAAATTTCTTAATCTTCAGATTTAAAATAATGTAATGAAATAATGTAATTATTGTATGTAAAACAAGAAGTCATAGAAAGAAATCATAGTCTTAATCATTATCACTGAAAACTCATACAATTAAAGCTATTAATCTCCCAAATGATAAAATAAAAACTGAAACAGTTTAATGATCTTTTGCTTCTAGCATTTAATAGCTTATTTTAAAACACAATATTTATATCCAGTTTCTATTTATTAACTATTATAAAATGTTTAATAAATAATAACTTACTCATTAAAATATTTTTCTTTTAACTCTGGAATATCTAATGGCAGATCTAAAGTGCTCTTTGATGTAATCTTCTCTGGATGACATAGTGCACCCATAAATGGTTGTTTTTCATATTTACCAGATGAAAAACTCTGTAAAAATATAAAATATTTGAAAAATAATTTTTTTAAGTCGATGGCAAGCTAGCCAAGTAAATTCAACTATACAATATAAGTCTGAAAATGTATTGAAAAAAAATTGGAAATTTAATTAGTTATATGATAGTTGAATGACTCTTCTGCCATACAATTTTTAAGTATGTAACACTTCTACTCTCTCAAACAAAAATATAAGACTGTTTCTTTGCAACCAATGAGAAGGTGTATAGAAGATGCGTGATCTTTATTTGAAGTAAACATGATAGACTGAAATTTTATTTAGGATAATGATAAAGTTATGTGCTTGATTGATAAAATATAAAATCTATACAACATTAATTTTTAAGAATATCAGGATAAAATAAATAAGAAAACATATATACAGCTAAGATCATTTTTGTATATAGACCTGTAGTGTGTGCTGTATACAGTATAGTAATTTTGATAATAAATAAGAAAATAACATAAAATATAAAACTGAGATGGCTACACTTTTCAGCTTTTTCTAAAGTAAATGAAACCTAACAGGAGGTATTTTAACTTAAAGTTTATATACCTATTATATGATGGCGGCAGGTGATGAGTCATGTCATCACATCAGGAGCTAAAATTCATGTTTCCAAATGAAAGGGAATTTCTCGTCATTCCCATAAGAGGACAACAGAGATTTTGGGGTGCTTGTAAAAATGTATGTCCCATTTCTGTTATCAACATTATGTTCTGTTTATAGTCAAAAAAGGTTTATTTATATATTTTGTGGTGTTAGCAGCTATAATGACCAATCCATGTTCCCTTAATCTCACTTCTCCAAATATTCCACAACTAGTTAAGTTATATCTTACTTGATAGCAATAGTAAGAATATTAAGTAACTAATAATTAATAGTAAAATTATATAATGTTATTATGTAATATAATATTTTAGTATTTTTCATTTTTGTTTGTTAATTTTAGTGCTAATAAAATAAATTTTTCATTAGGAAAAATTTTGTTCCAAAATTTTGCTTGAATTTCATTTAGCATATACATTTTTCTGCTACAACTCATCTATTCTATAAAATTGTTTAAATACATGAATTTACAAATTAGATACAGCATTACTTCTTTATAACCTATAAAATACATAAAGCAGCACTAATACATAAAGCAGTATGCTATAAAATTTTAAAAAAAGCTTAAAACTTTAATATTTTACAAAATATACTACATATGTGTTTTAAAATGTTAAGATATTATACAATCATTTTGTGAATATTTTATTTTGTGTATAGATAACACTCAAAAAAGTAGGAAGTTTCAGCACTAAGTGTGCCTTTTTTTTTCTTTAATGTATTAATCATTCCACCTATAATTTTAAAAAAATTGCAGATGAACTATGCTCCATTAGCAGCATTTCATTAAATTTTAAAGAAAGCAGAACAAAAAACTAAAAATATTTTTATGAATGTGAAGAAGATTTGAGTTTAAATTATCCCAAAAGTAATTTTTTTAGAGATTGTTTTTTTCTATTATTGATCAAGAATAGTTTATATCAAAGTTAGCAACATTCTCCTATATTTAGATTTTTATATAGCATACAAATACTAAAATGCAAAATAAGAATTAAGAGAATACTGTATGTATTTAGATATCATTTTACAAAATGAAGAACATTGAGATATAAATAGAANGAATAGAATAGATTAGAATCGTTTTTCTAACTTACATATTATAGATAATTTTATAAAATTATAATTTCAAAATTTTTTTTTATTCTATTATTATTATTGTTAACTTTTTATTGCTTAATAAATAAATATGTAATTAAAAAAATGGATTCTTAATCATTAATAAATATCAATAGCTTTAAAGTGAAGCTTATAATTATTCAAATATTAAAATTATATACCTGGGGTAATATTGTCATTGTCTTTTAACCTGTTTAAGAGTGTTTCTAATTGATTTGCTTTATCAAACTGTCTTGTAATTCTGAGATTATAAATATCTGCCAAAATATAATCAATAGGTGACAAATCCAAAGGTTCCAAACTTGTAGACACATCTAAGCAAAAATTTTTGATAAATTATTTTCTTTATCTAATAAATAATAAACTTAAAAGTTTAATAATTTAAATTTTACCTATTTTCGAAAATTTCAGCAAAATTTCATATGCTTTTCTTTTCAAGTGCTTTGTTATTTTTTCTTGCTGTATAAGATGGTTGAAACATTTGTATTGATGGCAAGTATGTTTTCTGTTGAATGAATCATTAACAATATTTTCACATAATTTAGCAATAAGATTATTAATACTTGAATCTTCTGCCAACTCTGAAATAAATTAAATATTAAGTTCTTTTTACAATTGAATGAATAAAAATCATAATTAAAATATACAAGTTAATCATAATGATTACCACAATTTCAATTAATATTTTCAAAGCAACCGGTATATTATAACTTAATAAAACAAAAAAGATTTATATTAGAGTTTCTCAATGGATCGGTTGCAAAAACGAGTTTAAGAGTAAGCTCTAGTTTAAACTGATTTCTATCTAAATTTATGTTTATGTAATGAATTTAATCATTATTTATTATGCATATTTATCAAAAAACAATACTTTATTTGCAAATTTTTGCTTTTTCTTGGATTTTTCAAATTGATTGCTGTAATTTGTTATGTTGTATTAGAATTTAATGTCAAAATAGTATCATTTACAATAAGCAATAAATCTTTTTCTTCAAGTGAGGAAAAATTTAGAAATTTAAAACTGTGCAAAACAATCTTCAAGTTTTCGTGAAAATTTTAATATTGGAGAAGTTTTTCGGTAATTTATATAGATTACTGATTACAGAAAAAAGTCGTTTTCATTCATTAAACATTATTTTTTTTAAATATTTATTTAAATAATATTTGCATGTAGAACACAAATATGATGTTAATTCCCCAATGTATGGCAGATTTGCAAAAGTTACTGTATTGCTCTTAAATTTTGTTTTATTTCTTTTCAAAAATTTTTATTTAAGTGCATTTGTCAAATCTTCAGTTTGAAGAGACTTGCTCAGCAAGTGGGTGGGTATGCTTATGTCACCATGGCAAAAGGATTTCATTGCTCATCATCAGCTGTCGACTGTATGTGCCCTGCTTCTTGTCAAGTCCAGACTTCTTCAAAAGTCATATTTATGGGACTAGATGGCTCTCCTTTTGCTTTCTATTCAAAATGGGCCCATTTACTGGATTCTTGGCTATTCTTACAGCAATGCACCCAATATCTTGTATAAGACCCAAGCTTTGTCCCATTGTACTTCCATTTTTTTGTTTAATGTTAACTCTTCAGCAAGTGCAGTACTTATCCTTTGTTTTCAAAGTCTTAATGGTGTTCTTTTAACCTATCTGCTAGCAGGTGGTGCATGCTACCAATGTAAAATCTTGTCTGTCCCATCTTTATATTCAACACACCATGTTTCTAGTCCACTCTTAGAAATTCTTAAGAATTTTTAATCTTATCATACACTGTTGGTCTTCTAACTGTTATAACTTTCACGTGTTGTACTTAAGTGGCACCTAAGTATTTTCACTACATTGACCCGGAGCAATACTCGTTCAATCTGAAGACAAAAAAAATTGCCGAAAAAGCATTTAATCGAATTTGCAGTAGACTCCTCGAGTGATAGCAAGGTAACAATTTGTCTTTCATTAGAATTAAGTCACGCATTTGGAAAGACAAACACAACTACGCATCATCGATTCTAAATCTATCCAATGTTAAATTATAGATTATTACTTCTTGCCAAACTTCCCTCTTCCACTATTCGTAATCTCACCATTCTCTCTCTCTAACATCCCATATGGGGTCGAAACATCTCCAAACCACCCGTCGGGCAATGCCGTTTTCGGAGACAAGCCATTCCTTCTTTTCCAGAATCTCCGGTCACAAGTTATACGGTCCCGGCAAACAAACTTAACGTCATCTCGACAAAATAATCGTACGAGTGGCCACAAATTTAAAAAGAAAGCACGCGGTATCCTTTTACGACACGGACCACGCCTTTCCTTCAAATGAGCGTACATTTTCTCCGTATAACATAGTTTTAAACACAATTAGAAGTTTAAAGTGCAAAAAATTGGTTAATGTGTACCTAGGTAGTCCAAGATGGTGGCGCTTCATTTAGATTAACTATATTTTTAGTAGATGTTTCCTTTTTTTTGTTTATTTTGTTCAAGAACTACCGTGAACCAATAACTAGTGACGTTTAGCACAAGGCGGCCTGCCGGCGGCTCCCCTCCGAGAGGAATCCGTCAACCCCACGAACAGTCAGAAGTGCTGTCATTGGGGCTACCTAGGTACACATTAACCAAAAAATTTGTGCACAAAATCCTGAAACATTATTTATATACACCAAATAAAAGAAAAAAGTATTAATAAGATAATGTTGTCATTATTAACATTTAAAATATTAAATATACCTAAGTTTGTGATATCTTTTCGACCAATCATCTTTCACATCAAGCCAAGTTATCCTTTTACTATAGTCATTCACTTCTCTTTATATTTTCACATATTGTTTTTTAAATATTAATTCAATTGTGCGCCAGACAATATATTTATATATTACAAACTAATATTAGTATATTTTACGATCATTTCTTTTTTTCTAATGTATTATTAACTTATACCGTAATTATATACGGATGGCGTGCATTCAAATCACAACACACGTTTACTTTGTAGTAGTTCTTTATTTTGATACTGGAGGTCGCGTTTCGAAATCGGCTGATTAAATACGTCTTATTATATATATACAGTGAAAACTGCTTAGGCGACCACCTGCATTCGACGGGCACCTGCCAAAACGGGCAAAAATTTCTGGCACGGAATAGTTTATCCATAGAGTCTTCGTATAAGTTACCTGTATTAAACGACCACCTGTGTAACGCGACCGCGGGCATCGAATTTTGGTCCGAAACAACATACAACACCTGTAATAAGCGACCACTTTCGCGAATGTATCTGGTCTAAACTATTGTAAGAACCCATCTTGACGACGTTTCCACCTCCTAATATAATGAATTAGTGTAAACTCTCGTTCGAACCCATCCCGGTCACTTCTCCCACCCTCGAAATTAGGTGCAGGTGTTAATAATTTAGTGTAGGAACAAAGGAAATTCATTTCAGTTTGCTGGAAAATGTCCGAAATGCGAAGTGCTGTCGTTAGAAGATCGTATTAAAGTTATCACAAAAGCAATTAGCGGCGAAGTTTAACTGTGGAAAACGAAATTTATTTTAACCTAGACCTACAGTATTTTCCTTGGGGGTGTAAAATATTGTACACGATACAATTAATCGGCTGATCTCATCGTTTGATAAAATCTATTTTTATTTATTTATTTTGAAGCTCATATACAGTACACGCGCGATAAATAGTTTTGTATCAACCTACCTTATTTCCACGATATTTTTAGAAACATAATATCCAAGTAATTTTCGCAGGCAAAATATTCAAAAAACAATAAACGCATTAATGCAAAAATCAGTTTTACTTCCTTTTTCGACTCCGCATTGTAATGAAATCGTATAATGAGAAAAATAATAAAATCGTTTTATTATTAATTAATAATTTTTCTTATTGTACTTAATTAATTAAGAAAATATTAAATATTAAAAAAAATACAGTATTTTTAAAGTTAAAATAAGATTAAACTAACGAAAACCAAAATCAAAGTGATAGAGAGATAGGACGCGCTTGTATATTGATGACGTAATACACGTAACTGAGGAGCGAACGAAAAGAACCGAGTCGAATTAATTAAATGAAGTCTGTAGCGTCTGTGTAATCCAAAAACGGATTAACAGATTACACAGACGCTACAGACTTCATTTGATGATACAGCAACCACGTCCTCTACATTAAGTCGAATTAATTAAGTCGGAAAAACGAAAGTGCGCGTTATAATCGCGAAAATGCGACTATAGTATTAATCTTTAAAATATTGGTATTAAATCTGTCTTATAATATCATGACGATTCCTGTAAATCGGGTTATCCGATAAGAATAAAATACAATACCAATATAGCCCTATCCTTGAAAAAATTCGCTTATTATTGCTCACCTCGAGTTTTGCTTAGTAGAAATGGCTAANAATTTTAAAATTTGCATGACATTTTTTTTAAAGAAAAAAAGATATCATACGAAAACAAATATAAAATTTTTATACATTTGTATGCGACTTCAATTGTGCATAAAAACTGAAAATATGTGTTTTTCAACCTTTATTTAATAATTTAAAATATTTCAAAGTTTCCAACAAATCAAAAAATTCTGTCACTAAAAAGGCGCGACGTAAAACGCGTTGTGTTTTTGCGGTTTTATTTTAAACGATTTTCAAATTTCCGAGAATACGAATTACGTAATTTGAGAGTGAAATGGTACCGCGGTTCAAGGTTGCTCGAGTCGTACCACTTCCTAAATCGTATCTTTTAAATTTTGAATTTAATACCGCGGCAATAAGACGTACACTTCGGTTNAATTTAAAATATTTATATATTTCCAACAAATCAAAAAATTCTGTCACTAAAAAGGCGCGACGTAAAACCGCGTTGTGTTTTTGCGGTTTTATTTTAAAGAACAGTGGATCGATCAGCTGATCAGTATTAATTATCTAATGATATATTAATTATAAAATCGAGATAGGTATTATTTCAATTCTGAAGCTATCGTTTTCATCACTGTATCTTTATTGTTTCGTACCTACAGGATATAAACAAAAAGCGATGGTAAATAGGTCAGATTTTCTACCAAATTTCTATATGTGAGTATATTCTCGAACTTCCTTTTTCACATGGCCAGCTTTATACGAGTTTTTCAAAATGATAAATCTTAATTCTGTTATAAATTTTTGGTATAAAAAAGAGAAATAAAATATTTTTACAATAAAGATACTTACATAGGGTACGTTCGTAATGGCAACAAGGTATTCCTAAGTAATGCATACACTTCAATTTTTTAATAACTTCTGTATTAATTTTTTAAAAAAAAGTAATCTATATACACGAAAATATTACGATTCCGTTATTATACTGTATATTGATTATTATAATATATAAAATGTATAAGTGTTTATAATATTTCAAAATAGAAACTAATCCATTGTAATATATTTTTAAACTTATGCGTATTTGAATTAAATTGTAGTATTTAATAAATGTTATTTAATATCAAATTTATAATTAGTATACGATTTTTTTTAATAGTCATAGTAACTCCTACATTTAATTATCTCTTTTCGTCTTATGAAAAATCAGAAAGACTTTTAAAAAGTTTGTGCCGGAGTTCGTTGAGAAGCAATGACGTGAAGACAATGAATTAAAGGTGTTATTTTAGAAAGGCGGAGAATTTCTATCTCGGGTTGACATAGGCTGACGACTGCTTCCAAAGGCGGATGTTTGGCAACTATGGCTAATTGTGATAACACTACAAGCTTGTACTGTGTACACTAGCAAAGGGGAGCACGGGGTTTATCATGCCCCGGGAACCACGCGCAGAGGGGCCCCAAATAGTCTCCAAGACAAACGAGATTTGGGGGAGGGGCACCAAAAAAGTGTCGTGCCCCGGGCTCCAGTTATGTTCCTTACGCCACCGATTGTACAGTACTGTACATAAGTGTTCAGCTGGTTATGATCACTTGTCGCGATCGGATTCAAAATCGATTTTCTGTCGGCGGTAGACCAATCGATTTTTTATGAGATATTTTCAGACATAGGAATTATTATTATTTAGGAAAACAAACGTTTTAGATTGAGGAAGTCATTCCAAAAAATATGTTTACATTTCGTTATATCACAAGTCTGTACGAATAAAAAAATATATATATATTTAATTAATCCCAGTAAATTAAACATTCATTTAGTATTAATTCGTAAAATTACATTTAAATTAAAATTTTATTACAGGAAACGAAACATATCATTATATAAATAAAATGACTAAATAAGGAAAAAATTAATTAAATTCGAAGTAACATATATAATTATAGAGGGCGATAAATGTTACTATGACAACATAGTTGTTTACAAGAACACATGTTTTGACGTTAGGTTATACATTAGAGTAAGTCATAAATGGTAGAATATTACATTAATATGTTTTAAAAAAATGGCTTATCTTATACAAATTATTTCCTTTTGTTTATATAAAATAATAATAATAAAAATTAGAATTATTAAAGATGATAATAATTTTAAAATTGAATTTTTAACATTTATAATTTTAGGCCTAAATACTTTGTGCTTAAACCAAGTAGAAATTACCAAGTTTTCAAAGATTTTAAAAGAAAAATGTCAGTCAGAAAGAAGAATGATCAAGACGAAAAGAATTATCCAAGGTAAATTAACTTTAAAAAATCAATTGATAATTATAATTTATAACATGCAATTCGAATGCATATTATCAATTGTGGTGATTTGGATAATCGAATTATCATTCAAATCTGTAAAATTCCTTCTTTTCGGCTGATTTCTTACACGTTTGTAATCACTGTAAAAGAAAATGTGAAAGTTCTCAAACTATTTTTAAAATTCCTTAATATTATTTTAAAATTTTAATCCCTTAACTATTTAATAGTTTAGGTATTTTTATTTTAAATGAATATACTTAAAAATTGAAACTGTTATTGACTGTCCAACACGGAAAGAATATTTTCCCGTGATGGCCATTCTCGTTTAATTAATTGGCCGTGGTTATTTAGCATGCGACAAGAATCTGCCCGGCTATCTGGTGCGATTTTTCTGGCGACTTTGGTCTTTATTTTAAAATTAAAACGTGTCAAAAACGTGTCCCTTTTTGACACGTTTTAATTCATCGAATCATTCGAGATGTTTAGAATCCGTGCAGAAACATCTGAGATGTAAGAAAATTATGACAATTTAGATGACAAAGCTCGGCGCTTTGAAGAGAAATATAGAAAACAATATTTGTATAACGGATATTTAATTAATTTTCATACTAAGTTACATGGATTTCTGTACATTAATACAATGACGTTATAAAAACAATGCTATGATGAAACGATGACGTTTATTAAGTTATTTATTTTAACGTCATAATCATAAATGCGTCATTTATATTTATGAATTAAACGTAGTTAATATTGTGTTATTACTAGTGTTGCAACGAATAGTATATTCGGCCTCAGGCCGAATACCGAATATTCGGCCACGCCCCTGGCCGAATAGTCGAATATTCGGCCATACTATTCGGCTCGATTAACGCACGTACGAAAATTGGCGCGCAAACCGCGTTATGGCAAGAATCTCGCTCTCTATTGGCCCGCTGTCACTACGCTTCGCCAATCGCGTTAATTCTTGACAGTTGAAGAGGACAGACACGAGCGTCATGACAGTATGCGATAAATGATATCAAATGTGAATAACAATAAAATGACCTACACGGAAAAAGAACAGAGAAGGACCGCGAAGTGAAAATGTGAAAATAAATATGAAATTGAGTCGACAACGTAATCGAACGAGTCGAGGCAACTTATTGGCGCGAAATTCGTGGCCGTCAATGCCAAACAATTGTTGTCATAGACTTCGGAAAGCTAAATGCTTGTAATGAAAGTCACTTAGCGTGCACGGGCGAAAGCCTGGGACCGTTCGGGCTACCAAGCTGTCTCGAATATGTGAAATCATAACTGTGACATATACCGACGTCCTATCTGTTTCTTTTCTCCGTTATCACCAGGCTATGACTCACGTAATTATAAAATGGAAAAACTACGACGGAAAAGTGACGAATCGAAAGTATCGTGAGCGCGTATTATGATGTATGCATAGGCATACGTGGACTAGAGAGATAGAGGAAAGAGAAAGGAAAGAGCAAAGATCAGCGCTTAAAAAGGATAGGCAGGGTCAGACCCTCACGTGTGCAACGATTCTCGACGAATAGGTCTGTACAGTACGTGTGCTGATCTTTGTAATTATAAATTGTGAATACATATGACTAATATTATTTTCTTTTTTATTTTGTACATGTTACAAGTTATAAATAAATATAAACAAACAACACTAACCCGATAACATTAAATCTAAATACCAAAATGACTAATTTAATGTGTTTTTGTTATTTCTTACTCCTGTTTTTAGATATTCGGTATTCGGCCGAATACCGAATAGTAACCGAATATTCGTTACATCACTAGTTATTACATCAAGACCTAAGACGTGACGTACAGTTCGACGGTATACTGTACCTGGACGACGGCCGCCGATCGAACTCTTTCAATATGCCGATAATAAAATCATTATAAAAAGTTTTATTTCCTATAAATTTGAGTTTTTGTTATTCTGGATAACATTTTGAATAAAAATCATTCGTTTCTATGCAATTTTATCCCTATAATGGTAAAATTTAGCGATAGAAGTTAAGTAGCTCTGTGGAAATTCTCGTGAACTTTAACCTTTCGTCTGGAAGTTTCGCGATGATCACATCACTGATAACGAGAAAAGCCTAAGTTTAAACATTGAGCTTTTTAGATTCATTAATATTTTATACAGGAGTGTCTACAGTGCTAGATGAAGAAGAAAGTTTTTTTTAACGAGTTTTGCACTTTTCGATTGCTTATATTTCGGCAACCCCTTTACAAAAAAATCTGAAATTTTGAACATTATCTAAGAAAACAATTATCTTTCGAACATGATATATTTAAGCATACTCTATTCCGGAATAAAAGATTTTAAGTTTTTTCTATTAGACGAAAATTTTTTCAATAAATCAGAAGCCCGTTAAATCGAGAATTTACTATATTTACTGTACTGTACAGTACATATTTTTGGAGAGAAGTTTATAAATAATAAATAATTTTTAATGCAAAAAATTTAATCTATCACTTCTATTATCTAATTTAATTTATCATAATCTATAATCCTGTGATCCCTATTTATAAATATCCAAGATAAAATGTCTGATTCTCTTATAGTTTAGTGTTTCATTGTAATTGTTTCTTCTTTTATATTAGTTCTTTTATATTGGTGAATAACCTACTAAACAGTTTCATTTATTTTCTTCTATTTCATTTCCAGTTAAAGACTGCAACTCCTTGAACTTTATTGCTAACTGTTCAACTTATTATGTGATGAATTACATTATAATTCAGTCATCACTTGTAATATGATTTTTTACGCTTAATATAAATTTATATTTCTAGGATGACAAAAGAGTTTTTAAGAAAGCATTGTAAAGAAATGAAATTATATGAAACTCCTTATCTAAATGATACTCTTTATTTACATTATAAAGGTAAGATTGATATATATTTAAATATTATCAGATAACTAGAAAGAAGTAAAGCTTTCATGAACAATTAAAATACATTTTTGATTATTATCAAGGTTTCTGCAAAATTGAAAATTTAGATGAATATACAGGATTGAAGTGTTTATGGTTAGAAAGTAATGGTATCGGGTGCATAGAAAATTTAGAAAATCAGAAACATTTAAGGAGTTTATTCCTTCATCAAAATTTGATCAGAAATATTGAAAATTTAGAATCTCTGAAGAAATTAGATACACTCAATTTAAGCAACAATTATATTAAAAAAATCGAAAACCTAAGTAAGTTTTTATTGATTTTAAAGTTTTTCTACTTAATTATTTTTAGAAATAAAATATTATTGAACTATTAATACTAATGTTTTTTTTTTTTTTTTTATACAAGTCGACCCCCCCTATAACACTGTTGATTTTTCTGTTTTATATGAATTCCATGTTTTACGAGTCACTTAGATTTTACAAATATGTGAGCCATTCACAGCCGGACACACGTATTTGTAAAANTGTGAAAGTTCTCAAACTATTTTTAAAATTCCTTAATATTATTTTAAAATTTTAATCCCTTAACTATTTAATAGTTTAGGTATTTTTATTTTAAAACAGTTGTTTAATATAGAATTAAAATTATTATTGGATATTTTTAAATTTAATTCTGTAAGTTTTTGTTAACCGTATTTACAATTAGGCTGTCTTCCTGCATTAACTACACTACAAATTAGTCATAATATGTTGAGCACTACTGACGATATTCAACATCTAATCGAATGTCCAACATTGTCCATGATTGATCTGTCATACAATAGATTGGATGATATAAATATATTAGAAGTATTTTCTACAATGCCTAATTTAGTAAGTCGATTATGTATGTTTTTATTAAAATATATATATATATATATTCTATTAGCGTTTCTTATCTTATATATTTTATATTCATCTGATAAATATTATTGCAGCGTGTTTTATATCTGACAGGAAATCCAGTAATAAGAAAAATATCAAATTATCGTATCACATGCACTGTAAAAATTGTAAGTATTGAATTTAAATATTGTATTTCATAATTAATTAATTAATTATTCGTAAAACGAAATAGTCCATGTTTTACGTTTTTATATTTTGTTTAGAAATCACTGTTATATTTAGATGACAGACCAATTTTCGAGAAAGACAGAGCGTGTGCAGAAGCATGGTAAATAGATTTCACTTTGTGCCATTTCTCTTTGTTGAAACTATTGTACAGTATTGTATTTTAATATGTATGGAAATATAATTTTAGGGCCAAAGGTGGAAGAGAAGAAGAAAGAAAGGAAAGAGAAAAATGGAACGAAATAGAAAGGAAAAAGCTCGAAGATTGCGTTAATTGTCAGAAATTATTATTATTATTTTTTAATTAATTAATTTATTTATTAATTAAAGTTTATGTTTAGACTAATTTCTGTTTTAACATATTCTTTATATAGACTTATAAATAGTAAATTAATTTTAAGCTAATTTTAGAAATGAATTATTTCAGAAATACTGTATATTACTTTAAAATTATTTTGTGGAATTTTAAATTTGTTATATTGCAATTTAAGAAATCCATTTTATATAGAAAGTCTGCTATCAATTGAATATTAATGAATGAGCTATTTACATTAACAAAATTTCAGGTAAAGAATAGAATTGAATCCATAATATAATTCTCGCAAAAAGACAAGAATATATTATCGGATATGACATTCAAACATTCTGAAGTATGTTTTCCATATACCTATATTAAAATTCAGATGGACATACAGAATACATACTACCATGTTTATCGTATTCCGATTCAACATCATATTCACTTTCAGACTAAATTGTCAGTCGTTGTTTCATAACAAAGACGGGGAAAGTGAAATTTGTTCGCGCGCAGCGATGTCAAGGACACAAAACACTAGTTACCATACTGATCAATTGTTAGGGAATATTCGATTATCTATATATTTACTTGGTATATGCAGGAATTAACACATCTCTTGTTGTAAGGCACCAGTATTTTTCTTGCACCTAAGGAAGTACTGTCTCATGTCTAGTTACTTTTCTTCTTGATAGAAGGGAAGACATTACCAAGATTTATTTTTTCTTAAGCCACTTGCTGAAGTTTGCAACAAATCTGGCTCAATGTTGGTGTTATAAGACATCTATGGAAAATTGTATTTTATATAGCTGCTTTTAACATGTGGGATTAAATTTCTTTCTTTTTTTTATCTCACGTTAAATTACTTTCGATTTTGCTACTTTTGAATGGAAATAATACGATATGTAAGACATTCCTACAACCAAAAGTCTGCTAAAATTAAATCAAATGATTTTAAAGGAAAGAAATGTAGGAAATAGCGATTCATAATTCGTTTTTCAACACGATTTTCTTTATAGTTGTTTAGCATTTCTACTGCATGAGTATAATTCTAAGTAAATAAATGATGTAAATTTGCGTTTTTTGCATTTTATAGATTAAAATCGCATTTAATTTCTAGTAATAAAAGATTAAACTATTTTTTTTCTTGTTAAAATCTTCCATATTTGATATTTTTGTGTAATTTTTTTTTTTAACAGAATCAATACTTTATTTTTCTTTTGAAAAGTGGGGAAAAGATTAGAATTTTAAACTATTTCGTTTATACTATGTTTGTACTTGTTTTATAATAATAATAATAATTTTTTGTTTTTGCTATTTGAAGTTATATTACAAACTAAATTAATATTTTAATAAACTTTATTCAGATGTTTTAGAATTATCAAAAGGAAGTAAAAGTTTATTGCAAAAAGCTTTGGAAGAAGAGGAATTAACATCAGATTCTACTTCAGATAATGAAGAAATAAACGATCAAATATCAAATTCTGACTTAAATAAAGAATATGAGGAAGAGGATAATAAAACAGACGAGAATATCTTAGAAAAATCAGTTTTAGATTATTACATGGATAATGATGGAGTTAATAAAAATGATATCAGGGATGAGAATGTTTCAGAAAAAGAAACTTTTGAATTACTGTCAAATTCTAATGACTTAAATAAAGAATTACTGAAAAATGTTTCAGAAATGGAAATCAAAACGGAATTAAACGAATATTACAACAACGTAACAGATAGCAAGCCGATTGATGATACCGTGCAAATAGCTGATGAATTGAAATCAGATGAAAACGAAGATGAAAATGAGAAAAAACACAAGAAGGATCACAAATTAACAGAAATATCCGAAAACGAAAAAATGTAAGAAAATATAGGGGAGACCGGGGCAACTTCGGCATGCGGGGCAAGTTTGTCAAGCGCTTTTTTTTAAAAACAAATTAAAAGGAGACTTTGGTTATAGGTTACGCAGTTGAGTTTTATTGGTGGCTTGTTGAGTGTAGTGTTTTTATTGTTCTCCAACAAGCGTAGTTGAATTATCAAGCAAATTTTCATTTTCGTTCAATTCCATATAATATTTTTTTTCCATTTATATTGAATTGGCAGGTTTTGTTATAATTCCATGATAACGAAAGTTACTTTTCCTGTTAGAAGGATGTAACTTCAACTTATTCACGTGGCCAGATCATGGCTTGGCATTCTGTTCTCAGGGTTGTACTTAATGTTTCGAAATCATGACTAGCGGGGTAAGATCGGCAACATAAAGCCACATTAGAAGCAAAGGATAAAAATCAAACAGATGATAAATGAAAACATGTTTGCATTTGTTATTCATGTATATATGTCTTTGAACTTGCATTTCGTTGTAATAATATTAAATGGGTGTTGGATTTGTATTTCTTTGTTCTAATAGTGAATTCCAACTTATACATTGTTAATAACATAATTTTATATACGTGCCTATCTTGCCCCATTACTGTTGCCCCTATACCAGGGGCAACTTTAATAAAAATAATTAAAATAATTACAACTTTACAAAAAGAGAGAAGTTGCCGATCTTGCCCCTATACCCGGGGCAACTTCGTCAATTTCTCTCTTCTTGTAAAGTTGTAATTATTTTAATTATTTTTATTTCCAAACTGATTTTAACCAGTTCTATTGTAAGGTAACATTCCAATAGACAATATGCAAAGCTTTTTTTTTAGTTTACAGCAGTATTTATTACACAAAATTTAAGTAAAGCTTAACATGCCGATCTTGCCCCGGTCTCCCCTAATATCGTAGTTTTGTTAGATTTAACTTAACAAAATTCCGAAAAACTTTAAATAATTAATGATTAATTGTAATTGTAAAAGCCTTACTGTCCTTTTTAAATTCTAATATTGTTAATTGTCTACTTGGACATTATTTATTAATAGGACTTAATACTGGTGTTTAAAGATTGACACAGCAATGAGAGTTAGTTCAGGAAAGAGCAAAATTTCTTTATTATATCACCTGTAGTAATAGTTTCTGTAACAGAAACTATTACTACAGGTTAATAAATAATGTCCAAGTAGACAATTAACAATAATATTAGAATTAATGATTAAGATCTATATAATATGGCCAGTGTCATAACTAGGCATTCGCACAGGGCCCACTTGGAAGGGCGGATGGTCCAAAATGCATGTATTTCTTTTATTACTTTTCCAAACCTAATTAATTAAAATTCTTAAAGTTCTTAAAATAATAGAGAATTATGAAATTTTAAAGTATATTTATTAGAAAATATATTCTTTCAGACCTTTATCAACGTATAATGAAGATGTAAAGGAGAAAGATATTGAAGATCTAATTGCTCGTGGAAAAATATCGAATAATACCATAAGAGCTTATAAATTTCCTGAAGAACAAAGTAAGTAATATGTTTCATTTATTATGAACTCATTAGGAAACGTGGTTAAGAGGAAGATAATGAGCGAAAGTTTTTTGAAATTAACTTTTTATTTATTACATATAAAGACAATTTTATTTTTCCGGCCATTATAACAGTGGGAAAGTATGGCGATCGGTCAAAAAATGACCTCCCCCAAGATTTTTTGGACTCAGGGTACTTTGAAACGTCGAGAAATGCAAGGAATTTCCTATATGTATTGATGTTAAGTGTGTATGAGTGTGGGGATATAATTTTGTTTACCCACTTTGAAGCTGAATAAATCATGTGTCTTTTGTCAAAAATTTCTGAAATTTTGTAGAGAGGTTTTTGTATTATGGGGATTGATGCTATTAAATTTTGGCTGTTAAAGGTCAAGGGGATGGTGAGATAGATGGGGGTTATGTGTCATATCGAATGGGGACAGAGTTAATGAATACTTTATTCGTTAGTTTTTTGTATATATTACATAGTATTATTATTGTAAACGTTTAATTATATTTTAAATTTACAGTTGAAATTCAAGAAATAAAACCAAAATATGCGCCTATACCTGAATTAATTGGTAAGATATAACTATTTATTACATTATGAAAAATATAGCACAACTAATTACTGCATTATTATTATATATTTTATTACTTTTAAGATGATAGCGACATTGAAACTATTATCTTGGATTCTGAAACTCAAGCTACAAATGAAAATTTGGTAATTATTATTATTATTATTTTATCTATTTTAAAAACATTTATAAATAAAATATAATGTTTTGTATCTTTATTTACATTATTTTAATAACAAATATTAAATTTGTATATAGGTTCGTGATCATAATACTTTTTTAGAAGTGGATGACAAAAATATTTTATTCATAAAAAACAATAAAGGCAATTTGAAAGAAGACAATCTATTGTTAAAAAAGCCACTAATAGAAGAATTGAATTAAATATTTATAATTTATGTTTTATTTATCTTAAAATAATATAATATATATATATATATGCATTCTATATTTGTTTATTTAAAACTTTAAAAATTTATTAAATAAATGTACATTTATATTTAAATATTATTTATAATAATACTACAAATGTTTAATAAAGAATAGAAAAAAAGCTGCGACGATTTTTGATGGTACAAAATAGTGCATTGACATAATTAGTGGATCATCACATTTTCTAGGATATGGCCATTTTATTATTATTATTTCTTTCTATATCTGGTTATAACAGATTTAATGGCCGTAAAATAATTCCTAATTTAATTTTGGATATTCAATATATTACTAATCGTTTGGTTTATTTTTTATTCGAAATCTCCCTTAGCCTTTCCTAACGCCGTCACAGTCAAACTTCTTAAACTCCTAGATCTTTCAAATAGCGATGGATCAGTATATATAGGTTCACTTGGATCTTCAAATTTAGGGGATTGAAATTGAGATATATATGCTGAATTTCCATTTGGAAGAGAACCGATATTTCCTGAAGCCTTTGCCTAAAATAGAAACAAAGATAAGTTTGAATCAAAATTCCGTAATAATAATTTAATTCAAGATTTTAAAAAATATACTTACAAGTAATTTTGCTTTACGGAAAAATATAAATGCCAGGATACTAACAGTAATTGCCAAACCTAATAATATTACTACTGCAGCCATCATAGCGTAATAACCATTCTGTGCTACACATACATTATTCAATTTCCTTGCTAAAATAAAATAAAAATTTATACATATTTTTTTATTATATTTGAATATATACGTATAATTTGAAAACAATAAATTAAAAATTGACTCACTTTTTTGAGCTACTTCGGCAGGTATATCAGATCTAGATAGATATACTTGTAATAATTCGTGTACTTCTTCAGCTTCTTCCATCGTAGAATTTTCATTACCGGAAGGTTTACTCGAATTATTTTCAATATCGGATGGAGTAGGTTTGGCAACTAAAGTCGCATTTATAGCTCTTTTCTTTCGTCCCCAAGAAGGGAAAGATCCCGGTCTGGCTCGGTCGTTACATAATATCTGAAATATTCATTTTTAATTTTATTTTTTCAGTTTTATTTGTAATTTTTTTTTAATTATTAATGTTTCTTTACTGGTTCACATGGTCCTCTGCAAGTCCTAACAGTCGCCTGGAATACTAACAAATTTGAATCTGGTATTTTAAATGCATAAAACTCGGCTTGTAATGCTCCATCCGGTGTACGATGCAATTCGGGAAAAACATATAAATCAACTGGACATCTAATTTTTTTATACAAATATAGTTAAGATTATTAATATAATTGAGAAATAAAATTAAAGATAAAAGATTATAATATAAAAATTAAATACATACCCTCTCGAATCAATTAAGTGGACTTTTCTTCCCGAATAAGGATCTTTAGCAATAACATTAATGGCAAAAATATCCGAATGAATATCGTAATGAACTGAAATTATTGCAAAATAAATTGTAATTTACTTCACCGATTCATTAGAATTGTTTATTTAAGTTAGAACTGAATAATTTTATATTGTTAATGTAAGGAAGAATCAAGTTAAATTGTAAAAATACAGTAGACCCCCCTATAACACTGTAGATAATTCCGTGTTATATGAATTCCACGTTGTACGAGTCACTTAGATTTTAAAAATACGTGTGCCGGGCTGTGAACGGCTCACGTATCTGTAAAATCTAAGTGACTCGTACAAAATGGAATTCATATAAAACGGAATTATCTACAGTGTTATAGCGTGGTCTACTGTAAATAGCAATAATAATTTACTTACAATGACCTCTAGCTTCCAGTCTAAAAGTCAAAAGATCACCGACAGCAATTACATTTGTCGGAGTGCCACGGTATAAAATACGTAATACAACATTAGATGTTAATATATTTTGTGCAGGTAAGTGCTCAATTTGTGCTGGATAACGTCTGAAATAAATATTATTAAATGTTTAAATAAAATAGTTTATAATATCATAATTTTAACAAATTTAATATATTCACCCATCTGTTCTTGTATCTAAATAGTTAGAAGTGACTACGGCTTCACCAGGACCAGAAAAGTAACAAGTAAGATTATATTTTTTATCACGACTTGTTTGGACATAATCATTGAACTGTACAACTACTATGTTAGTCATAACATCACCGTACTGTAGAATTATATTTTACAAATCATTATTTTAAGTTATTTATAAGAACGATATATTAAATTGCACTAATATGAAAATAATTGAAAATTTACCTGTTGAGTTCCACATCTTGGAAATCCATTTGCCCGACTAATTCTTAAAACATTTACTTTTCCGCCATTTCCATCAAAAAAGCACGAATCGTAAAAACCATAAGTATAAATACGTCCAAAAAATCCTTCGGTCGTTCTTAAAGTAAATTCCATTCCATCCGGGGTGCAAGTTTGACCGACTGAAAATATTGTATCTACTGTATTCGATTCGTATTTTTCGTGAGGATTTTAATTTATATATATATATATATTTTACTCAATTACAGAAAATTATTACCATCCAAACATCCTGGTGCTAATCCTGGAGCACCACCTTCTCTTTCAAAATAATCAAACTGAGTGTTTTGTTCGAAAAACGATGGATTTCCTGGTTGAAGTTGTTTATTAGTATCTTTATCACTAAGTTCACAATTATCCGGGAAAAATGTTCTAAAAAATGATAGAAATTATTTAAGTAAAATGAAATAAATACGTTTAATTAATTTTTATTATTTTTTACCTGAAATTAAATGACTTGCAAAGGAAATCAGGTGCTTCGACACACGCTCTTTCGCAGTCTTCTAGTTTTTCAGCTCTAACGACTCTTTTAATATAATAACTGCGAAGTCTCATTCCATAACCAACGCGTTTAAAAGTTCCTGGACCTCCTGGTTTGCACATTTCTGGAGGTCCGGGAGGAAGTGGAGGATATGGTCCTACACGGGGAGGATAATAGTCTCCTTTCGAATTCCAACTACTTCCTCCTGGCCACCATCCACCACCAGCTGCACTGCCTCCTCCTCCCCCACTCCAGCCACTTCCTCCCCATCCACCGCCTCCTCCGCCGCCTCCGCCACCACTCCAACCTCCACCTCCACCTCCACCCCAACCGCTACTTCCACCTCCACCAGGGTTCCATGCTCCTCCACTCCAACCGCTACTATGTTTATTTGACCACGAACTGCCACTGCCCCATCCTCCTTGACCTCCTCCGTGGCCTCCTCCGCTCCATCCACCTCCGTGATGATCTGACCACCCACTTCCTCCGTGTCCACTCCATCCTTGTGCTACTGGTCCTCCTCCTCCTCCTCCTCCAACACCACCACCGCTTGCGATCCAACCACTTTTAACATCATAACCACTATTCCAACCGCTTTGTTTATTAATTCCACCAGAACCTATACCATCTGAACCTCCAGCACCCGCTCCTCCACGGTCTAAAAAATAATTTAACAATAATTTATCATTTTTCTTATATGAAGAGTATTCATTGATCGATTAGTTACATTGCCATTGAGAAGACATTCCAAGATTTAGCATATTTAAACATTTTTTTCTTTGCTTAATTTAAAATAAACTACAGATTTTTATTATTTTAAAACTTAATATTTTATTTACACTTGACTGCAAAAGGTACACTAAATAGTACGCTTTCCTTTGAAGATGGAAGATGAAGATATAAGAAAAAACACGAATGTTAACGTGCGAAAATTTATAACATCTACATGCATTTTTTGCACATTAATATAAGTTTATGCTGTTTTAAAATGAGCCTAAACTAACGATTCAATATATTCAAATCAACTTTCACGATTAACGTTGTGAATACTAATGTATAAGAGAATAGTTATCAAATTACTGTTCAAAGGAAATATATTGTATACTTTTTGCAAATGCAGAAAGTGCAAATAAAAGAAATCGAATCAACAGTATACATATATTAAGGTTAGAAGAATATCTTGAAAAGTGCTGTACAACTTTATAATAGAATTTGATAGTCTTTTCAATGGAAAATGTATTTATAAGTATTCTAATCGGTGCAGTGCTTTATTATAAATGCAAATGAAAAACAAGAGTTTTTAAAGATCTTACTTTTCATTAGTTGTATAAATATTATTTATTTTAAACGTTATAATTATGCATTCAGTTCATATTTATAAAATGTCTACGAGAAAAATTGTAAAGCTAAGCAAGAGCACACATTATTCCAGAATCAAATCATGCCATCCTTCACCTCTTCCACCAGTTTTTGACTAAGTACCACCACCATTTCATACTTACACCACTTAAATTCGTAGAAATCATAGTGATCATCGTCTATTAAATTAGGTCTAGAAGTTCCGTAGCTGTCATAGCTGCTGTAACGACACGATTGATACCTGGAGCTATATTCTACCGATCGACATTCTTTGTTGTATCTTCTCATACACTCGTCTAAACATTCCTGAAAGGAGTATGTTTTGACATCCATTTGATGGGAACCATCAAGTCTCTTGCGTCGATGGCATTGGAAAGTTGTATTGTTGAACAAGGCATCTGAGTACGATTGGTTATTTAGAATTGTCATCCATATATTGACGAATGCTTTATATTATTGCCGAATTAATTAAAGATAACTATTATGTAAATAAATTTCTACAATTTTAATTATTCAATAAAACTTAAAGAATAAATAAATCGACAATATCTTCCTATCATCAGTTATATATTATATACTTAATACATGTTTTAGTATATATAACCAATTGATGTTGAATTAAACAAATTTTTTAAATATGAATATTTCAAACATTTCAATTATTTTGTAAAAAATATATCACATACATAGGCCTACTGGTCAACAAAGTTAGAGGATAATCAAATATTAACCGCTACACATTTATCTATACCGCCTAACCGCTTTAATATATCTATGAAATTCTCTCGAAAAACGAAAAATCCTATGTGCCATGCCATCAGTGAGGCACTCCTCGTTGACTTTTGTATCACCTCTTCGAGTTTCTAGAAAAGAATTTTGGCATTTGAATTATATTTTTATGACCGAATCATCACTTGCCGAGTTGTGAGTTCCAGTAAATAATATTAAGAAGGCATCATTCTAGAAGACAGCAGAATTTCAATCTTTATATTGCAATGCGGATGAATGAGCGAGCGTATCTTACTGAACTGTCTTTCAGCGATTTTAGATCTAATTTTTCCTGCGAAATATTTCTAATACAGCATTTTCCCCTAATTATTTTGACCAGTAAGTATATTTGAGATTTTACTGATATTCATTATCACGAAGATTCTTTATTAGTTAATATTTAGAAGAGACAATTACACCTCTAGTGTGGGGTTCCCAATAAGTCCTCATTATTTGAATACTTATTTAATAGTTGCTAGAATCTAAACGAAACATTTGCTTCATATTAAAACGTAAACTAATAAAGGGTTTAATCAAAACATCTCCTACCACGATCTGAAGTTCCACAAATAACACGATAAAGATCTCCTTTGCTAGGTTTTAGAGGTCGTTGTCTTTCTCCATCAGTCGAATCGTAATTATCTTCATCATATATAACGCAGGTACGCGTGGATTCATCATAAAAAAATAATTCACACATCATTCCTCGTTCATCTATATATCGAATACAATATTTGGAGCATTCTTCGAAATCTACAACGTTAATTCGTTCTCTTTCGAAAGCTCCATCTAATTCTCTACCCGCTTCCAAAACGTATGCTACGGCAGTACATCGCTGATTACCTGAAAATATGAGTGTTAATTAATTTTGTATGACGTTAAATCCAACTTAATCTTATTCAGAAAGATTTTATTACTGTAATCTATAATCATTCCTTTCTTTTTATGCCAATAAGAATAAATGTAGTAAAAATTACTCACTGGAAAGACACATATTTTCCAAATAATCGGAAAAAGAATCCACCGTAAAATCGATGGGACTCATACTCCTAGTTTCTTTACAAATTCGGCATCTTTGAGCTGCTCGATCGTATGTTGCCGAACGACAAACGAATTCGTATTCATTAAGACATTTATCTTCGCATTCCATACGATTTGCAGCGAAGATCTCTTTAGGTTTATCACATTTAAACCTATAACCGGGAATCCTTTTAAAAATATATAAACGATTTCGACATTCCGTGCTGACTTTGTTTGCTTTGAAAAAAAAAATATATATATATATATATTCATTTAAATGATTTTATATTAATTAAGAATAAGTTACAACGAGAAATTGAACGTACATGTTAGGCATACTTCGTTCATATGATAACTGTTAACTTGTGGCACCAGTGTCCCATTGTCCGAAGGCACTTGGTACATATAACACGTGGATTCTTCGTAATCTCCGACTGTATTAGGTACCGCAGAATTATCCATCATATCCGGATAAGATCTTTTCCTACCCGGTTGAAAATCGAAACAAAGACATCTTTGGATGGAAGTTGTTCTGTCTTCTTGACATCTTCGAACACATTCTTCTAAAACTTTTCCTGGTTGATCCATCCTCGAGATCTGGTAAAAATTATTTATTACTCTAAAATAATTTAAATTTATATTATTATTTCATACTTACAACTTCGGTTCTGCGGTGATTCCCTCCAAAACCCCCAGTTTCACTAAGTTTATAATCTGAAATTTTTTCATATACAAGTTTGCCAACTCCATTGTTGCAACTCTGAGCTGAAATATAAAAATATTTCTTTTTTTATCAGTACACAATTATGAATAAAATTTATCATTTTAAAAAGAGGAATTCGGGTTTTATTTTTCTATATATGTGTGTGTGTTTGGGTGGGGGAACGATTTTGTTCACCCACTTTGAATGTTAATAATTCCTGTGTATTTTGTCGAAAATTTCTGAAATTTTGCAGGGAGGTTTGTGTGTATTACGGAATTTACGCTATTAAATTTTGGAGATTACAGATCAAGGGGTGGGGAGATATAGGGGAGTCGTGTGTGGTATCTCCAGTATGGTTGGATTTAATGAAGATTTTACTCGTTAGCATTTACAATTTTTTTATTATAATTTTTACCATCAAAATTAAGCATTTTCCCATTTTATTGTAATTAATTATATAAAATGTTTTTAAATAAAAAAATCTTAACAGATGATTTATGGCGCCATCTGTTACCAGAGNATGTATGGATTTAGTATGTGTATGTGGGGGGGCACGATTTCGTTCAATCACTTTGAAGCTTAATAACTCCCGTGCCTTTTGTCAAAAATTTCTGTAATTTTTCAGGGAGATTTGTGTATTAGGAGGATTGATACTATTAAATTTTGGTGGTTAAAGATCAACGGAGTGGAAAGATAGAGGGGAAGATCATGTGTCATATCTCGAGTGGGGTTGAACTTAACAAAGATTTTATTCGTTACTAGCATTTACATTTTTTTTTAATTATAAAACTCATCTCTATCCTAAAAATTAAGCTTTTTGCATTTTATAACAATTAATTATATAAAATGTTTTTAAATAAAAAAATCTTAACAGATGATTTATGGCGCCATCTGTTACCAGAGTCGATAGGTATGTTCTAATTAATGCTAAAGAAAGTGGAGTAATAAATATTTTTACCACTTCGAGCGCTGTATTCGTTTTGTGGCGTAAGTTTGGCTCGAGCACAGAGTCAGCTTTCTAAAGATGACATTTTTTTTTCGTTTTTAACTCCGATATTGCTTTTGTCTTTTTAAATACTATTTTAATTCGGTTTTAAACATTATTTATTCATGAATGTCATAAAAAGATAAGCGTTGGGATAGATTAAAGTGTTACAAAAAGGTAGTTTCAAGGTGTATCAAGGTTTAACTTTAAGTCCACATCTTTTTAATTAATATTATGCGAATTATTGCAGGATTCGGTGACATAGGAGCTATGGTAAATGTTATTTACAATTGATATTGTGTTTATTAATGAGATGGAGAGTAATTAAAGTTGAACCAAAAAAGGTAGGGACAGATTTGAGAAAGGAGGATTAAAAGTCAATTTTCATATTTATAGACAGATAATGAGTTAGAGGTTGTAATGTAAGAGGTAAATGTAAGATAGCAAAAACTCAAACAGTATTATTACATATTGACAGTGATAGCAACGATACAGAGTCTAAAAGACATAGTACTTGATATTTTAATCATATATATGTTTAGAATTATATATAAACAAGAAAAGATGTCAAAGTAGGCTATCAATAATTTTGCATCTTTTAATGGTGCAGAATATCTTATAAACTACATATAAAATATATAGACACAATGTGAATGTCATAGAAAAAGCAATTTCATATGTCAAAAATACAAAGTGTAGGACATCCCAAATACTGTTTATTATTACTGAATCAAATAAAATTATGTACTTCATGAAGTATTAAAATTAAAAAAATCATTTGAAAAAATAAAGTTTGCCTTTATCTGAATTAAATTTCTATAACTGCTTAAATGAATTAGAAAATAAGTTATGTTTTTCCAATTATATTGTCACAGATGTGCAATAAAATACAATATAAAAAACGCAAATGCACCTATTTATTAAACAGATATAATGTATACAGAAAGAAAAAATTATGTACAAAACTTGCATACATAATACGTAGTAATAGTTTTAAATTGAGATATTTAAAAAATTAACTCGGTTTAAAACTGTAAATAAAAATTTTAAAAATTGAGATATGAGATATTATATTTAAAAATTTTATTTTAAATTTAATTTATTCAATCTGAAAAGTGGTTGATGATAATAGTTTATACGGTAGTATTCAGCAAACAATTTTAAATGTTCTGAAACTTTAACTGACAAATATAACGGGCAATTGGGAAAATTCGAAGGATGGTTAGTTGCCATTTTCCATAGGAAATCTCAACTCTTTTACCCTTAATCATGTGCAAATAATTCTTAATTAGAAATCTTTCATCAAAATACAAGTCACATATTCGCGATTTCTTGTAAGTCTTTTCACATATTCAACTGGTTCGAAAGTGGTGTAAAAAATGCCACTNAAAAAGATAAAAATTATATTATCTCATTGGATTATTTATAGTTTTGTTATTGATTTCATTATTATAGATTTATTATTCGTATTAAAATTTTCAACGTGTTTTTTTTGAAACCGACACTCTAACTAGCTTCTCGCCGCCATGATGTACTGTACCTGATATCCAGTAATTTATTTTAAATTTTAAATAAATAAACTTCATTAATTTTTCATAATTTACAGTACGTTAAACCTTAAATAAATTATTAAGTATGACGGAATCTTGCGACATCCCTAGAAGTTTTTTTTTTATAACTTTGTGTGTCATGAAAGTCCGATTGAAAAACACTGTATTTGCTGTATTTAAAAAGTTTTGTTTTGAAGTTTGCTGTTTAATTCACAGGATTTGGCATTCAAATTTTCCAATTCAAATATAAGGTTTTAAAACAATAAATACATTCAAAATTTCCTAATATAATAATTGTAAAACTGTAGTAGTATTTGTTGCTGGTCGTTCATTTACAGCAAAAACCAACAAAAATGAATCGAAACTTGAAAAATTGCTGAAGTATTGTAATTTTATTAAATTAACATTTTTATAAAATTTATCATAAACCATATTGAAATTCTTTAAAATAATCAACTGGAAGCGGCCCATTAAAGTTTTTTTTTAAAATCAGATCATGATGTCAGTGTTAAATCAAACTGAGTATATTATGTAAACATAGATTTATTAAGAATATAGAATAATAGAAGAATAATTAATGAAATTATAATCGTTATAAAAATGCATTATAAAGTTTTAAAGGAATTTGTGGATTGTATATATAGGCTATATTGTGAATGTATTAAGTTCTGTGTTGATATTATTATATTGGTGTATTAATAAGTGAACTTCAGAAATGGATATTCTTCATTATGTGAAAAGTATACATTCTTTCAATGAAGCAGAACTGTTAATTTGCTGCTTGATAGTATTGTTGCGGAACTCCGTCATTCGGGCCAACGAACCACGTATTGGTTGGATGGTTTCTTCTTTTCAAACAGTAACACTCAATGAGAATCGATTGGTTGCTAGTAAATGAAGAAAAATAGGAAATGTTTGTTTCCTCCATTTGTGTATTCTATATCGTGAATACAAATTTTCATCAATGTTATTTACCTTTAATATAGTTGGTTGATTCCCAATTCAGAATTGTCATTCCATTGATTTTATAGTATTTTAAATTAAAATGAGAAATAATAAATTTAGAAATCGAACTTTATTCTTAACAAGTAATTTAAATCGAATTATCGGAAATGTTAAATACTTCTATCAATTGATACTATTCGACTGCAGTTGTAGTGAAGTTACACTGATCAATCGATTCGTAATGCCTCATTAATTAAACAGAATTATACCAATTTAATGAGAAATCTTCGATGTTTGTGTAATTACTAATTCCAAATTTTACTACCTTAATGATTTTTAATTCTGTGGTTTTTCGATCGAACTTAAATTGCAGAAAATTAGCTACATTTTCAAGTGTAGAAAAATAACTGATTAATTTAAAGGGATGCATATGCTTCTTGCTCTTCCCTGAATATCCTTTTATGAATACACTAATCCCCATGTTTGTGAATAATTGGGATTGAGTAACCTGGGTGAGCATTTAATTCTCGAACTTTAAGTTCTATTTTTAATATTAAATGTTTAATTCGTTCCAAGACTTCATGTCACTCGCTAGCCTCGTGCGACTCTTCTAGATCCTTATTGCGGCCCCCATATACTTATACAGTTTCTTTTTGTAAACTTGTTGCATACTACACTTACACATAAGTTATATAATATCTTTTGTAAGTTTTCTGACTATCACGATCGCTATGTGTATTACTCTACGTAAGTGTAACTCTCAACTTAACCACGAACAGACAACAGAAGCTTGGGGTACATTCATAAAGTCGTAGGAGTTAAATGATATTTACCTAGTCAGTCAGTCATAAAGTATCAGTAAAATAACAGGTCAAAACCTTTCACGAAAGTTGAAATTTTGGTGCATAAATTTCCGATCACGAATGAACGAATTGCCGAACATTGACGTCCACGAATATCGAGGGTGTAGTGTATTTATGTTACTTTTTTATTCAGCAACAGTGAATATTTGCGTTTCAATGAGCATATGATAAGCATATGACCTTATCGATGCAAAAATTTTTTAAATACTCGTAATCAAGTCGACCCCCTATAACACTGTTGATTATTCCATTTTATATGAATTCCATGTTCTACAAGTCACTTAGATTTTACAAATACGTGAGCCGTTCACAGCCTGGCATATGTATTTGTAAAATCTAAGTGACTCGTACAACATGGAATTCATATAAAATGGAATAATCAACAGTGTTATAGGGGGGTCGACTGGTATTTAAGACGAATGGAAATATTGAAAGAGAACACAAGAAAGCGAATTGTGGATCACGACTCAACGTGACTGTTTATACTTTTAATTTATTTGAAAATAATTTTAAAAAATAGTATAAAAATCATGTAATTCATTCAATAATAATTAATACACATTTTTAAATTCTGTATAACATTTATAAAATACTTTCATTTTCTCTCAAAGGCATAGGGAAGATCATGTTAGAAAGGCAGAGAGAATGAGTCTTTTTTAAGATACTTCTAAAAGAATAAGGTTAAGGAGGAGATTGTATTTAAGGGAAGGCATATATCTCTATTGTCTCCCCTTAAATAAACTACAGTTCTTTTTTTTAATCTTAAAATAAAAAGAATTTTGTATCCAAAAGTACATTTATGTTATAAAATCATCCTTTTTCTCTGACTAAAAAGAAAATGGAGACTATACTTCTACAAAAACTATTGACATTTAATAAAGTCTTCAAATTTAAAAGATATACTTTATATTATTTCTTCATTAGCTATAATAAAATATATTTTAGTTGGTAAATTAATAATTATTTTATTTAATATTGATTAAACGCTATATTAATTACTTAATAAACAATAAATTATTATTAATTTAGAAAATTTTGTAATAATATAAAATATTTTCTACATTTTAATTTTAGATCTTCAAATCCTATTAAATTCTAAATCAAAGTTTAATATTTGCATGCTTTTAATTTATATTTTATAATATCATTTAATGGAATTTTATATAAAAAAGATAAAAATTATATTATCTCATTGGATTATTTATAGTTTTGTTATTGATTTCATTATTATAGATTTATTATTCGTATTAAAATTTTCAACGTGTTTTTTTTGAAACCGACACTCTAACTAGCTTCTCGCCGCCATGATGTACTGTACCTGATATCCAGTAATTTATTTTAAATTTTAAATAAATAAACTTCATTAATTTTTCATAATTTACAGTACGTTAAACCTTAAATAAATTATTAAGTATGACGGAATCTTGCGACATCCCTAGAAGTTTTTTTTTTATAACTTTGTGTGTCATGAAAGTCCGATTGAAAAACACTGTATTTGCTGTATTTAAAAAGTTTTGTTTTGAAGTTTGCTGTTTAATTCACAGGATTTGGCATTCAAATTTTCCAATTCAAATATAAGGTTTTAAAACAATAAATACATTCAAAATTTCCTAATATAATAATTGTAAAACTGTAGTAGTATTTGTTGCTGGTCGTTCATTTACAGCAAAAACCAACAAAAATGAATCGAAACTTGAAAAATTGCTGAAGTATTGTAATTTTATTAAATTAACATTTTTATAAAATTTATCATAAACCATATTGAAATTCTTTAAAATAATCAACTGGAAGCGGATAATGTAAAGCAGTTATAATGTATGATTAAGTACAGTACATAATAACGGTAAGTTTTAACTATTTAATCATTTTGCGTTTAAAATTAATGTATTTTGGTGCATTAATCTTTCAATAAAATAATAAAAAAATGACATTAAAATTTACCTTCTGTCAGAATTCGAAGAGCAGCAAGAAAAGATACCAGAGGTACCATGGTTCTGCAGATTATCATTTTGTGACACACCACCGGCTAGAAAGAAGGTAGCATTCCGTTCCCGTACTCCTCATCCACTTGTTGAAAGTTTTAACCCAAAAGTGAGATCTTCATTAATTTCTGGCAGTGGACATCAATTGGCCCTGGCACGTGACTATCGTTTAGACCAATGACAAAATTTTTCGCATTACCTAAATCGGTATTTGAGAAGAGTTCGTGATGCCAGACTAACTTCTACTTCCTGTGATTACATCCCCTTCCGGGAAGAGATTTTTATAGGTGAATGACATAGTGCAATTCCTAAACATTGTACCCAGAACCACACTAGTCTGCATGACGTCATTGACACTCGTTTGTCATTCTATAAAAATTGTATTTTTATTTCAATTGGGAAAACCACAATAGGGCAGAAAAAGTGAAGTAATATCTTCAATAGATTTTAAGTTTGCAGTGAAATATGCCATCTGTGTAATACACGATTAACTTTACATAAAAATTAATTTATGGTTTTATGCATATTGTAATGAAGTTATTCTTCATTTCATCAATATTAAACTAAAAACTATTTGTCACAGCTTTCTTTATGAAAAATAAACAAAACAAAGCAAAAGCCAATTAATTGCAATCGTTAAGGATACAATAGTTCTAAATCACTATCTTAAATTTATATAGGTTATATTTTAAATATGTTTAGATAATTTGGCCACATTCTTAATATAGATTTTAATACATAGATTTGCATTGTATATGACTTTATATCTATGATACAAATCAATCATTTGAATGGTGATTGAATGGATCAACAATACACAGACTTTGAACAGTCTGTGTATTGTTAATTAGTTACTTTATCTTTTAACACGTTAATTATTTGTTAAGCTGTTAAAAAAGAGTTTAATAAATTATTAATATAATATTAAAAAGTTAAACCACAAATTTTAACCAACTTTAATCGTAGAAAAGATAGACAATATACTCGTTAGATTATATTCTTATAAGCTAATGACAAATTAAATAGCCTACAATATAAAATAATTCAACAAAATTATGAATTATTTAGAATGCAATATTTGATAATTGTTTAGCAATTATTCCTGTAGTTTCCTTTTCCATATATTTATATTTATATGATATGATAATAAATATTTTGTAGTAATAGTAGCACTTGCGGCACAATATGGAAATTCTTAAAATCAGGTATTACACGAGTAATAACTCTCACCAATGTATTAAAAAAATCTAAAATCTCAGTCAAAAGTTGTCTGATAATTAGCATTTACCATGTTATGGATAAATCATTAAAAGAAATCCGAATTGATTTATCATCAAGAGATAGTTTAATATGAAACTTATTAATATTCACAACATGACTAATTAAGCTACAGACATGATTTATTTTAAATTACTTAATAATGATTAATATAGAAGTCATAAAATGACTTTTTATATGTATTTTCTCAATATTTAATTATATTGAAATAATACTGTAACATATTATGTATTTATTATTAATTTACACAATTAATTATTACTATTAATTTATGTACTAATAAGAAATGGTAATTATAATTATCAGATTAAACTACTCAAGTTTGATTTTCTGTTTTTTTAAAATTCATTATAACAAAACATTTAATCAGATGTTGCTTTTATTATTGTTAATAGGTTTATGACCATCAGCTAAGCCATGCATGAAGCTGAAAGACTTTCCATGTTTTTTTTCCAACACTATACAATAATACCTAAATCATGGAATGAATTGAANAACGTCGAACGTCGAGCGCCACTTACAAGATAACGGCTCTCGACGTTCGACGTTCACGTTTTACAGATGAAAACTTCGGCCGCAACCTCGCTATTGAGTAGAGTTAACACGACTTGAGATGATTCCTCGTATACAACAACCAGAATAAACCTAGAAAAAATTCTAAACTCGCCTGCACGAATTTTAGATGATTATCTTTCCCGTTATCCTTTTAGCCTCCACTTTAAATTTGAATACATAGGAATATAATAGAATTTCTAACGAGTTGTTTGGTTAAACTTCCCGTTAAGAGAAAACAAAAGTTAATTGGTGTCGAGGTCAAAACTTTTAACAATTACCTGTCTATGTTTTCCTGATTCCAGTCATTTTTTTTTTAATATTTATTCCGATCGGGTCGCAATTTCCTGTAATTAATAAAAGCATAGCAAAACAATCGGATCTATACGTTTAATCAATATATCAATAATCGACGTACAAAGCTGGGTTAAACTAGTTCCGTTAACATTTTAAACAGGAATTGGTGTAGAAATTGATTTTTCAATAACAAATAATGGGACGAAAAACCTGTCACGTACGCAACGTATTATGCTATTTTGTATCGCAAATTATATGAATGGGCGAATATTTCACTTATGGCAATTTAAATTCGCCATTCGATAGTTAAATTATGTATTAAATTAAATTAAATACTAAAGAATAAAAGAATTTTTTTGTTTTACCGATTTAATCTGGAATTAAATATAAATTCTTAATTTTCTTTATTTATGTAAAAATATATTATTTTATTAGTTTTGAAGTGTTTTGATGGATATTATTACACATCAATATTTATTGTAAACATTGAAAAATTGGAGGCCTTACCAAATCCGTGAGATTATCTACAGTGTTATAGGGGGTCGACTGTATTTCGAACAACATTAGTAATAATAATAATAATAAGAAGAAGATTTGAAGTATTTTATTTAAATAATAATAATAATAATATTCTATATATTACGATATTAATTCATAGTATTATTTTCATATTTTTAAAATTAGAACAGGTCGAAATTAAAGTTTTTGGATTAGTAGTTTAGTGTAGCTATAAATAATTAATGGCATTAACTCTCGTTTTCATAAGAATGAGTCACAAATAAATTCACAATCAAGGTAACAGTATCGTGCCAAGAAACAACATGAAAATCAGTGGAATGAAACTGAATTGCTCTGGAACAAATGTAAGGTCGATCGTTAACAAATGACCAAAACAAGGTTTTTATATTAAAAAAAATATCTATGCATAGTTCAATCTGTTTGTAGATAGTGTGGGAAAATGCCATCGCCCAGGATATCCAAACCATCTAGTAAAGATCTCCCACTGTAAATACATCAAACACGAACTAGATATCTCTTTGTTAGATGTTTTTGTCTCAATTTTGTGGTTTGGTGGACACGCTCCGATTACATCGTCCATCTACATTTGACCTAGTTAAAAACCGTTATAGAGAAGAACGTATATTCTCTTTCTCTGTCTCTCAGTTAGATGATGATCTGTCCTTCAGACATAACAACGCCCGCTGTTGTTGTTACAGGAAGCCATTGTGAGATGGAGGTTAAACAATAATAACGGATACTTGCGATGTTTTCTATCGTCATTTAGGATTACAATTTTTAAGTCGTTTCCTGTTATAAGTTCAGAGCATTTTCTAGAATTGTAATTTATGCTTATTTCAATGAATAATAATGTACCGAAAATGTCATAAATAAATAATAAATACATTTATTTGAAAAAAAGGAAAACACTGATAAAAATGGATTAAAAAAGATAATTAATCATATAAACAATTAGCATATTATTTACATAATTTCTGTAAATATAGGCCTTTAAAATATGTAAAACAGTTGTTTTAAGTTTAATTGTTAAGATGACAAGTTTCTATAAAGGCAAATATATTATATTTCGATTAAGAATATTAATTTTTTTTTTTTTAAGTTTTTTTTATTTTGTAATTTGATTGTGCATGCATATATTTAAAAAAATTTTGTTAATAACAGTTTTGTTTAAATGTCTAGAATAAGACAAATGGAATTCAGCTTAAAGTCAAACTTTATAACATGCACAGACCTTATCAAAGCAAACTTCTCTTAATTATATGAGAGGAGAGAAGAACAATATATCTGTCAATTAAAATGGTTTTTCTTCTTAATTTATTTATAATTATTAAATTTATTGTGAGATGGTGGCCTAACTGTCTACCTCTAGCAGAGTTGCTTTATATATAATTATTAAATTAGTTTTAATATAGCCCAATAAATAATCTGTAGGAATGTTTGGCAATACTAATTGAATNTATTTTATTAGTTTTGAAGTGTTTTGATGGATATTATTACACATCAATATTTATTGTAAACATTGAAAAATTGGAGGCCTTACCAAATCCGTGAGGGGCATGTAAAAAAGGCCCCTTAATACCATGGATTTCAATAGATAATAATTTCTTTGAAAAATTTAAGAAATTTATAATTTGTTTTATTCAAATACAGTCGACCCCGTTATAACACTGTTGATAATTCCGTTTTATATGAATTCCATGTTGTACGAGTCACTTAGATTTTATAAATACATGTGCCCGGTTGTGAACGGCTTACGTATTTGTAAAATCTAAGTAACTCGTACAACATGGGATTCGTATAAAACGGAATTATCAACAATGTTATAGGGGGGTCGACTGTATTTTTATTTAACTTTACTTGAAAACCATTCGTAAAAATTTAAAAAAAAATCTGGTATCCAAATATCTGTCTCTCTTGGCTCTGTACTAATCAGTCAACACAGCAAACATTTAGTTTTATCTAAATTTATAAAATACTATAAATTTAATTAACATTCAGAATAGGCCTGATTGCGGAGGCGATTGGGAAGTCAGCCTGCCACTCTGGAGAAGCAGGGATAAGAATCCTATGGGTCTGAAATACCAGAAATTTTTAAGGGTAATCTATTCCGGATGTGACGGCCCCTGGTACCTCACCACTCGGCCGCCATTATGCAACTGATCAAATCCAAGTGGATATAAGAAAAAGGATCTCTTAATGCTTACAGGATACATTTCAGAACTTTTGTAATTAAAAAAAAATATAGAAATATATTATCTAGTTTGTTATATGTTTGAAATTCTGCAATATATTTTTAACAATAAAATTCTTAATTATTCAAATCGATTGAAATTTAAAATCTATGTTAAATTCATTTATTTTTTAATGAAATATTCCACAAAAGTTGCGTTTTTTATAGCGTATCCTAGCATAGAAAAAAAATATCTGATAATTCCTGAAGGGCAAATGTATTTCAATGCTTTTTGATACATTGCAAGTATTTCTGAGTAATGACGTTAAATTATATGGAAAATAAAAATTTGCTTTGAATAACCACTAATGATTACTTACATTTTATTTTTTTTTTTCGTTTTTAGAAGCAAACTGGAAGTGATTCATTCAATTGTTATTCTTTTTTATTCATTTATTGTAAATTTCTGTATCTAATCAAAGCGAAGATCAACTCAATAGAAGTATTGTTGATATTTAAAATTTACCAAATTTTTTTTCCTGTTACAGAACATCAATTTTCAATATTTAGTACAGTCGACCCCCTATAAGATTGTTGATTTTTCCGTTTTATCTGAATTACATGTTGTACGAGTCTCTTAGATTTTACAAATATGTGAGCCGTTCACAGCCCGGCACACGTATTTTTAAAATCTAAGTGACCCGTACAACATGGAATTCATATAAAACGGAATTATCAACAGTGTTATAGGGGGTCGACTGTACAAATAATCATCGACGATCGAATAATGGAAATTTGAAGAAATGACTAATTTAATTTTTAAAAAGTTAGTTACTAATTAATAAGACAGCTCAAGGATTGAGAGGCGCAAAAATATTCACGAATATTGTGAATATTTTTGAGCCTCTCAACGCTCCCAGAATATCTCGACTGATAAGTCAGGAGCAGGCTTATCATTCCAGCTTAGCAAAGTGATATCTAGATTCTACAGGGCCAAAGAAGCAATATAACACAATATGTTTCATTTATGGACAACTATTTTCATAAAGACATCATATATAGATCAATCATCTTGTATTTGTATCACTGTGTTTGCTTTGTTTTAATTTATTGTAGGAATATTTACTTCGAAGATATTGGCATTTTTTAATTACTTTAATTTATTTTTCAGAATTGAATCGTTCCTAATCTCTCGCACATACTGGCCAACTTCATTTCAGTTAGATCTACTTGTAAAGAACAAAGATCAGCCATACCATAAGATATCTAAAAGAAGAATGTCTTTCTTCTAGATACTACTGTATATGCAGACTTACTCTTCCATTTTGATTTAAAAAATTATTATTCCTCTATTCTACAAAATGTCCAAGAAATACTATCAAAATTAAGTAAGCCTGAAAAAAATATATATAATTAACTTTTTTAAATAAAAAAATTGATTTATCTAATTTATTATATTTTAATTTCGAGCCTATTCACGTACAGTACACTCGTAGTGTCTATTTTTTCAGAACAGTAGCAGTTTTTCATCTAGTGAGTCTAGCCGTATACTACTGCACATTGATACTAGACGGCCGGATGGTCGAGCGGTCAAGGTGGCATTCTACCGCTCCGGGGGACCCGGAATCGAATCCGGACGGGTCGAGAAATATCCTAGAATTTTTCGGGGGGGCGGTCTGTCCGGATATATCGGGCTCCGTTTCTCACCACCTGGCAGCCCCATTGTGGGCCTGGCCGAACCCATAATGGAATTGCTTAAAGAGAGCCTCTTAGTGCCCACAGGGCGGAAAGAGTATTAAAAAAAAAACTTATCTGNAGTTCATTTCTCTCTCAGTACTTTGGATATGATGCCCCAAATTTAATTTTGAGTAATTGATACAATGTAATAGTGATTTCAAGAATAATCATAAAAGTACAATTTTGGTAGAATTTCATAACGTGTTTTGCTTGTTTAGTCTTGATTACATACCATCTGTTAACTCTCTCAAACCTAAATTTTTATATTTCTGTATAAATAGAATAATTTGATTGTTCAAATTTTATCTGAGTCATTAGTTTTTCTATATCACTTGTATTAAAATATTAAGATTTGGCAAGAGAGTTCTGTAATGTTTTCTTTAGATGTCTTTTAATGCCATCTATTCTCACATAAATTTAAAAAAAAAATAAAGAAACCAATCAACTGTTCAGATTGATGATGAAAATAAATACAATGGAGCATCGATTATCAGAATATTGATCAACCGAAACATCGGTTAACTAAAAGCGTTCCAGTCGGCAAATTTAAATTTCTGCTAGTGATGTGGCACTGCAATATTTGGCTATGTCTTGGGTTACTCCAATATTATTTTTGTTTGGTGTGATGTTTTAGTTGGCAGCACTGGCATGACCATGAGAGGGTACTTAATGACGTGCCGGGATTTGAACGAATTTAAACATGGGATAGGTTAATACATTTTTTTTGTACATAATCGGTTATCTGAAAAATCAAATATCCGAACAACCCCAGTCCCAGATAATCGATGCTCTACTGTAAATGGTATTCAAGTGATATCATAACTTTTAAAAATCAAAGAATTTAGAAATGATAACGATCCACGAAAAAACCTTTTTTACGAGGGTTATTTTCACTATTAAGTTCCACAAGTACTTTCGACCTCCACCGAGGTTTGCTTCAGGTAAAAATAACCCTCGTAAAAAAGGTTTTTTCGTGGATCGTTATTATACAACGAGGTGTTAAATTGTTGGAAGTAGTTATCTTAATTTAGAAATGTTTTTAGTTTGCATTTCTTTTTGCATAAAACTGTTTTTATTATAATATTTAATTTTCATAAAATGCTTCATCTACTCTTATTTTTTATTTTCTATCTAAAGTGATATTTTTAATTTGGATGTATGTGTACAAGGTACAATCAAACAGAAACTGGATTTGATCTATAAAGATTTTAATACTTAACTAATTTAAATTTGGCAGCCATCCTCTTTAAAGCAGTCTTCATCTAAATTTATATAATGATCCCACCACTTTGCCAAGCCTCTAATATTCCTTAGAAGTCATTATTTCAAAAATTCTATAGCATCTGTTGTGATTCAGACCGGATCTTTTCAACCATATCAAAATGTGCTCCTCAAGCTTCAATTTATTCTGGAGAGCAAAAAGAAGTTATAAGGAGTTAAATTCAATGAGTAGAGAAGGTGAAATGTTATTTTTGTTATTTTTTGTCAAAAATATTTGCATTTTGAAGGCTGTATACAGGAGCATTGCCATGATGAAGAAGCAAGGTTTGGTTGTGCCACAGTTCTTTCCGCTCTTTTGTGACAAATGTCCTAGTGTAATCACTTCAAAACATTGCAGTAAAAATCCATTATACTGATATAGTGCAGTTGTAGTTTGAAAATATATTATTTTGTAACTAGTATTTATTGAAACAATGTTTGAGGGAGTAAAGAAACATCAGAAATTAATTAGGATAGAGTTCAATGACTACATCTCATAATTATGAACTTTTGAGAGTTCACTGTATAATGAAATTTTTACATTAAAAATTTAACAATGAAAATATTTTCTTTTCAAGATTATTCTAAATTGTATAAATTTAGACAAAAAATTTTTATTTGGTTCTGGAAATCTGAAAAAATTAAAAGAAATTACCTACAGAAATCCAACAGTTTCTGCTATATTTATCAGTACTTATATGTTAACTGTATTACAACGTAAATCACTAGAAAAAGAATTTCAACTCCCTATCTATGACAGGTATGTTATGGATTTGCATTTATGTTTTAAAAGTTGGTTTATAAAATTTATTATATTTAATTCTAGATACACGGTTGTTCTTCATATTTTTCAAGATCATGCTCGTACGAAACAAGCTAAATTACAAATTGCTCTAGCAGAAATTCCATACTTGAGGTAATATTTTAATACGTGAAGAATAATTTTTGCAATGATTTTCAATATTGTAATCATTTTATTAGGTGCCATAAGTATCATACATTATAAAATGATAATAACATTCAAAATCATTTGTATATTAAATAAATATTGAGTTTTTTTATTACAAAAATTGATATCTATCAGTACAAATAACAAGTTAGCAATATGTACTATGTTTAGAATAAATGAACATAAATATAATGTTTTTCCTAAAACTTTTTATTTCTTAAAAGGTATGTTATCATTTNAAACGAAAGTAATTTTTTCTATAAAACAATATTTAATAACTCTACCATCGATGAAAAAAAAATCTGAAATTTAATTTTATAAATTATAAAAAATAAAATATTTATTTTAAATTTTACTGTTTGAACAGCAGAGGGCGTTTATGCTAGAAACCACGTGTGTTTTATTTTAAATTTTACTTACCTTTAAAGGGTATTTTAATGTGTATTCGTTCATTATGTGGAAACAGTTTTCTAAATTATTATATAGGACGAAATCAAATTACGTAATAATCAATCAAATTAACAAATCTTTTCAATTTTGCACTTGTCTTAGAATATTCAAATCAGATGTTCATAAAATAAGAGTGGTTTCGTGTTTACATTTTAAGAGAAATATAAGTAGCAGTTTGATATTATATGAAGATGAAGATGCCGATTTATATAAGTATCTTATCGACGATTCTATCGACGTTACGAAAGATGAGCAAGATGAATTTGAATTAGACAGGGTATTTATTCTTCCAAGAATAAGACCATTGTTTGGTCATAAAGTATTCGTTATTCAGCCTAGAATCAAATGGGGACCGAAGAAAAAATGGAATACTACGTCTGAACTACAATTAGCTGAAGCTGTAACTTTAGCTGAAACTATTCCAGATTGGATAGTTGTAGAAAAGGTGATTGGATTATAAAACAAAAATAAAAAATACAATTATTTGAGTGTAATATTTTTATTATGCAAATTAAAAATACAGTAGAGCCTCAAAAACTCAGCCTAATGTGGACCGAAGGGTGGCCGAGTTTGTGAAAATGCCGGGTTATCGGGAATGGGGTTAAAAAAAATAAGTACGAGTGTTTCCTCAGAAAATACTGTACTGTACTTGTATGTATTGTTTATTTGAGAATACAACAGAGAATAAACTGTCCAAATACCCTTAAACAAAGGAAAAGTACGACCTTTATGAAGGCATAGAGCCTTTACTACATGAAAATGAAAATTAATGAATACACTGTGTACAGTAATTTACCTGATAAGACAGACCCCCAGAAAAATACTTTATGAGGCATAAAGCTGTCTATAATGAAAATTAATTAACTAAGGATTTTTTTGCCCTGCCAGGGTGTGGCCGAGTTTTCGAGGCTCTACTGTATAATAACATTTTTTATTAAATTATTAATAATTTTAGAAAAAATGATTACATAGTGAATTCACAAAACTTCATTATACTGATATAGTGCAGTTGTAGTTTGAAAATATATTATTTTGTAACTAGTATTTATTGAAACAATGTTTGAGGGAGTAAAGAAACATCAGAAATTAATTAGGATAGAGTTCAATGACTACATCTCATAATTATGAACTTTTGAGAGTTCACTGTATAATGAAATTTTTACATTAAAAATTTAACAATGAAAATATTTTCTTTTCAAGATTATTCTAAATTGTATAAATTTAGACAAAAAATTTTTATTTGGTTCTGGAAATCTGAAAAAATTAAAAGAAATTACCTACAGAAATCCAACAGTTTCTGCTATATTTATCAGTACTTATATGTTAACTGTATTACAACGTAAATCACTAGAAAAAGAATTTCAACTCCCTATCTATGACAGGTATGTTATGGATTTGCATTTATGTTTTAAAAGTTGGTTTATAAAATTTATTATATTTAATTCTAGATACACGGTTGTTCTTCATATTTTTCAAGATCATGCTCGTACGAAACAAGCTAAATTACAAATTGCTCTAGCAGAAATTCCATACTTGAGGTAATATTTTAATACGTGAAGAATAATTTTTGCAATGATTTTCAATATTGTAATCATTTTATTAGGTGCCATAAGTATCATACATTATAAAATGATAATAACATTCAAAATCATTTGTATATTAAATAAATATTGAGTTTTTTTATTACAAAAATTGATATCTATCAGTACAAATAACAAGTTAGCAATATGTACTATGTTTAGAATAAATGAACATAAATATAATGTTTTTCCTAAAACTTTTTATTTCTTAAAAGGTATGTTATTATTTGTGTGCAAAATTTAAATTTTTAATTAATTACCATAATTTATAATTCTATTAATCCATTATTAATCCTTTTTCTTTATGTATTTATAGAAAAATAATTGGATAGTTTAGTTAGGTTCTGAATTGTGATAAGTGGTTGAAATTAAAATTTAACAAAGTAATATTATAAATTTTAAAAAGTTGAAACATTTAACATTTTTTTATTAATATAAAATCCTGGGAGAGACCTTCCTGCAAGAATGCATTGAATTGTTGATCTTTCGTGCGATGAAGCTAATTTATTTATTATTAATTTTTTTTTAAGTTTTTTTTATTTTGTAATTTGATTGTGCATGCATATATTTAAAAAAATTTTGTTAATAACAGTTTTGTTTAAATGTCTAGAATAAGACAAATGGAATTCAGCTTAAAGTCAAACTTTATAACATGCACAGACCTTATCAAAGCAAACTTCTCTTAATTATATGAGAGGAGAGAAGAACAATATATCTGTCAATTAAAATGGTTTTTCTTCTTAATTTATTTATAATTATTAAATTTATTGTGAGATGGTGGCCTAACTGTCTACCTCTAGCAGAGTTGCTTTATATATAATTATTAAATTAGTTTTAATATAGCCCAATAAATAATCTGTAGGAATGTTTGGCAATACTAATTGAATCAAGCTGTATATGTTGTTATTTATATATGCATTGCTGGGGTAAAAGTGTAAATTGCCTGAGAACCTTGGAGGGCTGTGGCCACTAAAGTCATCCTTAGTTGGCACCATAAGTGACCAGTATACTTACATCTAAATTAAATAATAGCTTTGAAAGTGATGATTAGACAGAAATCCAGTTACTGTAACTGGCAAAATATTAATATTGCATGGTAAGTAGGAGTTGTAGGTTTAAGTTTTGCTTCAGTCTTGATCTTTTCTTTCAGAATATTCTAAATTAAATTTATTTATTTCAGATTATTAAATTAGTCTTAATATTGCTCAATAAATAATCCAGCAGATCATTTGGTATTACTAATTGAGTCAGGTTGTTATATATGTTATTAGATTTACAACATTTTTTAGAAATTAGGTTGGATAAGGGTTTATTCATTCTGACATTTAAGTCTAGTTTCTACTGGTCACTAGCTCTATTAAGTCAAATTCAAGATGTTCTCTTCTTTTAGTTATTTAACATCTTCATATTTTATCTGAGTTCCTTTCTCTCTCAGTACTTTGGATATGATGCCCCAAATTTAATTTTGAGTAATTGATACAATGTAATAGTGATTTCAAGAATAATCATAAAAGTACAATTTTGGTAGAATTTCATAACGTGTTTTGCTTGTTTAGTCTTGATTACATACCATCTGTTAACTCTCTCAAACCTAAATTTTTATATTTCTGTATAAATAGAATAATTTGATTGTTCAAATTTTATCTGAGTCATTAGTTTTTCTATATCACTTGCATTAAAATATTAAGATTTGGCAAGAGAGTTCTGTAATGTTTTCTTTAGATGTCTTTTAATGCCATCTATTCTCACATAAATTTAAAAAAAAAATAAAGAAACCAATCAACTGTTCAGATTGATGATGAAAATAAATACAATGGAGCATCGATTATCAGAATATTGATCAACCGAAACATCGGTTAACTAAAAGCGTTCCAGTCGGCAAATTTAAATTTCTGCTAGTGATGTGGCACTGCAATATTTGGCTATGTCTTGGGTTACTCCAATATTATTTTTGTTTGGTGTGATGTTTTAGTTGGCAGCACTGGCACGACCATGAGAGGGTACTTAATGACGTGCCGGGATTTGAACGAATTTAAACATGGGATAGGTTAATACATTTTTTTTGTACATAATCGGTTATCTGAAAAATCAAATATCCGAACAACCCCAGTCCCAGATAATCGATGCTCTACTGTAAATGGTATTCAAGTGATATCATAACTTTTAAAAATCAAAGAATTTAGAAATGATAACGATCCACGAAAAAACCTTTTTTACGAGGGTTATTTTCACTATTAAGTTCCACAAGTACTTTCGACCTCCACCGAGGTTTGCTTCAGGTAAAAATAACCCTCGTAAAAAAGGTTTTTTCGTGGATCGTTATTATACAACGAGGTGTTAAATTGTTGGAAGTAGTTATCTTAATTTAGAAATGTTTTTAGTTTGCATTTCTTTTTGCATAAAACTGTTTTTATTATAATATTTAATTTTCATAAAATGCTTCATCTACTCTTATTTTTTATTTTCTATCTAAAGTGATATTTTTAATTTGGATGTATGTGTACAAGGTACAATCAAACAGAAACTGGATTTGATCTATAAAGATTTTAATACTTAACTAATTTAAATTTGGCAGCCATCCTCTTTAAAGCAGTCTTCATCTAAATTTATATAATGATCCCACCACTTTGCCAAGCCTCTAATATTCCTTAGAAGTCATTATTTCAAAAATTCTATAGCATCTGTTGTGATTCAGACCGGATCTTTTCAACCATATCAAAATGTGCTCCTCAAGCTTCAATTTATTCTGGAGAGCAAAAAGAAGTTATAAGGAGTTAAATTCAATGAGTAGAGAAGGTGAAATGTTATTTTTGTTATTTTTTGTCAAAAATATTTGCATTTTGAAGGCTGTATACAGGAGCATTGCCATGATGAAGAAGCAAGGTTTGGTTGTGCCACAGTTCTTTCCGCTCTTTTGTGACAAATGTCCTAGTGTAATCACTTCAAAACATTGCAGTAAAAATCTGAATTCATTGACTGACTAGGAGGAAAAACTTCTCAATACACAGTCTCTTTATAGTTGATAAAATGACCAACAAAAACGTCTTTGTCATGCTCCTGTGACTTGTCTTGCCTTCTTGGTTCNCCCCTCGTCACTTAGACTATGCCTACAACAAGAAGTCGATCATGACACATTTTTTAAGATAAAAAGTAGATCTTATGTACACAAAAGTTGGCCACCCTTTATAGTTACAAACATCTCCAACCCGATATATAATATAGCTACAACCCTTTATAGTTGATAAAATGACCAACAAAAACGCCTTTGTCATGCTCCTGTGACTTGTCTTGCCTTCTTGGTTCTCTGAGATAATGGTCACACCTGTGGCTTAATTGGCATAGATCTCTTGAAGCATTTCAAGGGTTTTTGTAGCATATTTTGAAGTTTAATGTAAAATTTAATGTTTGCTCTTTGCTCAACTTTTAAGTTTAATCTCAAATTGCAGCATAATGTTTAATGCAGTGTTTCAAAATCATGTGTAGTTAGTTGTTCCAGATTGAAAATCTCAACACTATTTGGTAGACCGACAGTCAATGTCTAACACAGTGATAGAGAACCTTTTTCCAAAGGTGGATCGAATTTGAAAGTGTAAATTGCCTGAGAACCTTGGAGGGCTGTGGCCACTAAAGTCATCCTTAGTTGGCACCATAAGTGACCAGTATACTTACATCTAAATTAAATAATAGCTTTGAAAGTGATGATTAGACAGAAATCCAGTTACTGTAACTGGCAAAATATTAATATTGCATGGTAAGTAGGAGTTGTAGGTTTAAGTTTTGCTTCAGTCTTGATCTTTTCTTTCAGAATATTCTAAATTAAATTTATTTATTTCAGATTATTAAATTAGTCTTAATATTGCTCAATAAATAATCCAGCAGATCATTTGGTATTACTAATTGAGTCAGGTTGTTATATATGTTATTAGATTTACAAAATTTTTTAGAAATTAGGTTGGATAAGGGTTTATTCATTCTGACATTTAAGTCTAGTTTCTACTGGTCACTAGCTCTATTAAGTCAAATTCAAGATGTTCTCTTCTTTTAGTTATTTAACATCTTCATATTTTATCTGAGTTCCTTTCTCTCTCAGTACTTTGGATATGATGCCCCAAATTTAATTTTGAGTAATTGATACAATGTAATAGTGATTTCAAGAATAATCATAAAAGTACAATTTTGGTAGAATTTCATAACGTGTTTTGCTTGTTTAGTCTTGATTACATACCATCTGTTAACTCTCTCAAACCTAAATTTTTATATTTCTGTATAAATAGAATAATTTGATTGTTCAAATTTTATCTGAGTCATTAGTTTTTCTATATCACTTGCATTAAAATATTAAGATTTGGCAAGAGAGTTCTGTAATGTTTTCTTTAGATGTCTTTTAATGCCATCTATTCTCACATAAATTTAAAAAAAAAATAAAGAAACCAATCAACTGTTCAGATTGATGATTAAAATAAATACAGTGGAGCATCGATTATCAGAATATTGATCAACCGAAACATCGGTTAACTAAAAGCGTTCCAGTCGGCAAATTTAAATTTCTGCTAGTGATGTGGCACTGCAATATTTGGCTATGTCTTGGGTTACTCCAATATTATTTTTGTTTGGTGTGATGTTTTAGTTGGCAGCACTGGCATGACCATGAGAGGGTACTTAATGACGTGCCGGGATTTGAACGAATTTAAACATGGGATAGGTTAATACATTTTTTTTGTACATAATCGGTTATCTGAAAAATCAAATATCCGAACAACCCCAGTCCCAGATAATCGATGCTCTACTGTAAATGGTATTCAAGTGATATCATAACTTTTAAAAATCAAAGAATTTAGAAATGATAACGATCCACGAAAAAACCTTTTTTACGAGGGTTATTTTCACTATTAAGTTCCACAAGTACTTTCGACCTCCACCGAGGTTTGCTTCAGGTAAAAATAACCCTCGTAAAAAAGGTTTTTTCGTGGATCGTTATTATACAACGAGGTGTTAAATTGTTGGAAGTAGTTATCTTAATTTAGAAATGTTTTTAGTTTGCATTTCTTTTTGCATAAAACTGTTTTTATTATAATATTTAATTTTCATAAAATGCTTCATCTACTCTTATTTTTTATTTTCTATCTAAAGTGATATTTTTAATTTGGATATATGTGTACAAGGTACAATCAAACAGAAACTGGATTTGATCTATAAAGATTTTAATACTTAACTAATTTAAATTTGGCAGCCATCCTCTTTAAAGCAGTCTTCATCTAAATTTATATAATGATCCCACCACTTTGCCAAGCCTCTAATATTCCTTAGAAGTCATTATTTCAAAAATTCTATAGCATCTGTTGTGATTCAGACCGGATCTTTTCAACCATATCAAAATGTGCTCCTCAAGCTTCAATTTATTCTGGAGAGCAAAAAGAAGTTATAAGGAGTTAAATTCAATGAGTAGAGAAGGTGAAATGTTATTTTTGTTATTTTTTGTCAAAAATATTTGCATTTTGAAGGCTGTATACAGGAGCATTGCCATGATGAAGAAGCAAGGTTTGGTTGTGCCACAGTTCTTTCCGCTCTTTTGTGACAAATGTCCTAGTGTAATCACTTCAAAACATTGCAGTAAAAATCTGAATTCATTGACTGACTAGGAGGAAAAACTTCTCAATACACAGTCTCTTTATAGTTGATAAAATGACCAACAAAAACGTCTTTGTCATGCTCCTGTGACTTGTCTTGCCTTCTTGGTTCTCTGAGATAATGGTCACACCTGTGGCTTAATTGGCATAGATCTCTTGAAGCATTTCAAGGGTTTTTGTAGCATATTTTGAAGTTTAATGTAAAATTTAATGTTTGCTCTTTGCTCAACTTTTAAGTTTAATCTCAAATTGCAGCATAATGTTTAATGCAGTGTTTCAAAATCATGTGTAGTTAGTTGTTCCAGATTGAAAATCTCAACACTATTTGGTAGACCGACAGTCAATGTCTAACACAGTGATAGAGAACCTTTTTCCAAAGGTGGATCGAATTTGAAATTTAGTAACTCCAAATTGCAAGTCAAATTTGGAGTTTAATTTAAGTAATTAAAAAAAAAAAATAACAAAACCTTTCTTACAAATTTTACTTTATTTAACTTTTTAATTTATATTGGAAAAAATAACAATAAATTCCATGTAAACGAAAAGAAAATAATAATTGATTATAATGGAACTAAATATTTTTTAATAGGAAATGTGCTGCTGTTTATTTGATATAATTTTCCTATCTGAGGTTCATAATTATACTTTTTAAACAGTGGGAACAGTTTAGTTTCTTTTTGATTGCATCATGTACAATGTCTATTTAATTTGATCCATATGCAAGATTAGTGATTACAGTAAAACCCTGATTTAATGGGCGAAATTTCTGGTCCATATGTTGTATTAATTTTAAAATGTGTTTTATATGTAATTAAATTAACAGGTTATTTATTTATTTGTTTCAAATCCTAGAGTCATTGCTCTTAACTTTGCATCACAATCTCAATATATCACTGAAGATGAATAAATAAGAAATTTTTTTGTTTTGTAAAATTTAAATTTTGTTTTCTTTTTAAAAACATTATTTATTTGTTTAGTTAAATACAATTAAAGTGTATTTTCCAAAAAATGTTTGTTTATTCAATTTAATTTAGATCATATATTTGTTTGTTACAGTCTTACAACTATGGTGAAATACATAAGTAATACAGTAGAGCGTCGATTTTCCGAATCAATTGGGGACTGGGGTTGTTCGTATAACTGATATTTCGGATAACCGATTTATGTACGAAAAAATAGTTTAACGTATCCGATGTTGAAATTTTTCTCCGTTGCGTGTNTAGCAAGACAATGTCCAACTGCATATTGCATAGTGAACTCTCATCAGCCTGAATGAAATTCACATTTTTCCCTGGCCATCAGTCTCACAGGATCTATCTCCCTATGGTATCCTGTCATAGGTGTTGTAGTTATTATTAAAACTGATCATAAGTATTTATTTATATAATTTATTCTGTTTAACTATTTCTTAATTGCGTCTGAAACGAAGCCGACTACTGATGTGCTCCAGAAAAACAGTGCTTGTCTTACCACAACTTGGCCAACACGAATCGAAAAAATAGCGTTCGCGCGTTTTCACACTCGTCTGACGTTAGCCTTATAAACCTGGACAAAGCTGGCATAACAAGCTAGTTATTACTATAAGATTTGTATATTTTTCAGAATAGTGCATAATAAATCTTATTAACATATATTTATATCTAATATCATTGTAACATTCTGTACTTTAATTTTATTCATTTGTACAAAAATATATTATTTAATTATCAGTACAGAGCTAAAGACTATTTTATAATTATGAATTTCTTTTTTATATTATAGGTAAAACATCTCTTATAAAAGCATTAACAGGTGATGTTAAATTAGAACCGAAAGATCAGCTTTTTGCTACATTAGATGTTACTACCCATGCTGGGAGATTATTTTCACTGCAAAAAATACTTTATGTTGATACAATTGGTTTTATCTCTGATATACCAACTACATTAATTGAATCATTTGCTGCAACATTAGAGGATATGGTTCTTTCTGTAAGTTAAAAGTAATACTTAAATTTAATTATTTGTGATTAACAAAGCAATATTTAGTTAATACAAATAAATAAATATTACATATCATATGTTGAGAATGAAAAGAAAGCAAGAAAAACCTACTTATATTTTATATTTTCATGTTTAATTTTTAAAAAAATAGATAATAATTTAATTTTAATAAGGTTTCAGAAATAATTGTAAAAAAGAATAAATAAAAGACATAATACAATAAAGCAAAGTGCTGTTTGCACATCAGGAAAAACATTTTAAAAAATATTAATAATTTACTCTTCTTTAATGAGGCTTCTTAGCTGTTTCTGAAGTGTAAAATATCTTAAAAAATTTCTCAGTAGGTGAATTTTAAAAACAATATAAAAGCAATAATATGGTAAAAGTCTAATTAATGAAAATTTCATATAAAGTGGAAATATTTAGAGCTATTATAAGCTAACTCTAATTAAAATAAGTTAGCAGAATGTATGGTACAATCACAATCTAGTACAGTAGAGCATCGATTATCAGAATACTGATCAACCGAAACATTGGTTAACTGAAAGCATTCCAGTCAGCAAATTTAAATTTCTGCTAGTTATGTGGCACTGCAATATTTGGCTGTCTTGGGCTACTCCAATATTACTTTTGTCGGTGTGCGTATTTTAGCTGGCAGCACTGGCGGGACCACGACAGGGTACTTAAGGACGTGCCAGGATTTGAACGAATTTAAACACTTGATAGGTTAATATATTTTTTCGTGCATAATCGGTTATCCGAAAAATCAATTTTCCCAACAACCCCAGTCCCCAATTGATTCGGATAATTGACGCTCTACTGTAATTCTAAAATTGTGTCTCGATGAGCTGTTTTAGAATTATTTCCCTCGGACTATTATTAGACTTCTGAAAATCATTTTTCTGTACCGAATGCCTTATATTCAACTATACATGGATAATAGATGCACAATAACACACGTGAAGATATTCAAGTATATATTCACCTGTAGCTATCATTTAAAAGTTTGATCTTCTATTGTAACCATGTGAAAAGATTACACAAAATAAGAAAAAATTCAAAACTGATTATAAGTATTTATAATTTATTCTGTTTAGCTATTTCTTAATTAAATATATTTTGTAATGAATTATTTTTATTATATTTTTTTTCTTATTAGTATTCATTACTAAAGTGATAAATTTGAATTTATTTTAATTTTAATAGCATAGAATAAAAAAGCTTATCAAAAATTAATTTTTTTTACAATAATCAAATTATGTTTTACTTTCAACTTTACATTAATTCGTTACTTCAAAGCCAAATTTATAAAATATTCAAGTTAGTATAAAATATGAAATTGAATGCTACTTAAATGTTACTAGTTAATTAGTAAAATAGCATTAATTTCTTACATTTAATGGTTTTATTTTAAAAATAATAAACTTATAGAAGACATTTACTTTCAGGATGTAATCGTTCACGTTCGTGATATTAGTCATCCCGATCAAATTGCTCAGAAAGATAATGTTCTAAATACATTAGAAAATTTGAATTTACCTTCTTCCTTATTAGATTCTATAATTGAAGTAGGAAATAAAGTTGATTTATTAAAAAGGTAAGTTTTACAGTGCCTTAAATATAATTTAATAAAGAAAGAAAGATAAGAAATACAGTATTTTAAATTGTCTTATTACAATGTTATAAATTGATAAATTTACAAGGTTTTGTCAATCAATTTTTATAGTAGAAATAAATATCAAGAAACAACTACAGTTAAACTTCTACATTATAAATTTGTCTACAGAATGTTAAAAATTCTCTGTTTAATGAAGTTTAATTTCTAAAAAGGAAGTTTAGGAAGCCAGATAAATAAAAAGAAATATTTGCTGTTGTGAGTACATTACAATGCGGTTGAAATATCTGTATCTGAGGAACGGTGATACGTTCAAAAATATCGGAAGGGAAACATTTCAGATTGTAATTTTATTTACAGTAAAAACAGTAAGTTATGTATGACATAACTTAATATTTTTCAACATAAATATCTAAGAGTACTTATTATTTCAATTAAAACATCTTTTTACAATATCAATAAAAATACTGTACCATTTGTTTGATCTATTTGAATAAAATGTATTTATAATACTTTTTGTTATGAATAAGAGTTCAAGGATTTTCAAATAGAATAAAAATCATTACAATTTACTGTATTTCCTTTTCAGTAATAGTGTATTTTCCATTTAATTCCATACTAAATAAAGTTGTTTCTTGAATTTATTTTTATTTTAAAAAATGATTTATTAGGGAAATAAATTTTAAGCATTAATTAAATTNTTATATGGATTATTACCAAAAAATTATACGTATTTTGGAAATGTTGAGTCGAATTAGTCTAGAATCAATTAATTTTATGGAAGAAACCTTTCAAATAGCTGTAGTCCGTAAACTGCATACGTGCCAGGCTGTGATTGGCTGGACTCGTAGAAAATGGATTCATAAAAACCGGAACGTATCTGCCGTGTTATAGGGGGGTCAACTGTAGATGTTTTTTGAAATATATAGAAAGACTATCTATAACAGGACTAAAAAATTGACAGTAGTATTACTTCTTATAAAACATGTTTATTAATAATCTTTAATTAATGCATTTTTTTTTACTAAAAATAATTAATATTTTATTATCATATAAACTTTTAGTATAGGTATTTTGTTACTGGTCTATTGTAATCATTGTAATAAACCAATTGGTTTTACACAATAAAATATGTACTATCTTAATTATATTAAGCTAACTATTTTTACAACAGTTTTACATTTTAACAAACAACAATTACAATACATGGAATTAACATTTCTAGGCTTTTAGCATAGAAGTGTAAATTCTGTCAAGTTAACAGAAGAGGGGTTTGTACCAAAAATGCATTGTGGTAATAAAATATATTTAATAAAGTGGATGTATTGATAGTCTATTGCCTTATTATACCACTTCATTGTATGTAACAGAAAGTACTATTATAAACTGTTAACATTTTTGAAATGAAAACATTTTAATAAATTAATTTGTATAAAATCATAGTTGTTACAAATTTACTAATTGTAAAAACTATCAGTTTCTGACAATTATTTTGTACTTAAATGAGCTTTAGCACATTAATAATTTTATAGACCTAAGCATTAACATCATCTATTAGTAGGACTATGGCAAAAAGCATAATTATAAGAAGCTCTGATATATCTATCAATGTGTTAACATGTTGACTACCATAATGATAAAAATTTTCACAATCTCTGAGGCCAGGATTTTTTATTCATTCAATAATTATAGAAATATAATAGGTTAACAACAGTCATGGTCAATATGGCAGTTTTTCTTTTAAACAAGATTTTGAAGTGTGAAGCAAGCGTGCCTAGATAAGACAATTTTTATGTTGGCGGCATACGGTGCACACGTTCCTCACAGTTATGCACATCTGAACCTGAATATTTTAGGAAGAAGCTTTCATTGTACACTACATATTTTTTTAATACACTACAATACATATTTGTTCAGTTTGTGTTCATTTATATCGGTAACGACAGCATCTAAAAGCAAGTGAAAAATGTTTGATTGTGAAACATTTACAATATCATTCAGCAATGTTTCCAAAGTTCATTCGGAAGCATTGCTGAACGATGTTTTGTTAGATCAAGAACCTTTTGAAAGTTCATCTAGAAGTCACAAAGCAAGTAGTTGTTATTCCAAATCTTCTGATTCTCCTGTGCAAGAAAAGAAAAAAAGGTATGCAAATCTTCAACTGCTGGTCTTGTTGAACCCAGAAGGTCATTTCAAACACCTACCAGAAATATTACTCAAATTAATAAGGCAGCTATAATAAATAAGGAACTTTCAATGGTATAGTGATTCCTCATCTGATGAATTACTTAGAAAATCTGCAGATTTGCAGTGGTATTAGGTAACAGGAGACATTTGAAAAATTTTACTGCATTTACACAAAATTTGAAAATAAATAATAATATTCAATTGAATTTAAATTTAAAAAATGGAATCTGCAGCTGCAAGTAAATAGAATATCATTATGTAACACAAAATTGTTAATAATACTTTATGTGATAACAGTAAACGAATGATTTGTATGAAAATGAACGGAAGATTACAACAGAAAATTTTAAACATGTAGAGAAAAGTTCATAAATTCTGTAGAGTTCTGCGACTGGACCGATTGCATGTTGTAGATGGAACTATTATTGAATGAAAAAAATTAAAACTAGCTGCAACTAGCTGCAATTGTGTCATTGGTGCAAGTTCTTGCAATGTAGAACATAGTTTTCTGAATTTTGTACATTAACGACGCGGAATGTTTGCTCTTTTTCTTGAATTTGTCTGTGTGTTTTGAATGTTGTTTGTATGTAGCATATGAGCTTGAAATAAAACTGTGGCAAGTGCATAGTGATAAAGAAAATAAACAAATAAGACCCTGAAAAATGAATATACAGAAGGGTTTCCGTATAGAATTGGGTCTAATAGTCGATCAACCAAAGCCTGGTTTCGGTAGCTCGAATGATGGGAATACCGCTCGATGATTTTTCGAAAACTCAAGCATTTCTGCTGCTATTACAGGAGTTGATGAGGACTTGATTAAGCATTTCCATGTCATATTGCAGACAATTTCGTGTGGCCATGAAATCGATTTCATAGAATTTCAAGATTATGCTTTACAGACAGCTTGTTACTCTGAGCAGTTATATCCGTGGTTCTGCATGCCAACTTCGGTACATAAGATATTGATTCATGGTGCAGAAATGATAAATTCATCGGTATTGCTGATAGGGCAGATGTCTGAAGACTCTCAAGAGTATACTAATATAAATACATTAAAAAGTTTCGAGAAGCTTTTGCAAGAAAAGTTCCCAAGTGAAAACAATGGAAGACATTATTTTATGCCTATTATTAATATCTGATTCGTTTATTTCGAGTTTGTGTGAATTACCTCGAAAAAACTCAGTTGTTGCTTCCAGAAGCAGTTTTATTGTTAGTTGTGCCACATATACTGGCAAGTACAGGAAGCTCCAGCAATTTCAAAGTTGAATCATCTGATTGTGAATCAAATTATTCTTTGGATGACGATGCATGAACTTTTAATCAACTGATTGTATGTTTTATTGTATTAAACAATATATGGATTTATTTTGTAGTTTTTCTATAAAAGTGGTTCGTGTTAAATCCGTCGTTTTGTTTTTATTTCAAATTTTGACTTCGGATTCGTAATCAGCGATCCCGAAAACCCTAGAGTACTGACTTTCAGCCAAATTGATAACGCTTTTGACTTTTGGCCAGCTTTTTGGGATTTGGCCCCACTGTGCCACGTCCGCCATCTTTACGTGGAATGGTTAATCTTTCTATGACAGATTTAGGATGATGATGTTTATGCTTAGTAAGTGTTTTTGTTGTCATTTGGAGTTGCTCAAGATCTGTGTGAGTCCAATGTATAACTCCAAAAGAATAAGTGAATACTGGGACGACATATGTGTTTATTACTTTAACATCATCTTATTTCATCAGTGAATGAAATACAAGCATAATAAACATAACAACTGTGATAAAAATATATAAATAAAACATGAGATTAATAGAATATGTAAAAGTTCACGTCACACCTTTCACCTTGTGACGGCACACTGGTTGCGGAACACTGCTGTAGGTGACGTGCATGTCACAGTGGATGCAGCTTGGCAAGAAATATACCTCAGACAACCATTAATTGCCTTATTGATAGTATATCTCATCGTATAGTGATCTGTATAGTTGCCCGTGGGGTCATACTCATTACCGAATAAACAGGAGTCTGTTGTATATCTTTGTTTGTTCTTTTAATCATTTGCATATGTCTTTTACCTCTACTGATCCTGCAATATGCATGTGACTATGCACATTCCTTCATGCTGTTGTGATTTTATTTTTGAGGCACGTATATACTATTACAAAATTTTTTGATTACTAAATCATTTTGCTTTTGTTTATACCAGTGTTTCTCAACGGGGGCGATATCGCCCCCCATGTCGGCGTTTTTCCATGTTGAGGGGGCAATTTGTAACAATTTATATTTTTGGGGGCGAAAAACAATTTTCTGGGCGATATAGTAAAACATTATATTAAGATTAATTAGTTATTTTATTCGTTATATCGTACAATAATTAAACAAATAACATTATACTAGTCACTAGTCTATTCAATGCTGTATGAATTTGGCGTTAGCCCTGGCCCTCGGCATCGGAATTTTGAAGTGAAGGGGGCGATACTACGTAACAGTTTTATTGAAGGGGGCGATACTACGTTGAAGGGGCAACGATTCATTAGAGGTTGAGAAACACTGGTTTATACCATGTCTGATTGACATTTCATAATTTGACTAATAGTAAATATTTAACATGTATAGGTTTAACAATGAAAATACTTTTATTGCTAATTATATGCTTTTATCTATATCTATAAATGAGAATGTTTTTGTTTGTTTGTTTGTGTGTTCTCTATGCACTTCTAGACTTTTTGACCAATTGCTACAAATTACTAAATTAGTAGTCTATTAACGGAACTGCCAAGTTCCGTTAATATATTACTAATTTAGATAACACCATACATACCACCCCAAAATATTTATTGGATTTCTATATATCAATTAATTTTTGTCTACATTGCATTTGCTGGATTTGCACATAGTGCCATTTCTATATTTCACCGAATTACTGTAACAATAATATAGCACAAAGTGGACATGCTGTATTATTAGTTTGATAAGTAGCATGTAGCATTCACCTGCATGGAGTTGAAACTGTTACACTGGTAGTTGGTTGTGGGTTCACGTATCACCAATGAGCTAGCCACATGGAGTTTTCCAAATTTTCTTCCAGTTAATAATGCCTAAATAGGAGTCAGTTTCCTATAAAAATCCTTCTGGTAGGCATCCCCTTGGCAGATTGTCTATGTGTTGTGTTGTCATAACCAAATAAACCAAACTAATTGCAATAATTCTTCTATAAACTTGCTATTTATGAGACATACTTTTCACATAGCTATAGGCATTCTGATAATGTTCTTAAAATGGATTTTACAGCATATATTTTTGAAATTTACAATTAGTAATGCCTCTCAATTACTGTGAGTGGTCCTTTAGACTAATGTCAGACAAACATGCTTTCACGTCCGTGGTTTTTGACAGATATCACAGGATTGCGTAAAAAATATGGGAGTGGATATGCAAAAAGTCATGTTATGTGGCATGGACAGGCAGCCAGATTGTCCATGATAATCTTATGCCATTGCATGACTATTGCATGCTGGGAGATACACTCCAAGCCTACAGTCTTCAGACGAGTGTAAAAAAAACAGATATATTAACATTGTTTCCAGGATGTGTCGGATCAGCGTCCTTCCTGTCGAAGGGTGTATGGTACCTGCGTATTGTAAAAAATAGACATGGATATTAGTAAAACAATTGTACAAATTAGTGAGGAACCTGAATTGAGAGAAACTTTATTTGAACATTATAAAAACAGAAATAAGAAAAAGGGAGGTCAGTTACAATCAGAAGGATGTACCAATATTGCCTATGTCCTTTGTTTTTAAATACTTATGTATATAATGAAAAAAACAGTTTGTGGCAATCTACCAGATCTGAACAGCTTTGGTGCACATGTTTGGTACTTTGACAGTGGACCAGTACATCACAAAATTGTGGGGGTCTGTAGTTTGGCCACTGGTGCAGGCCACACTTGACACAGTGTTCTAGCAAGACAATGTCCAACTGCATATTGCATAGTGAACTCTCATCAGCCTGAATGAAATTCACATTTTTCCCTGGCCATCAGTCTCACAGGATCTATCTCCCTATGGTATCCTGTCATAGGTGTTGTAGTTATTATTAAAACTGATCATAAGTATTTATTTATATAATTTATTCTGTTTAACTATTTCTTAATTGCGTCTGAAACGAAGCCGACTACTGATGTGCTCCAGAAAAACAGTGCTTGTCTTACCACAACTTGGCCAACACGAATCGAAAAAATAGCGTTCGCGCGTTTTCACACTCGTCTGACGTTAGCCTTATAAACCTGGACAAAGCTGGCATAACAAGCTAGTTATTACTATAAGATTTGTATATTTTTCAGAATAGTGCATAATAAATCTTATTAACATATATTTATATCTAATATCATTGTAACATTCTGTACTTTAATTTTATTCATTTGTACAAAAATATATTATTTAATTATCAGTACAGAGCTAAAGACTATTTTATAATTATGAATTTCTTTTTTATATTATAGGTAAAACATCTCTTATAAAAGCATTAACAGGTGATGTTAAATTAGAACCGAAAGATCAGCTTTTTGCTACATTAGATGTTACTACCCATGCTGGGAGATTATTTTCACTGCAAAAAATACTTTATGTTGATACAATTGGTTTTATCTCTGATATACCAACTACATTAATTGAATCATTTGCTGCAACATTAGAGGATATGGTTCTTTCTGTAAGTTAAAAGTAATACTTAAATTTAATTATTTGTGATTAACAAAGCAATATTTAGTTAATACAAATAAATAAATATTACATATCATATGTTGAGAATGAAAAGAAAGCAAGAAAAACCTACTTATATTTTATATTTTCATGTTTAATTTTTAAAAAAATAGATAATAATTTAATTTTAATAAGGTTTCAGAAATAATTGTAAAAAAGAATAAATAAAAGACATAATACAATAAAGCAAAGTGCTGTTTGCACATCAGGAAAAACATTTTAAAAAATATTAATAATTTACTCTTCTTTAATGAGGCTTCTTAGCTGTTTCTGAAGTGTAAAATATCTTAAAAAATTTCTCAGTAGGTGAATTTTAAAAACAATATAAAAGCAATAATATGGTAAAAGTCTAATTAATGAAAATTTCATATAAAGTGGAAATATTTAGAGCTATTATAAGCTAACTCTAATTAAAATAAGTTAGCAGAATGTATGGTACAATCACAATCTAGTACAGTAGAGCATCGATTATCAGAATACTGATCAACCGAAACATTGGTTAACTGAAAGCATTCCAGTCAGCAAATTTAAATTTCTGCTAGTTATGTGGCACTGCAATATTTGGCTGTCTTGGGCTACTCCAATATTACTTTTGTCGGTGTGCGTATTTTAGCTGGCAGCACTGGCGGGACCACGACAGGGTACTTAAGGACGTGCCAGGATTTGAACGAATTTAAACACTTGATAGGTTAATATATTTTTTCGTGCATAATCGGTTATCCGAAAAATCAATTTTCCCAACAACCCCAGTCCCCAATTGATTCGGATAATTGACGCTCTACTGTAATTCTAAAATTGTGTCTCGATGAGCTGTTTTAGAATTATTTCCCTCGGACTATTATTAGACTTCTGAAAATCATTTTTCTGTACCGAATGCCTTATATTCAACTATACATGGATAATAGATGCACAATAACACACGTGAAGATATTCAAGTATATATTCACCTGTAGCTATCATTTAAAAGTTTGATCTTCTATTGTAACCATGTGAAAAGATTACACAAAATAAGAAAAAATTCAAAACTGATTATAAGTATTTATAATTTATTCTGTTTAGCTATTTCTTAATTAAATATATTTTGTAATGAATTATTTTTATTATATTTTTTTTCTTATTAGTATTCATTACTAAAGTGATAAATTTGAATTTATTTTAATTTTAATAGCATAGAATAAAAAAGCTTATCAAAAATTAATTTTTTTTACAATAATCAAATTATGTTTTACTTTCAACTTTACATTAATTCGTTACTTCAAAGCCAAATTTATAAAATATTCAAGTTAGTATAAAATATGAAATTGAATGCTACTTAAATGTTACTAGTTAATTAGTAAAATAGCATTAATTTCTTACATTTAATGGTTTTATTTTAAAAATAATAAACTTATAGAAGACATTTACTTTCAGGATGTAATCGTTCACGTTCGTGATATTAGTCATCCCGATCAAATTGCTCAGAAAGATAATGTTCTAAATACATTAGAAAATTTGAATTTACCTTCTTCCTTATTAGATTCTATAATTGAAGTAGGAAATAAAGTTGATTTATTAAAAAGGTAAGTTTTACAGTGCCTTAAATATAATTTAATAAAGAAAGAAAGATAAGAAATACAGTATTTTAAATTGTCTTATTACAATGTTATAAATTGATAAATTTACAAGGTTTTGTCAATCAATTTTTATAGTAGAAATAAATATCAAGAAACAACTACAGTTAAACTTCTACATTATAAATTTGTCTACAGAATGTTAAAAATTCTCTGTTTAATGAAGTTTAATTTCTAAAAAGGAAGTTTAGGAAGCCAGATAAATAAAAAGAAATATTTGCTGTTGTGAGTACATTACAATGCGGTTGAAATATCTGTATCTGAGGAACGGTGATACGTTCAAAAATATCGGAAGGGAAACATTTCAGATTGTAATTTTATTTACAGTAAAAACAGTAAGTTATGTATGACATAACTTAATATTTTTCAACATAAATATCTAAGAGTACTTATTATTTCAATTAAAACATCTTTTTACAATATCAATAAAAATACTGTACCATTTGTTTGATCTATTTGAATAAAATGTATTTATAATACTTTTTGTTATGAATAAGAGTTCAAGGATTTTCAAATAGAATAAAAATCATTACAATTTACTGTATTTCCTTTTCAGTAATAGTGTATTTTCCATTTAATTCCATACTAAATAAAGTTGTTTCTTGAATTTATTTTTATTTTAAAAAATGATTTATTAGGGAAATAAATTTTAAGCATTAATTAAATTTAATTATCTTTTAATTAAGTTATAATCTCTGAACAATTAAAACATTTTGTTGTTTTAAAGTAAATAATTTTATTTTAATCAAAGTCGGTTTTTCCCTTTCATTTTCCTTATTTTAACAGATGAAAACGAATAAAAAAAATGCGACTATTTCGTTAGTGTTCGGAAAAAAGTCGCGGAGGAATTTGCTTCCTTGGCTCCCTTGCCAATTTTTTTTGCCGAAAATATGCTTGACTAAGTGTAGCCGTCTGCAGGCAGCAAAAATAATATGGTGCATTCAATACAACTTATGAAAAGGGGTGCAGAATATCTTCAGATCCAAAATTTCTTCTAAGCATACACAAAATTTCCCCAAAATTTATAAAGTACAAATGATAAAATTATTTACCATTTTTAATTTTAATAATTTTGTGGCATAATGCAACAATTTGATTTTATAAAGTTCAGGAAATTTATTAAGGGATAAATTTAATAAATATATACTTTTGAACGTGGATTATATAGGATTTGTTAATGGATAATAATAATGGCTTTTTTCTTTTTTCAAAGCCATGTATAAATTTATGGTTGTGGATAAACTACTTTAATTTAATAAAACATTTTATTTTTAGTTTTAATAATTTGGCAATTATAAAAAATACATAACTATTAATTATAAAAAAATTACCAATTAAAAAGTTGGAGAAGCAGTAGCGTATGTGCATAGTTTGACAAAATAAAGCAGCATTTGACTGTGTGTCATACTGTAAGGGATGCAAAGGTTAGGGAATTTGTACAAAGTCATCAACTTTGTTCCCTATTATCCCACCAGAAGTAATGACCGTAACACTGCGCTTTATTTGATCTATCATCTTTCTATGCTCTTTTAGTTTTTTGTTGTCAGGAAAGTCATAGAATTTAAAATTTCAGTTGTAGAGCCCACTCTAGGAAACACCATAAGGTTTCCTCACCAATATTTCATTGGATGATCAATTGATCTGAACTCTTCAGGTTAATATTTCAAAATTTCTTTACCATTTACATGCTGTCAGGAAAAATAATAGCACATGCAGCATAAATACACTGAGTCACTGGTTCCATTTGTAGTTCTCGGAGAATTTCATTGCACTTTGTCTACCCTGCAATTCTCACATACTTACTTATAGGATTAGATCAACATCTAACTTAAGAATGATAATGACTGCACGTTATTACGTTGAGGCCGAGAGACATTTTTAAGTTGTCTTTTCGTTATTTACTTGAAGAATAAGATAACGTAAAGCTTTGGTTAGTTAAGTAAAGTGTATTTTATTTTGCATATTTTGGGATCTACTAATTTTGATTTTATTAAGGACTAAAGATTGAATATTATCAGTTATTTAATGTTACATAGAGGATTTTTATATAAAAGTGGTGAAATATGACGCTTGATTTGAAAATTGACATGAATTTAAAGACACCGGTTTATTTGTTTTATTACATATGCATTTCGGAATGATGTATATTTTCATTCCCTTTTCAGTGAAGTTAAAAAATAGTTTCAACAATTTTTTTAACTTTGCCGAAGATGGAACAAAAATATACATCATTCTGAAATTATGATAAATTAAACAAATAAAGTTATTGTCATTGGAAACCTTTGGATGTTAGAAGTGCCATATTGAAATTCTCAGACTGCTTACAGAGAAAAGAAAGAGAAAAAAAAAAAATATTCTGAAATTCTAAGATTTTAAGAAATGCTTTTTATATGATTATTGTAAATGAACTAAGAATAAAATCTTGTTTACATAGAAAAAATATTGAATCTTTTTATGAATATTTATATTATTTTCTTACGTATTGATGTTTTAACGAAGGCTAAAATTTTACTTTTCAGCAGTGAAAGGGAAAAAGACTTATTATATATATCAGCAACTAGATTTGATGGTCTGGATATTCTGAAAAAAATGATTGAAGATAAACTGATGGAAAATACAGGAAGACTTGTGAAAGTTTTCAGAGTACCTTCTGGAGGAATGGAAATGAGGTATATTAATTGAAATTATTTATTTTCAAATATTATTTGAATAATATAGCAGATTGAAACTGAATAGTGAGAAGATATTACATATCGTAGTCGGAGTCGTTCGAGCTCTTTGGCACGTGCTAGCCGTATTGTTCCTTTTCTCGTAAAAATGTAGATTTAGTTGGATTTGTATTTTACACACTGTCCAAAGTGTCCTTGCAATACATGAAAGTAATTAGCTCCTTGATCAAATTGTTCAAAATTTTGGCTTCCAAAATTCCATTACATCTTTACTCATTATTTCTTTTACACATTTGTTATAATCTTTCCCATTATAATGTCTATTTTGTGTTCCAAAATCTCAATATTCAAATTGTTCTATAAAACCTTTGGTACTCTGTTGTTAGAAAAAAGAGGATCCTTTTAAGAATTCAATAGAAGAATTTTTAAAAATTACACTAACATCTATCTTAAATGTAGTGCACTAGAATTCTCATAGTCATTTTTATTCTACAGAACTGCCCAGATCTCTTCTCGTACAAATTCTATACCAAATATTCTAAATGAGTTAAGAGCATATCCATGGTTTTTGTCAAATAGTGGCAATCCAAGATTAAAATTTTTTTTAGCTAGAATATAATTTCAATGTTATATGATTGGGGAAATTAAAAATTGCCCTTTATACATAGTTGAATCTTATTGCAGTTTATTGGAATATAGGCAAAACTATTTAAAAAGAGGAAGGATTCATTCATTATCTTGTATTTGTCCACTTTTTCAACAAATGGGTTTATTCATTAAATGATTATATAAATGTTTTTTTGTTTAATTTACAAATCCGTTTGTTTGAAAAGTATGAGTGGTTTTGATTTTGGAAGTTATCTATTTCATTTATTCATTTCTAAAGATGAGCCTAGGGTTAAAAGTACTAGAATGATAGAGCTTTCATAAATCTGTTCATTCTTAACTTCAAATATTAATTTATTAATCTATAGCAAATTTATAAACACTTTTATTTTGCAGTTAGCATCTATAGTATTTAAAAAAATGGATTTTGTAAGAATGCTAATTCATTAGTATCGTGCAGGTCCGAGCAATTGGCGTCAAAGTCGACGCGCTTTTCGGCATTTGTTTGGAAAATTGTCGCACGGAGACACCTGCGATTTACTTGACAATTATCTAGTATTAGATTTTCAGACTGACAACTTTATAATATAATTTATTAACTAAAAGTATTGTTTTTTTTTATTAAAAAAATAGTAATTTGNAATTTTCACAATCTCTGAGGCCAGGATTTTTTATTCATTCAATAATTATAGAAATATAATAGGTTAACAACAGTCATGGTCAATATGGCAGTTTTTCTTTTAAACAAGATTTTGAAGTGTGAAGCAAGCGTGCCTAGATAAGACAATTTTTATGTTGGCGGCATACGGTGCACACGTTCCTCACAGTTATGCACATCTGAACCTGAATATTTTAGGAAGAAGCTTTCATTGTACACTACATATTTTTTTAATACACTACAATACATATTTGTTCAGTTTGTGTTCATTTATATCGGTAACGACAGCATCTAAAAGCAAGTGAAAAATGTTTGATTGTGAAACATTTACAATATCATTCAGCAATGTTTCCAAAGTTCGTTCGGAAGCATTGCTGAACGATGTTTTGTTAGATCAAGAACCTTTTGAAAGTTCATCTAGAAGTCACAAAGCAAGTAGTTGTTATTCCAAATCTTCTGATTCTCCTGTGCAAGAAAAGAAAAAAAGGTATGCAAATCTTCAACTGCTGGTCTTGTTGAACCCAGAAGGTCATTTCAAACACCTACCAGAAATATTACTCAAATTAATAAGGCAGCTATAATAAATAAGGAACTTTCAATGGTATAGTGATTCCTCATCTGATGAATTACTTAGAAAATCTGCAGATTTGCAGTGGTATTAGGTAACAGGAGACATTTGAAAAATTTTACTGCATTTACACAAAATTTGAAAATAAATAATAATATTCAATTGAATTTAAATTTAAAAAATGGAATCTGCAGCTGCAAGTAAATAGAATATCATTATGTAACACAAAATTGTTAATAATACTTTATGTGATAACAGTAAACGAATGATTTGTATGAAAATGAACGGAAGATTACAACAGAAAATTTTAAACATGTAGAGAAAAGTTCATAAATTCTGTAGAGTTCTGCGACTGGACCGATTGCATGTTGTAGATGGAACTATTATTGAATGAAAAAAATTAAAACTAGCTGCAACTAGCTGCAATTGTGTCATTGGTGCAAGTTCTTGCAATGTAGAACATAGTTTTCTGAATTTTGTACATTAACGACGCGGAATGTTTGCTCTTTTTCTTGAATTTGTCTGTGTGTTTTGAATGTTGTTTGTATGTAGCATATGAGCTTGAAATAAAACTGTGGCAAGTGCATAGTGATAAAGAAAATAAACAAATAAGACCCTGAAAAATGAATATACAGAAGGGTTTCCGTATAGAATTGGGTCTAATAGTCGATCAACCAAAGCCTGGTTTCGGTAGCTCGAATGATGGGAATACCGCTCGATGATTTTTCGAAAACTCAAGCATTTCTGCTGCTATTACAGGAGTTGATGAGGACTTGATTAAGCATTTCCATGTCATATTGCAGACAATTTCGTGTGGCCATGAAATCGATTTCATAGAATTTCAAGATTATGCTTTACAGACAGCTTGTTACTCTGAGCAGTTATATCCGTGGTTCTGCATGCCAACTTCGGTACATAAGATATTGATTCATGGTGCAGAAATGATAAATTCATCGGTATTGCTGATAGGGCAGATGTCTGAAGACTCTCAAGAGTATACTAATATAAATACATTAAAAAGTTTCGAGAAGCTTTTGCAAGAAAAGTTCCCAAGTGAAAACAATGGAAGACATTATTTTATGCCTATTATTAATATCTGATTCGTTTATTTCGAGTTTGTGTGAATTACCTCGAAAAAACTCAGTTGTTGCTTCCAGAAGCAGTTTTATTGTTAGTTGTGCCACATATACTGGCAAGTACAGGAAGCTCCAGCAATTTCAAAGTTGAATCATCTGATTGTGAATCAAATTATTCTTTGGATGACGATGCATGAACTTTTAATCAACTGATTGTATGTTTTATTGTATTAAACAATATATGGATTTATTTTGTAGTTTTTCTATAAAAGTGGTTCGTGTTAAATCCGTCGTTTTGTTTTTATTTCAAATTTTGACTTCGGATTCGTAATCAGCGATCCCGAAAACCCTAGAGTACTGACTTTCAGCCAAATTGATAACGCTTTTGACTTTTGGCCAGCTTTTTGGGATTTGGCCCCACTGTGCCACGTCCGCCATCTTTACGTGGAATGGTTAATCTTTCTATGACAGATTTAGGATGATGATGTTTATGCTTAGTAAGTGTTTTTGTTGTCATTTGGAGTTGCTCAAGATCTGTGTGAGTCCAATGTATAACTCCAAAAGAATAAGTGAATACTGGGACGACATATGTGTTTATTACTTTAACATCATCTTATTTCATCAGTGAATGAAATACAAGCATAATAAACATAACAACTGTGATAAAAATATATAAATAAAACATGAGATTAATAGAATATGTAAAAGTTCACGTCACACCTTTCACCTTGTGACGGCACACTGGTTGCGGAACACTGCTGTAGGTGACGTGCATGTCACAGTGGATGCAGCTTGGCAAGAAATATACCTCAGACAACCATTAATTGCCTTATTGATAGTATATCTCATCGTATAGTGATCTGTATAGTTGCCCGTGGGGTCATACTCATTACCGAATAAACAGGAGTCTGTTGTATATCTTTGTTTGTTCTTTTAATCATTTGCATATGTCTTTTACCTCTACTGATCCTGCAATATGCATGTGACTATGCACATTCCTTCATGCTGTTGTGATTTTATTTTTGAGGCACGTATATACTATTACAAAATTTTTTGATTACTAAATCATTTTGCTTTTGTTTATACCAGTGTTTCTCAACGGGGGCGATATCGCCCCCCATGTCGGCGTTTTTCCATGTTGAGGGGGCAATTTGTAACAATTTATATTTTTGGGGGCGAAAAACAATTTTCTGGGCGATATAGTAAAACATTATATTAAGATTAATTAGTTATTTTATTCGTTATATCGTACAATAATTAAACAAATAACATTATACTAGTCACTAGTCTATTCAATGCTGTATGAATTTGGCGTTAGCCCTGGCCCTCGGCATCGGAATTTTGAAGTGAAGGGGGCGATACTACGTAACAGTTTTATTGAAGGGGGCGATACTACGTTGAAGGGGCAACGATTCATTAGAGGTTGAGAAACACTGGTTTATACCATGTCTGATTGACATTTCATAATTTGACTAATAGTAAATATTTAACATGTATAGGTTTAACAATGAAAATACTTTTATTGCTAATTATATGCTTTTATCTATATCTATAAATGAGAATGTTTTTGTTTGTTTGTTTGTGTGTTCTCTATGCACTTCTAGACTTTTTGACCAATTGCTACAAATTACTAAATTAGTAGTCTATTAACGGAACTGCCAAGTTCCGTTAATATATTACTAATTTAGATAACACCATACATACCACCCCAAAATATTTATTGGATTTCTATATATCAATTAATTTTTGTCTACATTGCATTTGCTGGATTTGCACATAGTGCCATTTCTATATTTCACCGAATTACTGTAACAATAATATAGCACAAAGTGGACATGCTGTATTATTAGTTTGATAAGTAGCATGTAGCATTCACCTGCATGGAGTTGAAACTGTTACACTGGTAGTTGGTTGTGGGTTCACGTATCACCAATGAGCTAGCCACATGGAGTTTTCCAAATTTTCTTCCAGTTAATAATGCCTAAATAGGAGTCAGTTTCCTATAAAAATCCTTCTGGTAGGCATCCCCTTGGCAGATTGTCCATGTGTTGTGTTGTCATAACCAAATAAACCAAACTAATTGCAATAATTCTTCTATAAACTTGCTATTTATGAGACATACTTTTCACATAGCTATAGGCATTCTGATAATGTTCTTAAAATGGATTTTACAGCATATATTTTTGAAATTTACAATTAGTAATGCCTCTCAATTACTGTGAGTGGTCCTTTAGACTAATGTCAGACAAACATGCTTTCACGTCCGTGGTTTTTGACAGATATCACAGGATTGCGTAAAAAATATGGGAGTGGATATGCAAAAAGTCATGTTATGTGGCATGGACAGGCAGCCAGATTGTCCATGATAATCTTATGCCATTGCATGACTATTGCATGCTGGGAGATACACTCCAAGCCTACAGTCTTCAGACGAGTGTAAAAAAAACAGATATATTAACATTGTTTCCAGGATGTGTCGGATCAGCGTCCTTCCTGTCGAAGGGTGTATGGTACCTGCGTATTGTAAAAAATAGACATGGATATTAGTAAAACAATTGTACAAATTAGTGAGGAACCTGAATTGAGAGAAACTTTATTTGAACATTATAAAAACAGAAATAAGAAAAAGGGAGGTCAGTTACAATCAGAAGGATGTACCAATATTGCCTATGTCCTTTGTTTTTAAATACTTATGTATATAATGAAAAAAACAGTTTGTGGCAATCTACCAGATCTGAACAGCTTTGGTGCACATGTTTGGTACTTTGACAGTGGACCAGTACATCACAAAATTGTGGGGGTCTGTAGTTTGGCCACTGGTGCAGGCCACACTTGACACAGTGTTCTAGCAAGACAATGTCCAACTGCATATTGCATAGTGAACTCTCATCAGCCTGAATGAAATTCACATTTTTCCCTGGCCATCAGTCTCACAGGATCTATCTCCCATCAAACACCTATGGTATCCTGTCATAGGTGTTGTAGTTATTATTAAAACTGATCATAAGTATTTATTTATATAATTTATTCTGTTTAACTATTTCTTAATTGCGTCTGAAACGAAGCCGACTACTGATGTGCTCCAGAAAAACAGTGCTTGTCTTACCACAACTTGGCCAACACGAATCGAAAAAATAGCGTTCGCGCGTTTTCACACTCGTCTGACGTTAGCCTTATAAACCTGGACAAAGCTGGCATAACAAGCTAGTTATTACTATAAGATTTGTATATTTTTCAGAATAGTGCATAATAAATCTTATTAACATATATTTATATCTAATATCATTGTAACATTCTGTACTTTAATTTTATTCATTTGTACAAAAATATATTATTTAATTATCAGTACAGAGCTAAAGACTATTTTATAATTATGAATTTCTTTTTTATATTATAGGTAAAACATCTCTTATAAAAGCATTAACAGGTGATGTTAAATTAGAACCGAAAGATCAGCTTTTTGCTACATTAGATGTTACTACCCATGCTGGGAGATTATTTTCACTGCAAAAAATACTTTATGTTGATACAATTGGTTTTATCTCTGATATACCAACTACATTAATTGAATCATTTGCTGCAACATTAGAGGATATGGTTCTTTCTGTAAGTTAAAAGTAATACTTAAATTTAATTATTTGTGATTAACAAAGCAATATTTAGTTAATACAAATAAATAAATATTACATATCATATGTTGAGAATGAAAAGAAAGCAAGAAAAACCTACTTATATTTTATATTTTCATGTTTAATTTTTAAAAAAATAGATAATAATTTAATTTTAATAAGGTTTCAGAAATAATTGTAAAAAAGAATAAATAAAAGACATAATACAATAAAGCAAAGTGCTGTTTGCACATCAGGAAAAACATTTTAAAAAATATTAATAATTTACTCTTCTTTAATGAGGCTTCTTAGCTGTTTCTGAAGTGTAAAATATCTTAAAAAATTTCTCAGTAGGTGAATTTTAAAAACAATATAAAAGCAATAATATGGTAAAAGTCTAATTAATGAAAATTTCATATAAAGTGGAAATATTTAGAGCTATTATAAGCTAACTCTAATTAAAATAAGTTAGCAGAATGTATGGTACAATCACAATCTAGTACAGTAGAGCATCGATTATCAGAATACTGATCAACCGAAACATTGGTTAACTGAAAGCATTCCAGTCAGCAAATTTAAATTTCTGCTAGTTATGTGGCACTGCAATATTTGGCTGTCTTGGGCTACTCCAATATTACTTTTGTCGGTGTGCGTATTTTAGCTGGCAGCACTGGCGGGACCACGACAGGGTACTTAAGGACGTGCCAGGATTTGAACGAATTTAAACACTTGATAGGTTAATATATTTTTTCGTGCATAATCGGTTATCCGAAAAATCAATTTTCCCAACAACCCCAGTCCCCAATTGATTCGGATAATTGACGCTCTACTGTAATTCTAAAATTGTGTCTCGATGAGCTGTTTTAGAATTATTTCCCTCGGACTATTATTAGACTTCTGAAAATCATTTTTCTGTACCGAATGCCTTATATTCAACTATACATGGATAATAGATGCACAATAACACACGTGAAGATATTCAAGTATATATTCACCTGTAGCTATCATTTAAAAGTTTGATCTTCTATTGTAACCATGTGAAAAGATTACACAAAATAAGAAAAAATTCAAAACTGATTATAAGTATTTATAATTTATTCTGTTTAGCTATTTCTTAATTAAATATATTTTGTAATGAATTATTTTTATTATATTTTTTTTCTTATTAGTATTCATTACTAAAGTGATAAATTTGAATTTATTTTAATTTTAATAGCATAGAATAAAAAAGCTTATCAAAAAGTAATTTTTTTTACAATAATCAAATTATGTTTTACTTTCAACTTTACATTAATTCGTTACTTCAAAGCCAAATTTATAAAATATTCAAGTTAGTATAAAATATGAAATTGAATGCTACTTAAATGTTACTAGTTAATTAGTAAAATAGCATTAATTTCTTACATTTAATGGTTTTATTTTAAAAATAATAAACTTATAGAAGACATTTACTTTCAGGATGTAATCGTTCACGTTCGTGATATTAGTCATCCCGATCAAATTGCTCAGAAAGATAATGTTCTAAATACATTAGAAAATTTGAATTTACCTTCTTCCTTATTAGATTCTATAATTGAAGTAGGAAATAAAGTTGATTTATTAAAAAGGTAAGTTTTACAGTGCCTTAAATATAATTTAATAAAGAAAGAAAGATAAGAAATACAGTATTTTAAATTGTCTTATTACAATGTTATAAATTGATAAATTTACAAGGTTTTGTCAATCAATTTTTATAGTAGAAATAAATATCAAGAAACAACTACAGTTAAACTTCTACATTATAAATTTGTCTACAGAATGTTAAAAATTCTCTGTTTAATGAAGTTTAATTTCTAAAAAGGAAGTTTAGGAAGCCAGATAAATAAAAAGAAATATTTGCTGTTGTGAGTACATTACAATGCGGTTGAAATATCTGTATCTGAGGAACGGTGATACGTTCAAAAATATCGGAAGGGAAACATTTCAGATTGTAATTTTATTTACAGTAAAAACAGTAAGTTATGTATGACATAACTTAATATTTTTCAACATAAATATCTAAGAGTACTTATTATTTCAATTAAAACATCTTTTTACAATATCAATAAAAATACTGTACCATTTGTTTGATCTATTTGAATAAAATGTATTTATAATACTTTTTGTTATGAATAAGAGTTCAAGGATTTTCAAATAGAATAAAAATCATTACAATTTACTGTATTTCCTTTTCAGTAATAGTGTATTTTCCATTTAATTCCATACTAAATAAAGTTGTTTCTTGAATTTATTTTTATTTTAAAAAATGATTTATTAGGGAAATAAATTTTAAGCATTAATTAAATTTAATTATCTTTTAATTAAGTTATAATCTCTGAACAATTAAAACATTTTGTTGTTTTAAAGTAAATAATTTTATTTTAATCAAAGTCGGTTTTTCCCTTTCATTTTCCTTATTTTAACAGATGAAAACGAATAAAAAAAATGCGACTATTTCGTTAGTGTTCGGAAAAAAGTCGCGGAGGAATTTGCTTCCTTGGCTCCCTTGCCAATTTTTTTTGCCGAAAATATGCTTGACTAAGTGTAGCCGTCTGCAGGCAGCAAAAATAATATGGTGCATTCAATACAACTTATGAAAAGGGGTGCAGAATATCTNACGCGCTTTTCGGCATTTGTTTGGAAAATTGTCGCACGGAGACACCTGCGATTTACTTGACAATTATCTAGTATTAGATTTTCAGACTGACAACTTTATAATATAATTTATTAACTAAAAGTATTGTTTTTTTTTTTATTAAAAAAATAGTAATTTGAATAGATTTATGGTTGTGGATAAACTACTTTAATTTAATAAAACATTTTATTTTTAGTTTTAATAATTTGGCAATTATAAAAAATACATAACTATTAATTATAAAAAAATTACCAATTAAAAAGTTGGAGAAGCAGTAGCGTATGTGCATAGTTTGACAAAATAAAGCAGCATTTGACTGTGTGTCATACTGTAAGGGATGCAAAGGTTAGGGAATTTGTACAAAGTCATCAACTTTGTTCCCTATTATCCCACCAGAAGTAATGACCGTAACACTGCGCTTTATTTGATCTATCATCTTTCTATGCTCTTTTAGTTTTTTGTTGTCAGGAAAGTCATAGAATTTAAAATTTCAGTTGTAGAGCCCACTCTAGGAAACACCATAAGGTTTCCTCACCAATATTTCATTGGATGATCAATTGATCTGAACTCTTCAGGTTAATATTTCAAAATTTCTTTACCATTTACATGCTGTCAGGAAAAATAATAGCACATGCAGCATAAATACACTGAGTCACTGGTTCCATTTGTAGTTCTCGGAGAATTTCATTGCACTTTGTCTACCCTGCAATTCTCACATACTTACTTATAGGATTAGATCAACATCTAACTTAAGAATGATAATGACTGCACGTTATTACGTTGAGGCCGAGAGACATTTTTAAGTTGTCTTTTCGTTATTTACTTGAAGAATAAGATAACGTAAAGCTTTGGTTAGTTAAGTAAAGTGTATTTTATTTTGCATATTTTGGGATCTACTAATTTTGATTTTATTAAGGACTAAAGATTGAATATTATCAGTTATTTAATGTTACATAGAGGATTTTTATATAAAAGTGGTGAAATATGACGCTTGATTTGAAAATTGACATGAATTTAAAGACACCGGTTTATTTGTTTTATTACATATGCATTTCGGAATGATGTATATTTTCATTCCCTTTCAGTGAAGTTAAAAAATAGTTTCAACAATTTTTTTAACTTTGCCGAAGATGGAACAAAAATATACATCATTCTGAAATTATGATAAATTAAACAAATAAAGTCATTGTCATTGGAAACCTTTGGATGTTAGAAGTGCCGTATTGAAATTCTCGGACTGCTTACAGAGAAAAGAAAAAGAAAAAAAAAAAAAAAATTCTGAAATTCTAAGATTTTAAGAAATGCTTTTTATATGATTATTGTAAATGAACTAAGAATAAAATCTTGTTTACATAGAAAAAATATTGAATCTTTTTATGAATATTTATATTATTTTCTTACGTATTGATGTTTTAACGAAGGCTAAAATTTTACTTTTCAGCAGTGAAAGGGAAAAAGACTTATTATATATATCAGCAACTAGATTTGATGGTCTGGATATTCTGAAAAAAATGATTGAAGATAAACTGATGGAAAATACAGGAAGACTTGTGAAAGTTTTCAGAGTACCTTCTGGAGGAATGGAAATGAGGTATATTAATTGAAATTATTTATTTTCAAATATTATTTGAATAATATAGCAGATTGAAACTGAATAGTGAGAAGATATTACATATCGTAGTCGGAGTCGTTCGAGCTCTTTGGCACGTGCTAGCCGTATTGTTCCTTTTCTCGTAAAAATGTAGATTTAGTTGGATTTGTNACTTACAATCAACGCTGAGACTAAACATCATTATTTTTTAACTTCTTGCATTTAAGCTATATTTGTAAAACTATATCTAAAATGATATTGACATTTAAAAATTATGCAATCAAATTTACATTAATTGAAATTAATGATTAAATATCTTTTTGTATTAAATTACAACATTTTACACATCTTTCTGTTCAAGTTTGGTTATTAACAGTTGTGTTTTGAGTTTTAAGGATTCATTTTTTAGAATTATTTTTCTTCATCTGTTAATTAGTTTCTCATTTTCCCAATTGTTAAAAAAATCCAGCAATGACTTGCTTCACTTTCCTGGTGCCATCTGTTATATTTTTAACTATTATAAAATGGCAAAAAGCTTAACTTTGAGGATAGAGATGGGTTTTACAAAAAATTGTAAATGTTAATAACGAGTAAAATTGTCATCGAGTCCGACCCTACTGGATAGATACACGACCCCCCATTATTTCTCCTTCCCCGCCCCTTGACTTTTAATCACCAAAATTTAATAGCACCAATCCCCTAATAAACAAACCTCCCTGAAAAATTTCAGGAGTTAAGCTTCAAAGATGGTGTGCCAAACATGCAAAAAAACTAAGAGGGTATTTTTTGTATTTTCTCAAGGTCTCCATTTTTTGATTGATTGCCTTACTTTCCTGGCTGTTCCTATGTAACAATTTGAATTTAATGCTTATATTTTTTTATGTGCCATCTCTTATATATGCTATTATTCTATTATAAATGTAATCTCAGCATTCAATATTAAAAACTATAAGATTATATGTAATAAAAATGCAAGTATCCCTTGTAGACCATTGTTTCTTTCTATATTATTATTGATAGGATGAGACCTAAAGATGAGTTTATAAAAACTGAACCAATTGTGAAACATGAGTAAGGATTGGAAGCATTGTTGGTGCCTTTTAAATTCTTAGCTTTATTTGAGAGTTGTTTGCTTGTTAACCATAAAAAATGAAGAAATCTTATATAATTACAAACATTTTCATTATATTATTGTATTTTTTTTAACTTACCAATGTCCTAGTCATTTTTCTTTCCCTAACCCCTTATTGTTGGCAAGAAATGCCTGTATATTTTTAAAATGTAGTAATTTAATCTTTGTTTTTTCAATACAAGATAAATAATAATTTTAAGAGTTAGCTTTTTATATATAAAATACCAAATTTAAATTTCTATTCTATGTCCTTCACTGTATGTGGATGAATAATTGATAATTTCAATTACAGACTAAAAAATGCTTGGAAATTCTTAGTGTAGAATTAATTTTATGTAAATTGTAATACCTTATTTTGGCAATATTAATGTACCAAGAGTATTGAGATGGTAAAAAAGGAAATATTTTAATTAGTAGGATGAATGATAAAGTTAATTTTAGTACCTATAAATTTCTTAAAAATGATGATGCTGATTTTAATTATTGTTTTGTCATTTTGTAATGGCAAATGTAACTAATTGATTTATTATTTCTGAAAAATAAGCTATAAATTCCATTAATATAAGAAAAGTTTCTGTAATCATTTTATTTATTTTAACAGGTGGCTTTATAAAGAAGCTAATGTTAAAGCAACAATAGCAGATACTACAGATCCAAACTTTTTATTAATGGAAGTAGTGATATCACAAGCAGTACTGTCGAAATACATTCATAATTTCGGCAATAGTGCAATAAATCAATAATACTTTTTCGATAAATTTTTTTGCCTTAAATAATTTGAGACAAAAGTTCGTTCTGTTCTGTTAGAGGCACGTATTTATAACAATTCATTCCAAAACATGCAATTATAACTTTATTTACTGATGCTATTTAAAACTTTTCATAAAATAAAAGAAAAGAAATTGTTAAATGGTGTATTGAGCAAATATGCCTCTTCTATGAACTCGAGTCTTAAAAAAACCTTGGCACTCTTCGAGACAGGCACTTTTGCTATGATCTCTCAGGCAACTTTATGTATTCTAAAGCAATGGTCACACCTAGCAATTCCAGCTGTGTAGGCAACTGCAATAAGCATAAGTTGCATACGTCTTGTAATGTCAACGAACAACGTGACCACAACAACTCAGAAACACCTGACATTATAATAAACCAACATTCACTTCACATCCACTTTGCCTGCTATCTTTTACCTTTTCCTTTTTTAATGTGAAGGAATGTCATTCACAAATGATGGTACTTTTAATTTAGTAATGATAATATTATTTTAAATATAGCTAAAAAAACTAAACTGAAAACAGTACTTACAATCAACGCTGAGACTTTTGGTTATCTCATGGCATGCCAGTGCTTACAAATGAAGAATTAAAATTTTGTGGGCATTCGTGAGCCTGTATCAGCCGGATTGGTATTCTCACTTTCTGCCATGATGATAACTATTTTCAAGGTTGTTAGTTATCGGAAATAGCTGGAAATCGCAGGGGGTGATCACGGCTTAAGATACTAAACTAATCAATTCTTCCTATAGAAATATGTAGTCTATTCTGTGGTCAAGAGGTATTTTGAAATGGGAATATTCGATATGTGGACTCCTCAGTGCCTGTCGATTCCTTACGTAAACTTTGATCCAAAGTAAATTCAAAATGCTGAGCATTACAATTATTTGATTGTTTTCAGTGTGGTTTAAAAACACTGTTATTTTATATATATATAAATGACTAAATTGCTAAAATTTTCTTTGCTGAACCATGAACACCATTCATTTCAAAGAAAATTATTCTTTGTACGGACGGCTAGATGTATGTTTTGGTTGATGCATCCACGCATATTTTACGTGCTCCTGTTTCTTAACTCAATTTCATTGCACTTACACCGAATGCAGCTTTTCTTCAAAATGAAATTTAACGATAAATGCTATCTATGAGCTCTTCTATTTCTTTCGTTGTCTTCTTTACTTGATGATCTCCTCCTAGAAAAAAAAAAAGAGATCATCTAAATTGTGATGGAGAGAATGAAAAATTATTAGTTAGGACAAAAAAATTTGTAATTGAAGAGAATATACCTAAAAGAAATGTGTTAAATGTAAGAAAGGTACGCTCACCTTAATTAGTGTAAGAGTTATTAGCATACAGGAAATAGAAGTGTAATCATCACAAAAAAGTTAGATGGAAAGAGGCCCAAATATAGCCCTACAAAGAGTTTACAGAATGCAAAATTTTTTGAAGTTTGAATAAATCGATTAGCAGTTGGTAAGATTTAGTTGCAATGAACAAAGAAAAAAGCATCATACAGTCAACCACGTAAAATGACTATTGCTTTTCTATTTGAAAATAACATTTGGATGTTTTTTCCAAGTGACGTATGTATATATAGTAGAATGAAAAGCAATCTAACAAATTTTCATCTTAAATAAGTTACACCGTAAACAAATTTACTATAATGATCTATTAAAAAATTCAAAAGAGATAGATTATTTTCAAGAATTTATTCCCACTTCTATTACTTGGTGATTTTGCTCGTATATTTTAAAGCAGCATGGCATAAAACCTATTAATACTTTATCTACACAAAACAAGAGATGGAATTGTGTTTATAGGCATATTGTCCAGCTGACTTAGCTTTGATCTTTGATGCAAGTAGACATGCACAAACTAAACTAGTCTATTTGTAAAATAGGGGTGATGCATTTTTACATATAGAAGTTACTTTTTGTTTTTCATCTCTGTTTAATTGGGTTTTTTATTTTATTATAATTTGGGAGTGGCAATTATTGTCTTTTTTTGGCATCGCCATTGTAAAAACTCAAGAGACGTGTCTCTTTCTTCCGAGGAAAAACAATCTTTTCTTTTAAGACAGACAGTAATTTAGGAATTGACAGAACTTTCTTCTCTTTGACGTAGAAAACAGATTGTTCTTCTAATCACATCACAATCAAAGTCATCTAATGCCCTTTTTTTTTAATGTTTTCTCAGTGAAGTGAAATTTGGCTCATCTTCACTGTCTGTTTTTAGGTGAATCTTTTTTATTTGTTGACAATGATACTCCAGCAATCTGACTTTCATGGTTTGTGGAACATAGAAATTTCTATCATTCCCATTGCAGTATTGAATGGTGTGGAAAATCTTTTTAGTTCTGTCACGAAAGGGTTTCTTATGAGATACACCATCTATGGTAAAAACAAGGAAGCATGCAAAAAAATATGAAAGAGAAATGTAATTTACTAACAACAAATGAATGCTTTAGCATGGCTTTCTATCTATTGCCCCTCCAAGAGAGTTGACAGGTGTAAGTATACTGACTGAATTATATATATATAAATTAAATGTAGATAGATATTTTTGATGGTGTGTTTGTCAAGAATAGAAAAGAAATTTATGACAGGAAAAGTAAAAATGTACCATTTTATATATTGTTATCAAGTTATACTAGAAATCACAAAAGATTGCATATGGCCTGAAGATCAGTTTCCCTATTTATGATACAAGCTGTACAGTATATTAAATGCAAAATTTAGAAAAATTCTTGTGCTCCTACACTATTGTTGAGTAAGCCAACATCGAAATTTCACTCTAAAAGTGGGTCAGAATGATAGACACTTGAGATAGGCACTTTTTGGTGAGTTAGATAGCGATTCTCTTCCCCTTCTTCGGCTTTCAGAGGAATAATACTTCTCTGATGAAAATAGGCATGTCACTAATTAATAAGGATGAGTGTAAACTCTTTGGTTATGCATGCTATCTCCAGCAGATGATGATAAAAATTTAATGTCTCTACTATGGGAAAATATTTTTCCAAAAATTCTTGAAAATGGAAGTAAATAGAACCTCTTTTGTGTTAGGATCCTATTCAATTCTTCTGTTAATGTAGGGTTCAGAATTTTGAAAATCAAATTCATTAATTTTCTACAAGTTTAAAAACTTGTAGAAAATTAACAAATTTGATTTTCAAAATTCTGAACCATATAACAATACTACATGAACTGCCGTATAACATTGGGCTATATATTGGTCATAATAATTAAATTACTAATAAATTTGACCCTAAAGAGAGGTGTTAGGTGCCATCTTGTATTAAATTTAATAATTTTAGGTTAAACTGAAAGAAAAGAATTAGCCCGAAGTGGGACTCGAACTCGCAAGTCCCGCTTGCCGTGCGGATGCGTTGCTAATTACACTATCTGGACCTACAGTCCAATCTCCTCTTCCAGTATATTTAACATAAATTTGACCCTAGAGGGAGTCATTGGGTGTTTCCCTCGAGGGTCAACTTTTATAGTGATGATAATTATAAATTACTAATATATAGAGTCCAATGTTATAAGGCAATTGATGTAGTGTTATTGTAATGTATTGGGTTTCATAAGATGTTTATATTTACATATCTGAACCATATGTTAATAGAAGACTTAGAATACCAATGCAAAAGCAGTTTGGTTCTACCTGTCTATTACTGTTTTTGAGAATTTTTGGAAAATAATTTTTCCATAGAAAAAACATTAAATCTTTAACACAGGAGAATGCATCACATCCTTAAATTAAATTACAGGGTGTTCATAAACCATGTTTATGAGCGTCCTATAATTTAATTTCCTATAGAAAAAATATTTATAAAATGACTACTGTACATAGAAAATTAATTTCCATACTATGAAATTTTTCTTTCTTTAAATAAATAACAGCAGACAAAAACAAGGAACTGTTTGAATACAATATAAAAATAATAATCTGAGAAATTTTTTCAAATGAATTTTTAAAATTAATACAGCAGGGTCTTGTTTTCACAATGATTAGGTTAATCCTTGGCTAATTATTTTCATTATGAAATTCATTGCAGAGAAAAACTAATAGTATAAAAATCAGAGTGACTTTCTACAGAATCTACCTTTTAGAATTGCAGAATTCTGTCTTTAAGGAAAAATTATCAAAATGAAACAAAACCGATTCTAATGCAATCATCAAGAAAGCAGGAAAAAGGTAGGGGGATGTGTGAGTGTGTACAGTATGCAAGTTGTGTAAAAGTAAAACTTTTGACACTACCTAACAAAATCAAATCCACATCAAATACATTTTGATGTTTTTCTGTTAACTGTAAAAGATAAATCAAACTAACTATAAAAAGCAGAATTAAAAACTGAAGTTAAATCATGTTAGTGTTTCATATTGAACAGTCATTAAAATAACTCCTTATTCAATTCAGGAGTAAGAATATTAATTTAATAATTAATTTTTCTAAATATTATACAATGAAAAATAAATGAAATCATATGTTGGTGCCAAGCAATTCTCATGAGCCAAATTGTATGTGGCCTGGATACATATGGATACAAACATAGGCTTACTTTTTGTATATATGGAATATACAAAAAGTAAGCCTATTTCTATCATTTATAAGAATGTGTCATATGTTTACAAGCCGGATTTGGCCTGGGAATCATATTTTGGATGCCACTAGACTTTTCAGGGTGCAGCACAACTGCTGGGCACCTGTAGAGCATGTAACTCCTGCAAAAAGCAAGACCATAGTGTATTTGTATCTTTACAAAAACAGTTCTAAAATCAGAGAATTTATTCACTTGAAAAATATGTTTAAATAATTATTCGACATAAAAAACTGTTTTCATTCTTTTGCTATTATTAGTTATTCAACATGTGTTAATTTTTTTAAATAGTATTCCTTATTATCCATTTAGTGAAAGAGAAAGAAAAATAATATACAATGGAATCCCAATCTGGCAATCAAAAGTACAACAAAAGTACAACAATCCCAAGCTGGCATTGTTGTACTTTTTGCTGCTGTAGCAATATGAATTCTTAGAAAACAAGGAATAATCTGTACAATACAGATAGTAACAGTCTTGATACGCACTGTGCAATATATATATTTACTAATATTCAACTTCAAAGTACAACTTTGAAGTTGTACTTTGAAGTTATTAATAATTTTTCTCTCAGAAATTAGTATTCTATACTCAATTACTGAAAGCAAGAAAATCCTAAAATTAGTCAAACATCTATATATGCCACACAATATATAGAAATAATTCAATTACTGAAATATAAATAAAGTTTTTACAATATCAATAAAAATCTGTCTTATTTATAATGTGATTAGTGATATGGCTACTATATCTAATGGATCCAGTAACATTTTTTTAATGACTGTTAATGTCTGTAATTGTCATAAGAAAGTTTACTGAAAGATTCTATAAAAGTGGAATCAATGTTAAGAAAAATATTGATGTTGACAGTTAATACAAAACTTTTGCCAATAAAATATTTACACATTTCATATAGTGCTAATTAAGGTGACTAAACAAATATTTTTGGCTCACTTTGATTAATAATTAACAATAAATACAGTATATTATCTTAATTTTCAACATTACTTGTTTTGTTAAACGTTATGTAAAATTCCAAATTTTTTTAACTGCTAAAAGTTGAATAATAATATTCTAATATGTAACACAACACAGCTTGAACCTAATGCCAAATATCACATAAAACACAATATTCTAATGTAAATGGAAATATTATTATTTTAACACTGCACTCAGTGTGTTTTTACTTTTAAATTTTGTTCACCAGAAGACGTTGAATATAACTTCATTGAGAGCGCTAATGGAAAAAAAAAACTGTTAACACTGAGCCTAGCATGTCTGTACTTTCTTTTTATCTAATCTGTAAAAGTGGATTATCTTTTACAACTTAAACTTTAACCAGAAGAACATAAATATTTATATTGTTATTCTAGAACAGTGTTTCCCAACCTGTGTGTGAGTGTGGCCTCAGGTGTGTGACAGAAGTATTTTGTTCAAATTGGATACCTGAACACCTGGCAATATTCTTGTAAATCAAGCCATCAAATTTCCAAAAGATCTATTTCTATTCAATATTTGAAAGATGAACATTTATAACTTTAAAAATTTTATTAAATCCGGAGTTTACCCTTAAAAATGATGTAATTTTGTTCTTGACAAAACAATATAGAAACTACATTGTAATTAACATACCTAAAATTTAATTTTATTTGCAAGTCATTTATATTTTTCTTTCCTTCATAAAATGAAGATTTGATTACTTCACATATTTATTAGTTNTTATTATATTTTTTTTCTTATTAGTATTCATTACTAAAGTGATAAATTTGAATTTATTTTAATTTTAATAGCATAGAATAAAAAAGCTTATCAAAAATTAATTTTTTTTACAATAATCAAATTATGTTTTACTTTCAACTTTACATTAATTCGTTACTTCAAAGCCAAATTTATAAAATATTCAAGTTAGTATAAAATATGAAATTGAATGCTACTTAAATGTTACTAGTTAATTAGTAAAATAGCATTAATTTCTTACATTTAATGGTTTTATTTTAAAAATAATAAACTTATAGAAGACATTTACTTTCAGGATGTAATCGTTCACGTTCGTGATATTAGTCATCCCGATCAAATTGCTCAGAAAGATAATGTTCTAAATACATTAGAAAATTTGAATTTACCTTCTTCCTTATTAGATTCTATAATTGAAGTAGGAAATAAAGTTGATTTATTAAAAAGGTAAGTTTTACAGTGCCTTAAATATAATTTAATAAAGAAAGAAAGATAAGAAATACAGTATTTTAAATTGTCTTATTACAATGTTATAAATTGATAAATTTACAAGGTTTTGTCAATCAATTTTTATAGTAGAAATAAACTTGCTATTTATGAGACATACTTTTCACATAGCTATAGGCATTCTGATAATGTTCTTAAAATGGATTTTACAGCATATATTTTTGAAATTTACANCATAGACAGTTTCCTGTGGAATGCTTCCGATATCTTGCCAAATCCACATGCAACTAAACACAAGCTATCTTGTAAGCTTTACCATTAGAAAAATACCTAAAGAAGTGATTTTTTTTTTTGCTACTTTTTAAAAAATAATTTTCATAAAAAAAACTAAGTGTGAAGTGCAAAATAATGTTTAAAGTAAATAATTTTATGTTTATCAAAGTCGGTTTTTCCCTTTCATTTTCCTTATTTTATAATCTCTGAACAATTAAAACATTTTGTTGTTTTAAAGTAAATAATTTTATTTTAATCAAAGTCGGTTTTTCCCTTTCATTTTCCTTATTTTAACAGATGAAAACGAATAAAAAAAATGCGACTATTTCGTTAGTGTTCGGAAAAAAGTCGCGGAGGAATTTGCTTCCTTGGCTCCCTTGCCAATTTTTTTTGCCGAAAATATGCTTGACTAAGTGTAGCCGTCTGCAGGCAGCAAAAATAATATGGTGCATTCAATACAACTTATGAAAAGGGGTGCAGAATATCTTCAGATCCAAAATTTCTTCTAAGCATACACAAAATTTCCCCAAAATTTATAAAGTACAAATGATAAAATTATTTACCATTTTTAATTTTAATAATTTTGTGGCATAATGCAACAATTTGATTTTATAAAGTTCAGGAAATTTATTAAGGGATAAATTTAATAAATATATACTTTTGAACGTGGATTATATAGGATTTGTTAATGGATAATAATAATGGCTTTTTTCTTTTTTCAAAGCCATGTATAAATTTATGGTTGTGGATAAACTACTTTAATTTAATAAAACATTTTATTTTTAGTTTTAATAATTTGGCAATTATAAAAAATACATAACTATTAATNCATTTGTTAGTAAAAGAAAAAATAGAAAAATTATGTTTTGGTATCATTCTTATTTTACATATATGATATTTTATAATTGAATATTTTACCTTTAATACACGATACCATTTTCTTGATAATTTTGGTCTTCCCCTCACCGTCTTATGCCAAACAATAGGAAAATTTGTGAGACTACAAAAATTTTGTGTAACTGCTATGGTGTTATCCATATTTAAAACAACATGCCACCAACCACCTGGAACAAATACTGTTTCTCCAGGCTTTTGCAGTATTTCTAGCTGTTTTTAAGAACAAAAATTAAAAAGAAATATTTCAAAATGTTGTATTATTATTAGTATAATTTTAACTTACAGGTTTGCAATCTTGAGGCCAAGATGGTTGCAGTGTACGAGGATATATATGTTTAAACCATGTGATTGCTTCATCTCCTTGTTTTCCTCCTTCTTCAGGATGCACTTTGATCAATTCACGAGGTGTATGAGTAGGAAAAAGGCACCATCTTTAAAATATACACATTTTTTGATTAAAATTTAATTCTGTTAATCGTTTATAATTACAATTGAAAGTTACCTTTTATGACCATGAATAAGAGCATTCCAGGCACTTGTACCAAGAGGATCTATGTGAATACCTGTTCCAGATCGAGCTGACCCCATAACAAACCATCTATATGGAGGTCTTTTGTCTTCGCCAGCATATTTAAATAAATCATCACGAAAATAAATGGGTACTTCATAATCTTCTAATAATTTTTTTCTACGAACATGCTGAAAAATATTTTAATTTTATATATATATATATATAATTTAAAAATAAAGTTGTTCTGCTTTTAGAAACAAATTCAAGAATCTGTTTGAATATTTTTGGCATATTTTTAGTTAATTAGATTTTAACTAAATTATATAAATATCAACATAGTGAAAAATTCATTTATATACTTGGTATAAAGAATATTTAAATAGTAAAATAAGATAACATTTCTGACACAAAACAGATTTAAAAATAAGAATGTTGCTAATAGAATATATTATAAATTATCAGAAATTATGCTACAAACATTAAATTAGAAATTACACGATAAGAGATGGCACCTGACATCTACCTCTACTTGTTCTTAATGAAACACTATAAACATCCCAAGAACCCAGTGTATTAAATTATACACTTAAATTTTGTCATCTACTTTGATAATGGATAGGTAAAATTGTAATATTTAAGACCAGAAGTAGGATCGTGAATCACCAGTTTCAAGAAAGATAAAAAAGATTTCCCAGTGGTTGGCTATTTAGCAGAATTAGCCCTATAATTCATTGAACATCCAGTAATAGAAGCCTTTGGAGTAGTCCTGTAGAAGTAAGACAATCTGTTAAGCTTCTGAAATATGAAAGCAAAAATGCAAGGATCTGTAGATAGAATAAACAAAAATAACTGAGAGGTTCAATTGCAAGTATAGCAAGTTAGCAGAACAGAGATAGCCTTTTAGATTATTGCATTTATGAGAGGAAAAACAGTTGCAGACAACAGTGTATAGGACAGTTTCTTATTCCTTCCTATACACATAGCAAGTCAAATACTCCTTTAAGTTAGCACGTTTAGATTTTTCTTAAGAAGAGTAAAATTATTCAATTTAACTTACAAATGGATGTTTTGGATATTTGCGATGAAATAATTGAACGGAACAAAGAAATAACAATATGATACTAGTTCAAAAATAATATTAAGGAAATCAAGAGATCTATTTGAAATATGTTTTAACACTGAATAGATATAATTTTCAAAATGTGAATTTTTGTATATTTTGCATAATATACATTCTAAATTTTGGCATTTTAGTAAACAAGGTTCATCTGCGAGACATAATCAATAATTATTATTATAGTTAATAAAGAGATGTGAAAAATAAATATATAATTAACATATATTACTTTTTATACAGAAACATTTTTACAAAGTATCAATTAGTAATAACCAAACTTCAAATCTATTCTTGTGGAAGACGATAAGAAATTCTTTATGAATTTTCTGCCACACTTGTTTTAATTTATATTGTATTCCTTTTCCTCTACTGCTGAATGAGAGTTAATTAAATCTATTAAAACTGTTTTCTTCTGAAAAACTTTTTGCCGTCTTTCCTACACATGTTTGTATTTTCTTTCATTTTATGCAACATCAATCACAAAAAAAAAAAAAAACTAATTGGTTAAAAATTTCAAATTAGCAGGAAAGAGCAATTTTAAATGTAAAAATATTCATTAAGCCATGGGTGTTATTTCTTTGTGAAAATCAATTTAAGCCTAAGTTTGGGATCAGTCAGTCCATAGAAATAGCATAAAACACACGAAAAATGGGATTTAGTGAACTTTAAACAGGTACACATAGTACCTGTTTAAAGTTCACTAAATCCACGGGTTTGGACAATTAGTAGACAGAAGAAAAGTATAGTAAAAGTAGAGCCTCATTTTTCTTCCGTCTACTAATTGTCAATTACAAGAAACAAAGCTGCTGTCCATATCCAAATACAATAGTTAGATTAAGTATGCTGCATGCAGAAGAACAGTTTATAGCATTAAAAAAATTGTAAATACCAAACTAAGTTATTTTTCAAAATTAAAACAATTTTCTTAGTTGATAAGTGATATGTTCAAATGATTAACTGATTGATTGATGTAGAATGGCAAAGTTTAATGTAGTTCTACTCGTTTCAATTCAGTGAAAATTTCTGAAGATAAAAGCTGAAGTTTCTGAACACACCTTAGAGATTACATTTTAAAAAAAAATGTTGTAATTTCCAAGATGTGTTGTGTTTTAATTTCCATTTGTTAGGTAGATATCAAGAGAAATGTATACTTTAAGGATAAAATCCTTTGATCCAATCTATCAATATATGATAAAAATAAAAGTAATTAGATTAAGATTTATAACTGATTAAGAAATTTAATTTATAAAATATTATACTTCTTATCAATTAAATTAAATTAATTAAAACAATTTGAATTTAATTCAGATTAGAGATTAATTAGAAAAATCATATAAATTTTTGTAAACAGATAGAAAATTATTTTGCTAATATAAACTAAACACTAGTCATATTCAACAGTTTAAGAACTTCATTCTCTTCTGTGAATCATTAATGATAATGAGCCAAAATAACTTGCAATAAATTAGAAATAGCCAAAAGGAAGAAAATACAAATTGCTTTATTAAATATTTAATGTCTTCAGTTAATAAAAAAACAGTTAAAAACATGTTTACGTGCTTTTTAACTATCAATATTGCTTAAAATATAATTTACAGAGCTTAAAAATTAGTAAAATATAAAACATAAAAAGATATGAAAGATGTCAACATTCGGTACAGCTAAAAATGCTTTTAAAAATTAAATTTCAAGTTAAACACAAAAAATGAAACAAGAAATAGAAATTGTTGAATCCCTCCTTATGGAAACAAGATTGGTCAAGACTGATAGTGTGCTCCACAAAAGCGAATCAAATATTTTTAAAATAAAATTATTATTATATTAAAAATGTTCAGTTCCTTTTGTGCATGCGCGTGGACATGTGCAATGAATGGATTAAATAAAACATAACACTTAGGCAACGATAGTGAACAGAGTCATTACGCATACATGTGGATGAATCTAACAGATCCACAAAAGTCCTAACATAAGCACTTCACCACTATCACGGAGTGTGCTAAAGACTGTCGTCTTACAAATACAGTAATAGAAATTAAATACTTGAAATTGCATCTAATTTTCACCATAACCTTTTCATTACTAACATAACAGATATTAATAATAGAAACACACAATATAATGAGCAATTATTAATGTCAGCCTGCAATCTTAATCATATTTTAATTTAAAAATAAGCTTTCTGTATCTGGTCTAGATTTTCATTTATCTAACTCCATTCTCAAGAAACTTTGAATAGAAATCACACAACTTCCAGTTCAGACTGGAAGTTCATATATAGTTAATCAGAGCCTCCAGCCCCTAAGCTTTCCATAGATCTACTGTTATCAAGATTAATGAAGGATGGATGGATGACAGTGGGAATGTATAGATTTGCAATTTGAAAACTGCAGCCCAATAATAGGCATATATAATAGAGACACAGATCATCTTACATAAGAAATAATACTTAAAACCTTAAGTACTGATAGAATTTATTGCAAGATGATAATGAAAAAGCCATAAGCTTATAGAAAGTAATGAAATGTCAGCAAAATTTTTGAAAACAACATTATAAGTGTCATTTCCTAATCTCACCAAACTGTACAACAGTATTTAGAAAATAAAATAGTTCTGAAACAATAGCTAAAATCTGAAATAGTCTTTATTCATTAAAAAAAATCTGAAGATAACAAATAGGTCTTACAAGATTTAACAGTTAAATACTGCATGTATTTTGTTCATAGTATTCTCCTACTGCCAGGGTCAAATTTAGGCATTTCTAGCTCCCTAAACTGAACTCTGTGTGAAGCCCCTTTACAATTTTAGAAGTCAATCATAAAAAGAAGAGAATTAATATATTTATGTTAACTCTCTTCAACAATTTTTATTGTTAAAAAGTATTTGAGGCCCTAAGTTACAGCTTACATAACTTACTCATAAATCTGACCCTGTCTACAGCATCAATACAGAGTTGCAGAGGTTTTCAAGTTCTTACTGGGCTGTGCAAGTCTTCTTTTGGTATGGTATGAAGTCCCAATGTCATAGCTTGTTGGTTGTCTTTAATGTCTTGAAAATGATGTCTCTTTCTGTGGTGGCTTTAATTTGGGGAACAAAAAATAATTGCATGGAGATAAATATGGGGACTGGTGAGAATCATTAAGCTTATGTATTTGTTTTTGGACCAAGTATTCCTGGACAACTACTGCCCTGCGAGTTGAAGCATTATCTTAAAGAAAGTATCAATTGTCGTTCTATAAAACTCATATATAACTGCCAGTGAAGTTTGATCCTCAGGAACAAATTGATGCGAATAATTCCTTTGGTGGCAAAACTTTGTAGAATAATTTCAGTTCAATTGTAGAAATGGTGATTCCAGTTTCAACACACTGTCTTTGATTTTTAATATTTTAAACTTAATTACCATCCAACAATATTTTACAATTGAACTGAAATTCCTTTACTGTTGTAAAAACACACTACTGTAGTTAGATGTCCAGCCTTGTCATCATCATCAAGAATATCCAGACCACATTTGAAGCAACCAAACCACCTGAATATTTGTGCACTAGATAAACACGTATCACCATACACTTCTACATCAATGTTATTGTTTTATTTTCCAAGTTTACAACAGAATTTGATCTTCACTCTCTGTTCCATGGCACTTTTATGACAATATTCTTACACTATCCTAACAAAATAGTGGTAAATTTCCCATCATACTTAGTGTGGAACCATGTGATATTGTTAGAAACACTACAGAATGTTTGCATTTTTTATTATATGTCATTTATGTATTGGTCAATATGATGTCTGTTTCATTATTTAATTGTCAGACCTTAATTTCAAACAATTACAAAATATTCAATGAAATTATTTAAAATAAAATAGTCATCAATTTGAATCAAAACCAACTAAATACAGTAGAGCGTCGATTATCTGAATCAATTTTGGTGACGGGTTGTTCGGAAAATCAATTTTTCAGATAATCGATTATGTACGAAAAAATACATTATTAATATAGTACAGTGTTTCTCAATGGGGGCGATATCACCCCCATGTGGGCGTTTTTCCATGTTGAGGGGGCGATTAGTAACATTTTATATTTGGGGGCGAAAAACAATTTTCTAGGGGATATAGTAAAACATTATATTAAGAATAATTAAATATTTTATTCCTTATATCGTACAATAATTAAACAAATAACATTATACTAGTCACTAGTCTATTCAATGCAGTACGAATTTGGCGTTAGCCTTGGCCCTCGACATCGAAATTTTGAAGTGAAGGGGGCGATACTAAGTTGAAGGGGGCGACGATTCGTTAGATGTTGAGAAACACTGATATAGTATATTAGTATATCCCATGTTTAAATTTTTCTCTGTTGTGTGTCGCTTTGCGCTGAATTTTTGTCCATGTTAAGACTAACAAAAATTTTTATAATAATAATCGTGGCTATTGTATCATTAAAAATTATTTCTAAATTTTGTACAAACAAAATAAATATATTGAAAAATATAAAAACAAAAAAATTATACTTTAGAAGTTAATCTAGTATCAAAAACGTTGATTCAGCATGATGCAGTCGGACTGGAATGCTTTCAGTTAACCAACGTTTCGGTTGATCGACATTCGGATAATTGATGCTCTACTGTATAAAACAGTTTTAAGGAAAAAATTTTCCAGAGTTAAACACTTCCATATTACGAGTAAGATAAATGAAACCTATTAAAAATACAATAAGTCTTTTTACAGCCTTTATTAATATCAGAGGCATTTGATTCTGTTGAATGTCAAACAGTACATAAAGTATTACAGAACCTAGATACAGAGAATAAATACATCAGAATATTATAGAATATCTAAAACAACAGTAGCTCTATTATTTTTTCCAGCTATGAAGATAAAAAACAGACCTCTACTCAGTTTAAAACATGGAAATATTACAGCCTAAAACTATTAAAATGAAAGACATGGCCCCATGATCAGGTCTTTCCATTTTCAGCATTCTGATCAAGCATCTCATCAGAAACTTGGAAAGATTGATGAGATCATTCAATAACATTCAATTCAAAACGTTTCATTCAATAACAATGAACAAAGAAATAAATTCTAGAAGTGCAAAATCATGGAAAAGTTACTAGTGCTTAAATGAGCGAATGATGTTTTATTTTTCAGCATCAAAGGTAAAATTTTCTGTACAATTATATTATTAACATATAAAATTATTACTGAAGTTGAAACTATTCTGTAAATTATTTCACAATAATCTTTCATATGTTTCCAGCACAGAAGTCAATGTAAAAACAAATATGCAAACTTTTTCAGTCTTATTTAGGGACCATTGTCAGGTTTTAGAAGATATTTTTGTTCTTTATAAGCCAAACTTCAGCTTACAAAGAACAAAAAAGTTACCTAAATGAGGTCAAAAATGTTCACATTTTTGGCCTCATTTAGGTAACTTTTTTGCTAGAAACATAGGCAAGGTCAATATGAATTAATTTTTATTACCAACTTTTACTTATACCACTCAAATTTGGTCCTTAACAGAAAACAAATGAAATTATTCTAATGATACAAAAAGTAATGGAAAAGAGCATACTGATAATATTATAGAAGGCTAAAGTCACTATTAAGAGAGAAAAACAATGAAAACCAAGAACACAATTGTATTCTTGAATTTTTGAAATGGAACTGGTTGGAGAGTTAATTTGTTCCATTGATTGATTATCTTGTGTTTGCATTAACAACAATTTGACTTCCAGAGATAAAGAGAAGCTGTGGAAGACAAAAGATAAGATAAGATGAAGATAGCAAATTAAAAATAATAAAAGCAGTTGGGGAAGCCATTGCCCAGCAATGAAATGTAACAGACTAACAATAATAATGATGTTAATTATACATCAGTTGACAGAATCTATATTATCAGATAACAAAGAAGTTATCTAAATTATAAAGATAAAAGAAAAAAAAAATTCACTTTGGGGAAATCTTGTACATGCTTTAAAATGGCATCAGACTTCTTGATTCCATCTTATTAAAATTCACCTTTCACTTACAAGGAATATTGTCTCATTACTAAAAATGGGTATGTTGCAAATTTGTCACCTTGGTCTGCACACAATCATAATACATCAAGTCCCATAGTTTGTACCAACTGCAGCATGTAAAGTTTCATTGATAATCTCTTACACAGAACACTCCAAATGAATATCTGCAGCAACTGTAATAGTCAACTGGCCGGGCATGTAGATTTATGCAGTCTACACTGGAAGATATTTCTAATTCTGTTTACATTCTCTTCCAATACACAAGGTCAACCTGTGCTCTCTGTTTTACACAAGCAACCTTTCCCTGCAAACTGCTTATACCAATGTTATATGGTCTTCCAAGTTTGTGGATCAATTCCAAAATTAAACAGAACAAACTTTGAAACTATTGTTACCAAGTTTGTCTTTGCTAGCTGCCAAATACAAAATGACCTGTGTTGTGGAGTTGACATTTGTCACAACATTGCTCCCCTGGCAATGCAAACTTGAGAGTTTTGCCAACAAATAGTACACATCTTGCAATTGTATCATTAACAGTTCATAATAAGCATATAAAATGTTTCCATTATTTTGGATCATTCTCTATTAATTTTAAATAAATTTATTATTAAGTTATTATTATAATTTAAAAAAAAAACGTATATCCTTTTGTAATTAAGAATGAAATGATGCAACTCAAAATAATTGTCACATAAAAAAATTCTATTTGATCTTATGTGAGTTATATAAGCATATAGCTATTAACCAGAAGTATGAACCTTCATTTCTTATGGGAAATATATTAAAACAATTGTATTAATTAAATAGATAATTGTTTATTTTTGAATTTCAGAAAATCAATAAATCATTATGCTATCACAAGTGACTATATCATATCCATTCCAGGTTTTATTTAGTAGTAAATTTAAAAAAAGAATAAAACTTATAGTTATACAATTCACATTTTAATGTGAGAATTTATATAAATTTTATACTTACTTCTCCAAAACTACTATCAAATATATATAAGGGACTATCATCTCTGTTATGTTCCATATAATAAACAAAATATTTCATCTTCAATTTTACACTATAACCTTCATTATCTTCTCCGCATTTGAATTTCTGGTTGCGATATTTTCTAGCTAGCCTCTGTTGAAGATAAAAAAAAAAATACACATATATATATATCTGAATAATTAAAATAACATTTTACAAATTAAAATGTGTTCTTTTTTTCAAAACAAACAGAATTTATTTTTAACTGAGTGGTAACAAATATCTTTAATATCAATAATAGAATAGAATTTACTCACAAATTCTAAGGCAATCTTATTCAATCTAATAAAAAGAAAATGTGCATAAAAATTTAAAAGACACTACATAATTTTTTTATATTTTAAATAAGAAGCTTTAAATGTTAGCATAGATTAGTTAATTTTTCGGTTGAGCCAGAAAGAAGAAAACTGTATGTATATATAAAGACATACAGGCATTGTCCATTTGTAATGAGCTTTCCAATGATCTGTGCATCCTTTAATAACAACTGGTTGATAGAGTTTTTCATAATGTTCAACAAACTGATCTGGAGACACATCCTTTACGTCAATCCTTTCAACATTATCTCTCACTTTTGATGGATTCATATCAAATGTTTCGGCATGGTTTAACTTAATCCAGCCATCACAATCTTTTTCACTGAGCTCTATTTAACAGAAATAACGGTATCAGTTAATAATAATATACATTAATATTAGAAATTTTACAAAATATAGTTAATATAAATTTAAGTTTAGTAACGTATGTTTAGAACTAAAAGATTAGGATTAAATAAAAAATATGTTAGCTTTTAATTTTACAATTGACATAATTTCAATAACTCAATATACAATATAAAATATATGAAAACATCTTCAATGATGATTTTAAGCAATGTTTATATTGTGTGTTCGAGAAGCTTATAAAAAGGCACTAAGAAAAAGGTTAAAGAAAAGATCAGTAATGGATAATCAGAAAAAGCTCATATAATATATACCATAATAATATGCATAGAACTCTCAGTTAAAAGCTGTCCAGTTAATATACACAGTACCATTATATGTGTCATAATCTAATTAAAATATTTAAAGTTTTGTTGAATTTAACTAGAGCAAATATCACTTTTCTCAAATTTGAACATTAACCAGATCTGGAATACTCGAATACCCTGTGAACTTAATCTTATGTAACTTATTTAATATTTGACTTGTTTATTTCAATATATTAATAAATTTAAAAAGTAAAGCAATATACTAAATTCTAAGAAATGAAACTTCAACTTTTAATTTTGACTTTGAATTTTAAAATAGCTTTTTTAAGTACACTTATCTCAAGTAAAAAAGATTAAAAATAATTGTTTTTATTCTCACCTATAGCAGATTTTTTTTTATTTAAGAAAATTAGAAATCAAAAATGTTCAGAATCTAGTCTGCTTCTTTTTTTTGCCATATATTAAATCAGAGATACTGTCTACATGTAGTGGTGAAAACAACAGCAAAAAATATTTAGGATGGCAAATATAGTCTTGAGCCCACCAGTGGCCAAGTGGTCTTCGTACCCCGAACACTGGGAGTTCAGTCGTGGGTTTGTGCCTCGCTCGGATGGGCTGGCCACGTGGAGTTTTCCGGCTTTTCTCCACATCTGCAACGCCTAAATAGGGGCCAGTTTCCCTTAAAAGACCTCCCGGAAGGCATCCCCCTAGGCAGATTGCCCAAGTGTTGCATTGCCATAACTTAACAAACAACAACAACAAATATACTCTTCTGCAATACAATCATATGACAATGAAAGCTACTTATTAATTATTCAAACATTTTTAAGTTTTGAGTTAGTCCTCCCCTATGGGTGCTCCTGCATTTGCCACTGTGACTGTATGTATGGTGCATTTGAGGCATTCATAGTATTCAAATTTACTTTTTATCCTGTAATATTCAAGATCTCAAATCTAGAATATTTTCTAATATTTGAGTATTCACCCATCTCTAAATTTAACAAACATTTTAAGTATTCACAAAATTGTTTTTGAAGAAAAAATTAATTAATTAAATTTTTATCATTGTTAATATTAAACATATTTGCTTTACTAGTCTAGAGTGAATACTAGCTGTCAAAAACTGTTTTATAGATTGAATATATAACATTATAACAAAACAATAACTTTGAATTATGTATCAAGATCAATTTGTTTCAAACAGTTGATCCTAAAGTGTATAATATTAATCACTGAACGTAAGAAATTTATGGAACATATTTTCTAATAATCTTACAAAGCAGAATTGATACAATAAATATTTTAAAAAAACTGCTTTTGCAATTAAGAATGTTTTTATTCTATTTACATTAATTAATATATGTAGGACAATATCTGTAGTATGTGTAATGATCTATTTGTTCAAAATAACAATTTGATAAAATTATATCATCAAAAATAATGATGATAAAATCCATCTAAATTACTTTGCTTGAGGCATAAAATTCATTGTTAATTAATGTATATAAAATATTAAAACATTGATATTAGTTAATGATAATTTACAATAGCAGATATACAGTATGTAATTAATTTCCTAGAAGAATCACAACAGAAGGTTTCTTTATATACAAAAAAATGTATTGGAATTAATAGGCTCTAACATTTCTACCAAATCAAAATGAAGAATCTTAAGATGAATGACATGAACATATCTACTTACTATGTAGTATAGCAACAAATCTCAATTCTATGAGCAACAAATATTGATTCTGAAGTGAAACAGACAGATACGAGTAAAAATACTAATGCAAAAAATTAAGTAGAATTTTAAGTCATTAGGTAATAAAAATGCTGAGCAGTTGGATACACTCAAGAATATGACAATGAATATAACTTCTTATAAAATCTCAAATGGAAGAGGGGAAAAGTTAAGCAAAGAGAAACTATTAGTTCTGAAGATCTTAATTTTATGGATATAGACTATATTATTATTCCTGATGAAAACTTCAGAGTGCAGGACATATACCTGAAAGATAAGCTGATGTGAAAGAGAAAAAATACTCTAAAATATTGTACTTAAAATATGTTAACATTCAGTTTTAAAAAAATTTGTTATTAGAAAAGGGAGATTAGGATTGAGACAGGGCAATTTTTGTTGGAATATGAATAGCAACTGCTAGTAAAAGAGCTTAAATTATCTGAAATAATTGGGACAAAAATTTTGGATAACTGATCACACTTGATAGGGAAAGAATAAAAAGACAAATATCTTAAATAAAGTAAAAACATTAATTGTAATTCTAGTAAAACATTAAAAAATGCTTAAGGCATAGAAATTTAAGAAATAAGAAATAAAATAAATTGTATGACTTATTAAAACAAGCACTAGTCTTTCATTACAATATATTGATGAAACTTTGAATTCAAAATAAAAAAAAATATATATTATAAATAACATTAACATTAAATAATGTATAGTACTCATATAAAAATTATTTATTACGATTTGTTTTAGTTTTTTTTAAAGAAGTCACTTATTCTTCTTTATTTTACATAGTTTTTTTCTTAGCCAACTATTCTTTCTAACATCAACCATCCATCCCTTTCATCTGAATTTGTAGTCAGAAAATATACAAAATTAACACACTTCACTTTGTACAAATACTGTATTTTTCCTGTCAGATGAGTTTGGAATTAAAATTTTTTCAGAGAATCTCTTTCTACATTGCTTTAATAACATATTTACCAAATTTGGTGATATCCTGGGGCCATATTCTGGTCACTGTCTCTCATCTCTTGTCTCTCGCAAGCCGGTCACTGATTGGCTAATTCAAATGATTAGCCAATCAGCGACCGGCTTGGAGAGACCAGAGACCAGAGACAGTGACCAGAATATGGCCCCTAGTTGTTTGATAGAATTCCAGAAATCTCTGAATAGGAATGCCTAATTATGACAATTCTGTACATATACAAGCTATAATACTATTAATTTCAATATGGATTCTAGGAAATATCCATAATATGCTATTTTTTTCTTCCTTAAACTGATGGTAATATTTAAAAAAAAAAAAAAATGCATTAAAAGTTTCATACTATTATCTGAATATATATATAGTAGTAGCAAAATATACATTTGTTAAGTTTCTATTCTTATTAATAAGTAGTTATATCTTAATTAGATAAAACTGTATTGATTTATGTTATAGTAACTATAATTCCAATACAGTTTTTTTGTATACAGTATAAAGAAATATTTTATTTAAACTTCTATATAGATCATTAGTGGGCCTACAGAAGATCAACAATTGTTATTAGGTACTGTCTGAAGTCAATTTCAATTAACTGATGTTATACATATATTCAAATGGGAAAAGAGGATCTAGAGAGATACAGATTATGTAAATAACAGATAAAATAACAGCATGATAATAGAAAGATAAATAATAATATAAAAAAAGAAAATATAAAACTTGCATTGACCTGTGTGATAAATAAAAGACATAAGAAAAATAAAAATATTGGTCATTTAAACTATCCATATATAGAAGATGAGAACCAAAAGAATACTAAAAAGAAAAGATATCATACAAGATCAACGAAAGAATATTGACTAAATTTTACAAATACAATATTTAAGAAACTACAGTATGTAAGAAATTGGAATCAAACAGTTTTATGGATGAGACATTGGAGGTCAAGAAAGTGTACAAATAACGAAATTAAATTAATCAATAAAACGTACCTTTAATAGCGAGTAAAGTTTAAAAAGTGTTAACATGACATTTTCAGGCAAGGACAATTGAAAGTGATTCCACTTCCAACTGTTCATGCTTGAAAATGGACTGATAACTAAATCAAGTGTTAGCCTTCTTTAAACTTCACCCACTGTTAAAAATATATTAATTAATTCAGCCAAGTAATGCAGTGGCTAGTTCATATGAAATTACAGATAACACTAGTACAGTAATAGATGATATACAGCTGAATACACACTACATGATTCAATAAGATACTGGAATGACAAATAAATAAGAATATCTATATAATAGGAAATAGATATATAGAAAAGTTCTTTTAAAACATTTCTTTTGTAGGATCTGCAAACAAGAATAATGATGATGTCCAAAATGCCATCATCTAAAGAATTAAATTCATAAATCATGTAAACTTGTTAATATAATATATATTTTTATACATATTATCATAATGTAATTATATATGAACAGTCTTAAGAATAAACTAGAAAATGAAACAAATGATATGAAATAATATCTAAATTTATTACTAAAATAAACAGAAGGAGCATAATAGATTTTATGAAGTTTAATTGATCTTAACAGAAATACTATAACAGGTGTGGCCAAACTTTTATCCCTTAGGGGCTACTTTTTTGGTAAAATATAGCCTGCGGGCGACTATGAATATGGGCAAACAATTTTAGGATTTTTATATGCGCATGCATTAACATTCGTTTGCATTGTTCATGGGGATAAATACAAACAGTATGGGTACATTGCACAGACAGTCTATTATTGTAGGAATAAATTATTGAATTAAGATTTTTAAACATTAATTTAAGTGAAAGCAAATTGTTCAACTTTAGCTTCGCGGGCTTCTTTCAAAACCTTTGCGGTCGACTGCGGTCTACGTGTTGGCCATCCCTGTACTATAATAATAAATCTGACAATACTGATCCTAGAAATGTGCAAATTTTGGTGTCCTATTTTGATAAATATATTTTCAACAATATTTGTTATAATATTGTTATTCTAAAAACCAACAAGTATATATACAATTCATAATTTTTTTGCTTCCACCATCAAAACAAGTAGACACAAATGAAATCAAAAGGATAAAACAGAATAACAACTCTTTGGAAATTAGTTTGGCTTTATGGATCAAGAATGAAGTTATCATTTTGTTACGATAATGATGGAAAATTTAAGAACTTGAATTTGTCTTCATTTAGAGAAGATATACATACAGTATATACGGTTTCAAATAATATATATGATAGGTATTTTAAAAGAAAATGAATTCTTGTGGATACTATTATTATCTAAGACTTACAAGTTGCAATGATAGGCATAAGTGCCTATACTGAGATCAATAATTTTCATGTTAATATCATATCAGATAGCAATTTTGTTTATATTTACTCGTTCCTATTTCCTCTATTGATTGCTGTTTTACAGCCACGTTTTATAAATTACATAATATAACAATATTAGTTCACAAAATACAGTAAATTCTATATTAAAATTGTTCAACTAAAACTATAATAATGGTATATATATGGTGTATTAATGTCTCATATTTCACTATTTTGGATCAGTAATGCATTATATAAGTGAGGCATTATAAAATTAAAAAGTAGATTTTACAAATCAGTGATAAAACCAACAGTATCAAATGCTTATGGCATTGCAGGTTTATACAGAAACTAAACGTGCACTTTTAATAATGGCAATCATATGAGCAGAAATGAAATTTAAAGAAATACATTAAGAATGAAACTTTATAAAGAAAAATATTTGAACATATTGAATATCTTTTAGATGAAGACTGAAATAGCTTGGCCATTTTCTTATATATAAAAATAGATATTTAAAAATGTTAAAAACAGAGAAATTCAACATATGTGAAAATGCTTGATAATCTGTCAACATATTAAAACAAAGTATGTAAATCTGAAATTGTTAAATTATATATAAAAAATAGGAATATCAGACCATATCCAGAATCTTAAAAAAAATACATAGTATACTAAGTATAAAAATACCAAAAATGAGCTTTATTTTTACTTTCAAACACCAAATCCAGATAGGATATCACAAAATTCTACACATCTCCCCAAATTGCATCTGATAACTGCTAAAAGTTTTTCAAAAAATTAAGATATCGATTAATACATTTCACCAAATTTCTATAAAATTCAGTAACTAGGCCTATTCATTAATAATTTCACAATAGTAAATGACCTAACAATCTTTTCTTATATTTTACTAGGATCAATGTTACGGAATATAAACTACACAAAATCAGAGAGAATAGCTCTGTCGCAATTCATTAAAAAAAATAAAGTTTTGAAAAAATCAGTCAATATTTTTTATTCTTTCACTCTTGAGAATAACATATTTACAACAAATAAAGTTAATTTACATTTGATTATAATTTATCAATCTTTATTTTCAATATAATTTTGTTCTGTAATGATGATCAGCATAAGTGTTAATAATGCAATTACCTCATGAAATTATATTCTGTACATAAAACATATAATACCTAAACGAGAATCAATACTATGTGGGCAAATAATTCTTTAAATAAAACTGATTTTTATAAGATTTACAAATTTAATGATCATATTTATAGACTAGTCCACAATAATACTTTTCTTACAGACAAAAATTAAATACGTCTAAACAAAACAATTTAAAAATTGTCACTAATTAGTTTTTATATACTATTTTGAAGTTTAAACTTAAACATAAAAATTACTCCCAAGTAAAAGAAGAACTTTTAGAAAATATTTGAAGTTTTTCTTCTTCTGCAATGCTGGAAACTCTATCGCGAAATACCACAAAAACACACGTTAATCGATCAAAATTTGAATACGTTGAAAATTTGTAGATAATTTCAATTATATTGTAACAAAAACAGTTAGCATTACTTAAGTTTATATAAATTTAAATAATGCCAACTGTTTTTTTTTCTCGATTAAATTTATCGCCGCGAAAACTTAATAAGAATTTCGGTAGAAAATTTGAATTTCTTTCCACGTAACATTAATAACGAAATGATGTTATCGGGACGGTGACTTTACATTTGTTAATATAACCGACATTTTTAAAGAATGCATTTATTCTATCATAATTTTATTGTTTTTATTTCCAATTATGTAATACATTATTCGTTAGTAATGCTGCAAAAGTTTTCATGATTAAGTAATTCTTGTTGAAATGTTCCTGTAACAGATATGATAGTTGACCCCCCCTACAACACTGTTGATTATTCCTTTTTATATGAATTCCATGTTGTACGAGTCACTTGGATTTTACAAATACGTGTGCCCGGCTGTGAACGGCTTATGTATTTGTAAAATCTAAGTGACTCGTACAACATGGAATTCATATAAAAAGGAATAATCAACAGTATTATAGGGGGTTGACTGTATTAGTCCATGGGAGCAAGTTTCATCTTCAAACTTTTTTTTGACAATGAATGAATGAATGAAACATAAAATCAGATCATAAAATTTTTAATTATACAAAAAAATGATTATAAATTAATAACTATATTATTATAATTANGATTTAAAAAAGGTAATTTCTTCTGTGACGTCATAAACCGACACCAAATACTATATGTAACATATAAAAGAAAAAAAGTTTATATTACCTGGCCTCGCTTTTAATTTTGCTTCGGATATTCTCTTATTAGCTCTCCGTTCGAATTTTATATTTTCTTGATCCATATTTTAATTTTTTATATTAAAAACGAATGAAATATTCCCAACTTTCAAACATACCTTACTCCGTCGCCATCTTGTACCTAAATGATTCTTTATTGTAAAGCGCCATCTGTTGAAAATATAATACATCAATTTCAAAACAGGCCATTGCGAAGTGTTCGACTGTGTAATAAAGCATTGTTGTGTGTACTGTACTTTTATTTACGTTATTCTACGATTAAAAAAAAACAATGCTTCGCCCGATTATGCTAAATATTATTAGAAGATTAAATTGCTTATCGAAAGATGATTTGTGTATCAAGGTTGAGAAAACGTTTAGTGCTAATGCAGCATTTGCTCATAGAAACAACAGGAAAGTCGTGCTGTTGAATCATTTCCGAAATTGCACTACCAACGAAAAGGATAACGATAAATCTGAAGCAGTGGATCCCAGTAAAGATAGATCTAAAGTAATTTCACCAGAAACCAGTATTCGCTATTTGGAAAGTAAAGCTTACCGTGATACTTACCAGGATAAACCAGTTTGGGTTCCTTACCGAAGGAATTTTAAAGGAACGATTGCACCTCGCACTAGAAAAACGTGTATAAGGGCAGATAAGATTTCGACGGGTAGCCCGTGTCCCATTTGCAGGGACGAATATTTGGTTTTACACCACACGAATGTGAAACTGTTAAAACAGTTTATATGTCCGTATACGGGGGAAATTTATCCGACGGATAAGACGGGACTGTGCCAGAGACAACAAAAGAATCTTTTAATTGCTATTCAGATGGCTAAAGATTACGGCAACATCAGTTTTGAAGTACCGTTTCGGAGATACGACTACGAAGAATTTTTCTCCCAGACAATTTGTAGTTAAAAGTCTAAAATCTATGTCTTTTTGATTTCTAGATGGTTAACGCTATGATAAACTGTTGTTTAAATATTATAGAAATTTTGTTTTGATTAACTGTTGAAAAGATGATTATTATTTAAAATTCAATTGTATTTATTGGAAGGATTATTAAATACAATAGAAAAATTATTCGTGCTTTTAAAAGTAATTACCTTTTGTTTTTTTTGACTAAAAATAATTACTGCAACCTTCTGTTGCATCTGTGTAGTAAAATTACAATGCAGTTATTGGACAATTTACTTTAAAATTGAATATATTTTTTATTTCTGCTATTATTAAAGTAATAATAATGAAAATTAGCTAAAAACAGTTGAACAATAATTTTCAAGATACCTTGGAAGTAGAGTTTATATTTACATAGCTGTTCCATGTTTAGAATGAACATCTATATGTAAAAAAACAATTATATAAAAATATAATTGTATTAGAAAAAATTCAGTTTTTACATTATATATTTACCGAATAATAAATATATTAGATACTTCAGAGTGTTTCTTAATAAATAATATATTTAAATTTACTATATTTTATTGCATTTAAGATACAGTCCTATTTCGACACAGAATATTTAGGGGAAAAAAGTATTATTATATTTAAGTTATCTTTTGACACTTGCCAAATTTTTTGATTTTTTTACTGTATTCTGGTTTAAAAAAAGTAAAATTAGAATGCACTTATTTATCGGGGAAAAACAGGAGTTTAAAAACAAGTAATTTATTATTAAAATATTCTAGATGAATACATGCAAAAGCTGTTTAGTTATAGCAAAAATAAATAATATGTCTATTAATTAAACAATAATGTTTTTTTTATTGAAGAGTTGGGTTAGGTAGAGGTTACTTGTAGCCTACTGAAGGCCATTTGGAGAATTCATTAAACTATGGAAAATTGCAACTTCACATAAGACTGCAATGTTTTTGAACTTTTTCTTTGAACAACAGTTGCATCTTATATGTTGTAAAATATAGTATAAATTTTTAATTATTTTTATTTTTTCAGAAAATAATGTTTTAGCATATAACACTACAATACAATTGAAAGAGAATAAATGGAATATATTGAAACACTAATTAATAACTTGTAATGTTTATTAGATGAAAATGCTTTCAAGTTATTAAATTTCATATGGTTGTAATTAAATGTATTTAATTCATACAATTAATAAGCTAAGATTATAGTTAAGAAATCTTGGATGATTATATTTTTTACATTTAGTAGGAATTAATATAAGAGAGTCTACACGAGACTTCAAATAGCTAATACAGTATAATTGAAGCATAGATCATTTAACATTATGTAACTATTATTCAGTGTTCAAGTTGTATTTTATGTTCATTATACATAAACGGCTATCAGGATTCATTCAAATTCTCTAATTATGTTTGTTGTTAAAAATCTTATCCAATAACTTTTATATAAGTTTATTGCTTAAGAATTATATAAATTGTATAAAATTAAATGAATTTATATAAATATATAATTTTCTATGTATATATTGTATGTAATTATATATACTTTTCTTAAAGGGATTATTACTGATAAGACTTATAATTATTGAGAAATTTGTGTTTTTTCTCACATTTCCCACAGATAAATACAACTATTATAAGAAATTATTATAGATTTATGATATTTTAATTTAAATATACAATAGATTTTATTGTAATCACTGGAACGCTCCTAAACTAATGGTGATAACCAATTGACAACACTAAGGATAAGTAAACAAGAATTTAACAGTTAGAAGAACTTTGACTTCTTTGTCTTTGATATTAAAAGGACATGCTAAAACAATTTATAAAACAAAATAAAACTTGAAAATTTATTAATTATAATTATTAATTAATTAATTAATATATAATTTATTCAGTATTGTTTGTCACAACTGCTAGTGTAATGCCAGCAATTTAAATTATTGCATTGTAAACAAATGTTATGTTTCATGTTTAAAGTACTTGCTAAGACTGATAACAATAACAATGATTTCATGTTCACAGCCATATGTTGAAGCTGTTTCATGAAGAAAGTGCATAAAAATACGTACTTGAGGATAATAAAGACTAATCGAAATCTGAATACAATAAGCAAAGTCATTGTGTGTGTGTGTCAAAAACATGGAAACTAATGAGAACTGTCTTGAAAGTTGTCCATTTTGTCCAAAATATATTTTATATTGAATTTTGAGTTTTAATTCTGTTGAATTGATCCAATTAGTAGCTTTACTCTCAAATATTCTACATAGAAACAACCTATTTTATTACAAACATTTTGGATGTGCCTAATGATTCCATAATTTTGTTATGTAAACCAGATTTAAATAATAATTAGAATAATTTTTTACTTCTTCAAAAGATTGAAATATTTAGTAAATTTTTTTTATAGTTCTATTGAGAATTTCATAATGTTATAAGTTTTTTTATTATGTTACTGAACTTATGATTGCTTCAGCAATCATGCAGATTTGATTTCTGTAACATTCAAGCTCTATTTCAGGTGTATTTAGATACCGTAAAAAATCATGTGCGTAAAATTATCAAAGTTTTATTTATGCCTCGAATACTAAATTGATTACAAAATGTTAATATAAAAAAATGGAATAAGTGATCTGAAAACAGTTAAAATTACTGTTTCGGTCATTATAATCTATGCTTATTTTTTAAATACGAAGATAAAAGAAGTATATTTAAATACATAGCCATAACTCTGTAGAATAAATAATGATTTTAGATTGAGTATTGAAATTTTATGTAGACAAATTTTCTAATTGAAAGAATTCTATTGAATTCATACTATTTTAAATATATTAAATGAAATGTTTTCTTAGATCATTTTTTTACAATTAGCAGCTAAAATTAACTCTAATCTCCAAGAACAAATATTTCTGTTTTACTAAAACGTTTTTTCTATTAATTGGCAAATTTTAATGTATTTTGCACATAATTTATTTTGTATTCTTATATCTTGTAATGGCATGAAATAAAGATTTTATGATTTTATGCCTGTTACAGATTTCACTAAGCCTGTAATAGGCCAAGTGGATAATAAAGGATATTCAAAATATTTGCATTAGGTGTCTGTTTAAATTTTTGAAGATTTATCTGAATTTCCAGAGTGGCATGAAAATACCTTTAATGTAGCAGTTATCCAGTCAACTATGTAGTACTATATTGAAAAAGAAAGAACATTTTAATTTCAATACTTTTTCAATATAGTATATACAGTAGCTATCTGGATAACTGAGGAGGTAAAAGTATTTTCTCACCATTCTGGAAATACAGATGGAAAAACTAGGACATTTCTACTTCATTGATTTTTAAAAATCCTTCGACAGCAAAAATCAAGGCACTTCGGCTGTTTTTGAATCTTATCTGGTGGATATCAACATAATATGTTTGTTAAAAGATATTAATAAAACATCAAAGCAATTATGAAATGAACAACAGGGAAGATGGTTTAATATAAGAAGAGGAAAAAGGCAGGGTGATCTTCATCACATACTTAGAATCATGATTAATTAAGAAAGATAGTTAGAGAATTATAATTGATAAAATAATTTGAATATGTGGATGATATCACAGTTAAGAAAACAAGGGTTTAAAGCAGTGGTTCTTAGCTAGAGGTTCATATAAATTTTTCAGGGATCAGTAGGCTTAGAAGGGTAAAAATCAACTTATTAATTTTGTGTTATTGTGTGAATGAATTGTTAATTATTGTGTTAAGAAAGCAGCACATATATTACTATATCATATGTTTTTTATTTTCATACTATATGTACTTTCTTTAATGTATTTCTATACAATTTTCTTTATTTTCTAATTGATTTCTCTCTTTTAATTTTATAATATTATTTTATGCATTTAAAAACATTTTTCTGAGAAAGAGTCTGTAATTTTCGCTTGACTGGAAAAGGGATCCATGGAACAAAAAAGAGTAAGAACCCCTGGTTTAAAGTTTTTTTTATTTTTCAAAACAATACTCACATTAAGCAAAAAAAGGAAAGAAATACAAGTAGATTATAAACATTGAAAAGCCAAAAATAAAGGCTCTTGGAAATAAATAATGAAAAAGAAAATTGAGATAGAAGCTAGAAAATGATAATGAGTTTATTTATCTTGGGAGCAATCTAGATTGGAGAAAGAAAGTTGAGGATAAAACAATAGAAAACCAATAGGATATGAATAAGATTCTAGATATGAATATTTTGGAAACATTTTCCCACCATCAGCGACAGACTGGGCCAATGGTGCACTCAGGATTTAATCTTGGGGAGCCAAGTTAAATGGATAAAAAAAAACTTTGCAAATTCAATAAAATTCTATCTTATGTGACTGTTAATCCATAAGTTGTATAGAAATAGAAGACATGACACAGTATAAATAAATAAATAAATAAATTTTAATTAGGAAAAGATTTTTGGAAAATTTTCTAGTGTTTGTTTTCCTTTTTCTTTGAACGGTGCCAAGACTCATAACCTCCCTCTGGGTGTGCCACTGAATAGGGCTTTAAATTGTCACCAGAAATACTTTCTACCAGTGCATAAGAGGGATTATCAGTGCAAAGTACCCAGAGAAAGGGATGTATCCCCACTCCCTTAGAACATTTTGAAACTTCTTTGATGAATTTGGGATAATTTCCTTGCTGGAAGCAAATAAATATTTGTTATTTGAACAATGAAAACCAAGCAATCTTAATTCAGCCTCCATACAGATTATAGTACCATTTTTTTAAAAATAACTAATCAAAGCAATATAAATTAACTTAAATGAAATTAACCTGAAAAATGTAAAGAAAATTAACTTTAGAAAATCCCTAAAATTACTCCTATCAAGATTTATAAAATAATAATTCTGTAATGTTTTCTACTAACATATGCTTATCTTCTTAATTTTGATTTTTTAGCAACTCTGTCCATAATCTTATTAGAGGGAGTGCAGAAAGGAAATCACATATTTGTACAGTATCTTACAAAAGCTTTTACTATCCGTGGTTCCTGTCTTTATTTGAAAAATACCCTCAGAAGGGGGGTGCAGCTTTACCCTACACAATTTCCCTAAATCCGTCCCTGCTTCTAAATATCCTTGTGTAAGAAGAGACCAATTTTGTTTTTATCTGAGGTAAG